ATTGAAATATTCAAAGATTTATAACATATTATTGAATAATATTAAAAATAATTTTTATCGACCGTAATTTTAATTATACATTAAAGTTCTATCGCCTTGCGATCAAGTTACTAGTGAATCTTAATTCAAGCCAAACGGATGGACATTCCATCTTCAAATAATGGTCGAGGGACACATTCCCTCTTTTCATACTTTCGATGGGGATCTTTCGTACCTGAATACTAGTGAAGCTAAGAGCTTATGTGGTATCTGTTCGAGTTAAAGATGTTCTTAATGAATGAAAGAAAATTAAAGAAATATAAATGAGAGCAAAGACAACTTTGAAAAAATAAATGAGAGAAGGTAATGGTGGAAGGGGGCCCGGTAGCTTAACTGGTAGAGCTCCTGACATGTTATCAGGGAGATCCAAGTTCGATTCCTGGCTTGGCAAAACCAACCCCATTTATTTTTTCAAAGTTGTCTTTGCTCTCATTTATATTTTTTTAATTTTCTTTCATTCATTAAGAACATCTTTAACTCGAACAGATACCACATAAGCTCTCAGCTTCACTAGTATTCAGGTTCGGTGGATCCCCATCGAAAGTATGAAAAGAGGGAATATGTCCCTCGACCATTATTTGAAGATGAAATGTCCATCCGTTTGGCTTGAATTAAAATTCACTAGTAACTTGATCGCAAGGCGATAGAACTTTAATGTATAATTAACAATAATACTGTGGATATTTAATATGTTCATTTAAAAATGAGAAACATTTGTATTTTTGATTTTTTAATTACATTTTTTATGAATGACAAAGTAAATTTTCAATTATAAATCAAAAAAACTCAATTCAAAACGTTCAATAATTTTTAACTATACTAATTTTTAGTTATAAAACTTATTTAATTTGCAGTAATTAATACTAATCACAATACTGATCACTAGTCTATAAACCTATTAAAGGTTAGAGTGGTGTTAAAATTATATGGTCCCAGCTTGTTCAAGTTCTGGGTACCGCTTTGAAAATTGGGAGGTATAGTTGAACGCTAAAATTTAATATAAAAATTATAGCTTATATCTTTGCAAAAAATATGTATTATTTAAAAAAGACTATTTCATTGGGTGGTACAATTTTTTTCACTTAAAATGATGATATACCGTTTTTTTTTACTGATTGTTCGGTTTACGGTTTAGTACCTTTTTCATGAAAAAAATAGCATCTATCAGTTATTCTCGACATGTCAACTTTAAAGTTAACAAAAATGTAATTGTTTTGATTTATAATTGAAAAAACTTACCAAAATCAATGACTGTATCATTGAATAATTATAACAACCGCATATTACTCATAATATATATACAGATTTTGTATTACAACAATTCTAAAAGTCTGTTCAACTACTGGTCCCATTTTTAGAAGTGTTCAAGTACTGGGTACTTTACCTTATATATCTTCAACATTAATATGGCCCTTTTATCATGGTTTTTGTGTGAGAAAATATTGTAGAAGAAATTATTGCTGAGAATTTTTGTCGCGAAAAATTTTTGCATGAGAAAAAAGAGACGGTCAACATAATTTTCTCATTACTATGTCAATCTATTATTGTCAAAACATTGGAATAAAATCAAAGTAAAAACAAAGTCTGAAGAAATCTGTTGTGTATAGTTTTCTTTTAGATCATATCAGCTTCATTTGATTATTCTATCGCTGACAGAAATTTTGTGAACTGAATACGATAAATATTTTATATGAGATTTTTTATGATTAACATATTTCTGAAATCAATAAATTTAATTAATAAACACTATTCGATAGAATTAAACTAGCTACGATATTTATTATCAATAAATTAATTTAGCCAAATGTAATTTGTAATAATTTTACTCTGGGAATTCACGGAGTACTTCGGTGCATAATAAATTTTATTGTCAATAGGATATCCAATATATTCAATTGAGTGAATAAAACACCGCTATTAGTATATGAAATTGTCACATGTTTTCTTTTTTACAATATAAACCAATGCAAATTTTTATTTTTATAATACAAATATATTAAAATTTTAATTAATTAAAATGTGATAAGACATGTTCATTACAGTTAGTGGTTAGCCAATAGAATTTTAGTGATACACAACGCTTTTTTGACGTTAAATATCAAAGTGATAATTTATTTTTATTAAACTTTGGTATGTTTCGTCAGAGTTATTATTACGCTGACAAACGTAGAATTAATATTTAAATTTGATATTTTATCAAAAAATATCAAATTGAATATATGTATTTATTTATAATAAATACATTTAAAAAATATTATGAAAAAAAAAATAGAAAGACCTGCACCCTGAGATACACATCTTAAGATCCAAGGATTTATATAAATATATGAATCATATTAATATTACGATTAAATTATACAATATAATTTACACACACTAGAGTACATACACATACTGTCAATGATATAATGCTGCATGCGGCAGACTTCGCTCAAGTATGAAGATAAAATTATTTAAAAGTAGGACTAGAAAATAATTTCGTTTAAAATTAAAGATAAAAACAATTATCTTCATGCTTTAGCATGCAAAAGCAAACCCTGAATGCAAAATTAAAACAGGAGAAATATTTAAAAAAATACAATAACAAAACAATGAAAGCCTTCCAAAGTCGATGATCTGGAATGGCTGAAAAAAAATGAAGCTATGGTGAGACTGATTGTTTTTGGTCGGCACGACGAATATTTTCACAGCTGGACGAACTCAGGACGGAGGTTCAGCGTAGGGATCAGGAGATTCTTGGAATGTCCGCTAAGATGAAGACTCTCGAGGAACAGCATCAGGACTACCAGAGACATATTGCCGTACTTAAGGAGTCACTTTGTGCTAAGGAAGAGCACTATAACATGCTCCAAGCTGATGTAAGAAATTTTTTACCGTTTAATCTATCTTTTATTTTAAGCTTTGATAAAAAATATTGAAAATAGTTCATTCTGAGCTTATAAATAAATTGAATTTTATTCTAATTTCAAATTCACTGATTTAATTTTAAAGTTACCATTTAAACTTTGTTAATTACTTCTTCTTCATATATTCGCAAACTTTGCTAATTTACTGTTATATATTCCATTCATTACACTTGAATTAATTTAATTTTATTTACATTTTAATTTTATTTTTTTTTAAGTATCAGTAACAATTGCAATAATTCTACCTATACTTTATCGATTTGTAAGAAAACGAGATATGAGATAAAAAATTAAAGCTTTTGTCAGGTTAAAAATAAAGTTACTAATATAAATCGTAAAATATCAAGCCCTAGTTTAATCCGAATATGGCTTTACCAAGAGACAAATCGAAGATGTACAGAATGAGGTCAGAGATTGGAAGTAGGTCATCAAAGTAATGCTACTGTGAATTTTTTCCAATCTTTATCTTTTACATTTATACTTATTCCTATATCTATATCGTGAATCTAGATTTTCCTTTACACATAACTTTATACAAAATTTATCAGATACTGTTAATCTCAAAGACGCGTTTATCTCGTTTTCAATAGGTTGAAGAAATGCGACAAAGACTTGAAGAGAAGAATCGACTGATTGAGAAGAAAACTCAGGCTGTATTGCAAGCACAACAGGAAAGAAATCGCATGAATACTGAGCTGACCGAGCTCAAGGATCATATGGATATCAAAGATCGCAAAATAAATGTTCTTCAACGAAAGGTGGGTTTTTTATTTTATTATCTATTATCTCTTCGCTATTTTTATCATTATTATTATAATCATTTAAATCAAGAGATATTTTTCCATAAAAGTAGTTTTCTTTTTACATCAACTCGATTAATTATTTTTGTAAGACATGATTTTTTGTAAATACGTATGATTGATTGAGTGAGAAAGTATATAATTTAAGTTTCTTTTAATATTATTTTAAGTAATTTTGTTATTCTACTGTTGTTGTTGATGTGTTGAAGTGTATGTAAAAAAATGTAATTACTGCTATTAAACTAGTATCACATTGATGTAAATTTAAATAAAAAATTGTCTTCTTGATAATATTGATCATTTTACTTTATTTATCAAAGAATTTAACAAATAAATGGCATATCAATATTCTGAGACATATTACAAAATTGAAATAAAATTTTTTAAAGTAAATTCGTAAAATCAAATACAGAATTTTTTTTCAACTGATACTAATTTAATAACGATTAATTTGAAACTTCCACAGATATATAATTGCTTGTTAATAAATTATTTTTTTTCGTAAATTTTAAGTTTTATTGTTTATACTATAATTTATAATAATTTTTATTTTTATACAAACATTGTAAGTAGTTTTTAGTTTAGTAACATTAAGCATTTTATCTCTTTTATTTAAATTGCAACTCCATATTGGAGTCGACTTATTTTAGAATATGATGTTCATTTTGTTAATAAAAAATACGAAACATGGTCAGTAAATAAAGCAACGGACTCAGTTATTAAAATAATTGAGTAAAAAAATATTACATTATAAATCAATAAAGTAAGTAAACATTGCTGAGTAAATTTCATAAATTTAAACATTTCTTACCGTAAATTTTTCTCTAATAAAATTTAAGTGCTTATGTCCACTAACATAAAATTAGCTTTTTAATGATTTCTAATAAAAATGAATGGCTTGGACATTAATAACAACCTTGCATACATGAATCTTCTATTTCATACATGAAGTACAAGTTTAAGGGGCTGATTGTACTAAATGAGAACTCTAATTGAATTTTTCATACTAATAAATGAATATACTAATAATTTTTTTAATAAAAAATTTCAATTAAACAATTAAAAAAAAAATTGTCACATATAAAAAACTTCAAAAACTATAAGTGCAATTTTTCAGAAATATTTTTTTAGTTGTAATTTAATTAATAAAAAAAATCAAAAATTTTTACACGTCTTCTAACTTCAGTGTCATACTAATAAAACATTTTTATGTAGCAAGTCATGAAGTAAATTTTGTTTTTTTTTTATTACCTAGATTGAAAACCTCGAGGACTTGCTTAAAGAAAAAGATAACCAAGTGGATATGGCGCGTGCACGTCTGACCGCGATGCAGGCTCACCACTGCAATAGCGAAGGTGCGTTGAGCAGCCTTGAAGAAGCTATCGGGGACAAGGAAAAACAAATGACCCAATTGAGAGAGCAGCGAGATCGTGCTGAACAGGAAAAACAAGAAGAAAGAGAACTCCACGAGCGTGAACTTGCCGAGTATAAGATGAAGATTCATGCTCTTGAATCTGAGGTATATTTAAAAAAAAATTTTTTCCTACACTTAAAGACACTTTGCCTAAATTTTCGAGACGTCCATAAAAACATTTTTACTAAACTATATTTTTATTTTTTATTTTTCTCTCTCAAAGGTCGAGAAGCTTGGAGCACGTTTGGAACGAGCACAAGCAGAAAAAGACCGCCTGGAGGCAAAACTAGAGAGTTCACAGTCTGAACTCGGCAAAAGTAAAGCTGAGTTGGACAAAGCAGCATCCGAGGTGGGCCGTAGCGGTGCCGACTGGGAGGCAGCCAAACAGCGACTCACTAGGCTGGAACTAGAAAATGAGAGATTACGTCATGATATTGAAAAATCGTCAAGTACATTTGGTAGAGGTACACTTAACTCCTCACAGGAAATGGATAGGATTCAAGAGCGTGCTGAAAAGGCTGCAGCAGAACTGAGAAGAGCTCAAGCTGAATTGCGAGTAACGCAAGCGGATAATGAACGAGCTCGAGCTGAAGCTGCTGCTCTTCAAGAGAAGGTTATTTTCACCGATATTTATTATTTTTATTTTCACTTGTCTTTCAAATATTTACACTTTGCCTACTTTGGTTTAATTGTTTTTTATTACCTAGTCGGTATAAATTAAATGAATTTTTTTTTTTTTCAATGAAATCTAGGTTGAAAAAAGTCAAGGTGAAGTATATAGGTTAAAAGCTCGACTAGAAAACGCACAGGGAGAACAAGACAGTTTGCGTGAAGAATATGATCGAGCACAGTCCACTGTCGCTAGATTACATTCTGAACGTGACAAAGCAGTGGCTGAGCTGGAAAAAGCGCGAGAAGAACTTGAGAGAACACAAGCGACTCTCGGAAAAGCTCAGCTGCAGCAAGAAAGACTCCAGAATATGCTTGACAAAGCTCAGAGTGAAGCTGATAAACTTCAAGAGCGGTTGGAAAAATCACAAACGGAAATAAGACGAGTAAGCATTTTTTAATTACGGAATTTAATTTATTTTCTTAATATTTTATGTACTTATTGAATTTTACTACTTAAATTAATTAACTCTTGCTAATGTAATTTAGTATAAGTGGATTAATTAATAGTCGTTTTCTTTGATGATTTGATAGTATTTGTAAAAAAAAAAAAAAAAAAAAAAAAATTGTTCATTTTAGATGCAAATGGAGAAAGAAAAACAAAATTACGACTTTGATAATCTTCAAAGTCAATTAGACAAAGCCTTAGGACAGTCCTCGAGAATGCAAAAAGAAAGAGAAGCTATTCAATTGGAAGTCGATCGTCTACAGGATAAATATGAAAAAGCACAAGTATTATTATTGAATAATTTTAATAATGATAAAAAAGAATTGTTAATTATGTGTGAGTGTACGTTTATATTTTTGGGTTAATTGCAGGTAATTGTTCAAAGACTGCAAAAAGATCGCGACAGTCTGCAAGAAGAAGTATCGAAACTTCAACGAGAAAAAGATAATGCACTTTCTGAATTAGATTTAGTAAAAGATAGATGGGAAAAAGCACATAACTCTCATCAAAAAATATCCGTAAGTAATATTATAATTTTTATTAAAAATGAATGATAGGAATTTTAATTTATATGATTGCATAATATTATTTGTAGATGGAGCGGGATGATGCAATGACAGAGATTGAAATCCTTAAAGAAAAACTTGACAAAACCCAATATGCATTATCAAAAGCAATGGAAGAGCGTGAAAATACGAGCAAAGAATTTGAAAAATTGATGGCTAAATGCGACAGGTAAATAGAATGAAAATAATTATAACAACGATTTGTAGTTGAACTAGAAATTGTAAAATTATGAAAAATGTTTCAGATCTCAGAGTGAAGTGTACCGCCTTCAGAACCGAATAGAGGTAATGGAAGCAGAAAAGGATCGATTGGAGTTAGAATCAGAAAAGAATTCACATTTAGCTCTGAAGAGTCGTGAGGAAGCACGAAAAGCTCAAGAAGAGTTGGCACGCGTACAAGAAATGTATGATCGTGCGGCACTTCAATTAGGTAGAACAAAAGAAAACGAAGAAAAGTCAAAGGACGATTTAGATCGCCTATCAGTAGATCTTGAAATGGTTCGTGAGAGGTACGAAAAATCACAAATAGAATTACGTCGCTTGCAAAATGAGCGTGAAAAACTGGTAGCGGATAATGAAAGAATAAGCTTCGAATTGGAACGAGCACACTCACAGCTAAGTAAAGCACAAGCAGCAACTGAAAAATCGCAAGAAGAACTTCAACGCATGCAGATGGAAATTGAGAAATTGTATGAGAAACACGATCGACAGCAAGCTGAGGTACGTAAAGCACAAGCGGAAGCTGAACGATTACGCTCAGAAGCAGAAACAGCTCGTGAAGAGTGTGATAGATATGCCGCACGATTTGGTAAATATCAAGAGAGCCAAGAGCGTCAGAAGGACGAGCATGAGAGGGCTAAAATGGACGTCGAGAGACTGCGGGATCGACTGGACAAGGCGCTTGCGGAATTGGACAGGGCGAGAAAAGCTGAACAGGACGCATCAAGACTGCGAGCCGATTTAGAACGAGCAGAGGGAGTACGAGGTAAATACCAGTTCGAGCAGGAGAAATGGCAAAGTGAGGGTAGTAGGCTACAACAGGAACTGGAAAAAGTGAGGGAGAGGTTGGAGATACGTGAATCTGAGTTAAAACGTATGCAAGCTGCATACTCGGAATTAGAAGCTAAATTACATGAGGCTCAATTACAACTCGAGAGAGCACGTGAAGAAGCCAATAAAGCTAACTCTAATCAAGAAAAATCGAGGTCAGAAATTGAGAGGGCGCGAATTGAAGCTGAAAAAATACGTGATCGTCATGATAAAATAAAAGCCAAGTGCGACGCGCTTGAGGCTGATAACGAGAAGCTCAGAGTTGAAATCGTGAGGCTTGAAAGATTAATGCAAACTGAGGGTAAAACAAGGTCCGAGAGTGCTAGTATTGAAGTTGAACGGCTTAGAGCTAGTTTGGACAAAGCTATTGTAGCGAGAGATCAAGTTGAGCTTGAGGCAGGTAGATTGGCTAAAGAGCTTGAAAAATCACAAATGTTATTAGCTAAACACCAAGAGATTGCTGAAACTGCTAAGAAGGAATACGAAAGAGTACTTAACGAGCTCACGACGTTGAGAGAAGAAAGAGACACTCTGAGACAAGAGTTCCGACGTATCCAGCAGCAACAGCAAGTTATTGGTAATGAAGAGTTCGCGAAACTCCAACATGATCTTCAGCTTACGTTACGTGAGCGTGACAAAATGGCAGCGATACTCGAGAACCGCGAGAAGCACTCGGAGAAGATTGAGAAGATGCGCGAAAAATTAGAAGCCGAAGCGAAACAACTTCAAATGGAGCGTGACCAATTGGTAATACAATTAGAAAAGTCACAGGATATGTTGATGAACTTCCAACAGGAGTTGAACAGCAGTGAAACTGAGCTCGATAAACAACGCGAAGAAGTAAGACGTCTTCAGCAACAACAGCAGCATCAAGCACCTCTTTTTCTGACGATGATAAAATTTCCAGCGACGAAGTAGCTACAAGTACAACTATAAATTCCACTACTACTACTACTTCTACCGATAGCAGAAGTTCCACAAAGTTTGATTTAAAAGCACCCATAATAAGCGAAATAATTTCAACGTCACGTCCACGTAGTTTAAGAAATTTGACCAATGCCTTTGATGCCTGTGATCAATCAAGTAGCTTAGCGTCTGTAATGCGCATAGAATTATCTAATGACAGTGCTGTTACTGATTGTTGCAGTAATACACAAACAAATAATACAAGTACAAGCACGGAAACGATTAACGAGCGAGTAAATATTAGTAATTTTAATAATAATTTACATGAACATGAATTGAGTAGTTTATCAAGTCTTACAGCAAGTATGGCTTCTATTAGTACTACAAAGTCAATTTCAGTGAAAGATAACGACAGACATGTAACATTTGATATACCTCAAGAAAAACATCTTGCAATTTTTCGTACCATCGATGACAAACAAGCAAAATCATTACCCTGGCCGATTATTTACAAACATAAAGCACCAGGTATTCATTATAATAGAAATAAATTTATCGAGGAATTTGAAAATTTATCAACAAAATTAAGTGAAAGATATATTGGCAATGAAACACAATCAACTTGCACGATTTGGTTCACCAAACAGGCACCGGGTAGCGCAAAAAAACGCACTCTGTTGGGTAAACGTGCTATTGGTCAGAGTCCAGGTAAAAGATTGAGCCATTTAGCGAGGCGTCGTAAGACGTTTTCAAGTGCTAATTTACAGTGTATGGCTGAAAAAAAGCAGATTGTACTTAATGTCAAAAAACCAATTATTAAGAAGGGAAAAAGTCCACGAGGTAAAAGCCCGCGTAGTTCAGCGAAAAAACGACTGAGTAGAAGGTTGCTATTAGATGGACAGAGTCCCAGAAAAACTAAGTTGGAAACGTCAAAACGTGCGTTATTTCAAAGTCCTACTCACGATCGCGCTGGACCGAGTGGGAAACCTGCGCCATTGAGTATGAATAATCCACAGAAAATTAAACGTGCATTATTTCCAACAGCTCAGAAGAAAGAAACCGTGACGAGTAACGCTGAAGAAATGACTAAAAAGAGAAAGAGTGATGAGGAATTGGAAGGACCTCGAGTGAAGTGGCCAAAGAGTTTGTCCTTTGACTGTACATACAATAATTTGGACAGTTCACGAGAGTCGTGGAGCAGTGATAGATATTTGGCAGGAAATGTACATTTAAAAAGTGAATCGCTTTCGCAACCAGCCAAAGTTGGCCTCAGTGATAATAATAAAAAAGTAAGTGTTGATATTAGTATAGAGTATATTTATTTTTGTTACTGGATAATTGATTAATTGATAACTTTTTTTTTTTTTTTTTTTTTTTTTCCATTTTTTTTTTTGTTAATTTAGAAACTACTGTGGGCGGTTTATCAAGCTTTACAATCCAGAGGCATTAACATGGATCATCCAAAGTTTAAGCAATACGCACATCAACTCGCGAGAACTGTAAGAAAATACATGCCTGATTTGGAAAACCGTAATATACCGCGTAAACCGGGCAGCACTTGTGATCGCATGTTAAAATTAGCTAATATTCATGTTCTTCTTGTTGTCGAAGCTAAATGAAGGGAAACTTAGATAGTTAATATTATTAATTATTCGTATATTTGTTATATTGTAATTTGTTAATTAATAGGTACCATAGTTATGACAATGATTAAATAATTTTCTTTCTGCTTTACTTATAATTTCTAATATATAAATAATGGTTAATATATTTACAATAATGGTCATGATTCTTTTGATCATGAGCATTATGATTCTACGTGTTATTGATTATATGTTAAAGTATAATCAGAAATACTTTTATTCAACTTGATAGTAAAATTTTTAATCCAATTGATTAATATAAATAGTAAACGCTATTGTCGTTTAAATATATTTTTATTATCAACATAAATGTGAACTGTATAAAAAAACATAGCATCTTGGATAAAAAAAATAAAAATTTTTTTATGATTAATTGCATTTTTTTTGAATCCCAAATACGATACAAATTTTTCCAATCTATAAAATTTATAATTAGTAATCTAATATATCGATTTAATTAAAGATCATCAATTCAATCGTCTGTTTATAAAATATACCAGATCTTTTTTGCAGACAAAAAGATACTCGAATTTTGATTAAAACTAAAATTTTACTCGTTTGGAAATATTTTTACTCCGTTTGAGTACTTAAATAATGTATACTTTTGTTAAAAAATTAAAAAATGTTAGAAGTCTATCATTGATAATATTTTATACTTAAGTAGATAAATACTTCATTTTTTTTTTAGAGTAACGTAAAAACTTTAAATTCTTAATGGCTTTTACTCCTGATAACAAATAATTTAGATTAGTAATTAGCTGTAATTGCAAAAAAAAAAAAAAAAATAAAATTCGAGTAGAATATAAAACATTTTTTAAGTAAACTAACTGATTTACGTAAAAATTACATTCAAAAATAATTGAATCGTGTGATAGAATTTGTAAGTTGACACTTTAAGACTAATTTTATCGATAGTCAACTGAGCAATAAATAACAATCAGATAAAGTCAATTACGAAGAAATATAAATTTTTGTGACAATCTAAAAAACCAGAAACTTAATGAAAGACAATAAAAAATTTGGTGATATGTTATCTTGAAACTAAGTATAAGTCAGTTGAAAATCGACATATTTTTTTAAAGCATGTAGACAACTTACTTAGGGAAAAAAAAAAGCGTTACATTTAATCGTTTATCTAAAATACACCCTTATAAAATTTTTACTGAAAGAGTAATCTAAAATTAATTTCATTTTTATAAAATGTTGAAATTATTAATTAGTTTGATTATAATTGTACTATTTATACAATCAGTGATGCCAGCCAAAATATCGACAAATTATGATTGTCCAATTTATTCGTATAAATCATTCAGCGATCACAATAATATTTTATCAAATATTTCAAACAACACTATTATCAGTGAATTATCATTAATTGGAACTCACGAATCAATGTCATATATAACATCTGATCTAAAAATCCAAACACAGGATATATCTGTTACCCAACAATTGATGTATGGTGTACGTTTCTTGGATCTAAGTGTACGTTATTCAAAGTCAAAGATATTGGAAATTTATTCACGCTCTGTAGATCTTAATTTTACGCTTAATAATGTACTTCAGACAGTGGCCGTCTTTCTTCAAAATAATCAACAAGAATTTGTAATTATTAATTTAAAGTATGATGGTAATGTTTATTTCGATGGTTTTTATGACGATCTATTCAATAATTATTTAGGAGATAATCACGCGGAATCTTGTCAATCGTTCAAAAATCTAAATTCATGTGTGACTAGAAATTGGAATCTCCAAAGTACTGTTAAAAGTGTACGAGGTAAAATTTTACTGTCTACAACAGATTCTATATTTTCTAGATGTATGTTTTACATTAATGATGAATGTTTATTATCGAACCTTGTTTCACTAAATTTTTTTGGCAATGGTTTCGATTATTATCCAATTGTCAATTATAAATGGATGAAATATGTCAATATATCAACGAAAGACGAATTTGATAACTACAAATGCTATGTGTATGATCTGAGTATTTATGATAATTATTCACTGTTTTCTCAGGGGTTTGCTAAAAACGGTGGATATTATAATCACAGTGGTCAATGTATCGAACCAATTAATTACAGACTTTTTAATGGGTATTCAAATCATCGCAATGCAAGTTTAACAGTTATTCTAGTTGACTATGTCATACCGGAAATTATTGATAAAGTTGATAGTTTTAATAAAAAAAAATTGAAGTAATCTAAATTCTGTTTGTTAAAAATTCGTAAAATGAATATAATTATATATAGTTATATAAATAATTATTTTATTTCTTGTTATAAATGAGACTAGTTTTTATCTAATGTATAAAATTCTTGTTTTTATATAAAATTAAGTGTTAACTGATTAAATAATTAACAGTTAAGTACTATTTATCCGTAAAGTTATCATAAGTAATTCGTTAATGAAAAAATGTGTGGTTCTTGTAAAAAGAATTTTCTGTATAATATAATAAAATCAATGTTGTTATGAAAATTTTTTTGCACTATAAATATTGCATTTTTCAACTTACACTTTTAAAACTTTCAATCATCTGTAAACAAGTAGTTAGTTATCGATTTTAAGAAAATATTAATATTTATAATTGATTATACTAACTATATACGGCATAGAAATAAATAAAGAAATATTTACTTTTCAACTCTAGTTTTATTAGCAATAAAATATTATATTAATTTTCATGATGAAGAAAGCGATACCTCAAAAAAATGAAAAAATTTTTTTTTCAATAACTAATTATTTAATTATTATTCTTTTTTAACTATTCGAGACAACAAATTTACATGTATGAGGAATGGGTTTACTTTATTAAATGTTTAATTAAGTTATTGTTTAAAAATAAGTAATGTATGTGGTAAAAAATTAAAACACTTAACTAATCTACTAATCTTACAAACGCGATCAATTTTATAATTTTCATTTTTTTAATATACTTTGTTTATCGCGTAAATATTAACTAAAAATACAGTCTTTTAAAAAGCTGACTGTATTTTTATTAATATATATATATATAATTAATTAACAAAAAAAATTAAATATTAAAAAAAAAAATTATTTTATAATTATTAAGTAATTGCTTGCGTTAATAATAATTTACTTATCATTTGGATTAACTCTCGCAATTACATCATCAAGTATTTTTGTGAGTTCTTTATTTTCTTTAGCTTTTTGATCGATCATTTCCGTCAAAGAGTTACATTTAAGCTCTTCTTTCTTCAACATCGCCCGCAATTTTATTATTTCTGACTCGTGTTGCTTTTGCATCATTTCTAAATCTTGATTAGCTCTAAAAATAATAAAGTAGCATAATTATTATCAAGTAAAATGAATATAATATTTAAATAGAAACAAAAAAAAAAAAAAAAAACAAAAAAATAAGTCTACTTACTTCTCAAGTCGTGTCGCAGCATGAAGCTTTATTTGCTCATAACGACTTTGTAACCCTTTCATAACTTCAACATTGTTTTCAAGACTTTCTCTAAGGGTAACTTCATTATTAGTATACATTGTCATGGTTTGCTTAATTTTTTCATATTTAGCATGAACATCATTGAATGACGCTTCTGATGCTTCTAAATGCTTTTTAGTATCCGCGAGCTCTCTTAAAAGAAAGGCTTTTTCAGTGTCTAGGTCGTTACGGCTCTTTTCTCTTTCTGCAACTAATCGGCTTATCGATTTTTCATGTTCATCGACGATAGCACTAATTCAGATAAAAATATTAATTAATTAATCAATAAAATTATATTGTATTTTTTAAAACAATTATTAACAAGCTTACGTCATCTCATCTTTGAGTTGGATTTCATGTGTTAATTGTCTCTGTAATTGGGCCACCATTTCTTGCAGAGATTTATTTTTTTTATCCTTTTCATCCGATTGCTTTTCGTAACTCTGCTTTTGTTTTTCCAACTGCTCTTCCAATTGTAAAACAGTTGACCTGACTAATTCTAATTCACTAGCCATCGCGGAGTCAACTACAGGTACAGGAGATTCAGTTTTTTCAACAGATTCCTAAAGTTTAAGTTAAAATATTATTAAAAATGTTTACATAAAATAAAATTTGTTAAATTTTATGTAAACTTACTTTTTTTTCAGACACCTGAATTTTAATATTGTCTGGAGTCATTGGACTATAGAATAATAATCTATCTATAGCGGCAATAGCTGGATTACGTTTAGGCGTTATATTATTAGGCAATGATGTGTCCTTTTCACCGTTTCGTTCATCATTTGATGGTGGAGGACTTGTTCCGTTTCCTTGCGGTAACATACTTGTTTCAGCTACTAAAGGATCAAATTTAGTGAAAAGCGAGTCACTTCTCAAACGATCCCCTCGACAATTTTCTGTTTTCGCCAATAAGAAATCAAATTGTGATGGATCACAAAATTCTGTTAACAAATAATTAATTCTTTATTAATTATATTCTAACAAAAAAAAAAAAAAAAAAAAAAAAAAAATTAAGTAAAACTATCATTAGAAAAAAAAAAAAAACACTAATAAATTGAATTATTAATTAGTGTAACTGTTATATAAATAATACTTACGATCCGGCGATGCAGGAACAAACTTTTCTGTCTCAAGTCCTGTAAATGAGTTATGAATATCTTTAATAATATTCTCAGTTTCTAAATTTAACTGATCAAAATCCAAGGGCGGATCTAAAGGTGGAGCATTTTCGACATCGAAAAACTTTGATTCAGGTAGATCTAAGTTCTTAAAAGACTCCTCTATCTTTGTGTCCGGTTGAATAATACCAGAAACTAGGCTGGTACTTTGACGTTGTGGTGTAAAGTTAACATAATCATTTGGTAAATTCAAGCCTTCAATAACTGGACAAACTGGGATATCTGTCTCTTGTTTTTCTTTCAGCTCAGCCTCACGATTTAATGATTCTTGTAAATCTTCGCTAGAAGAAGTGAAATTGATTCCATCTACTAATAAAGTTGATTCTAATTCACAAACAGGTTCACTTCTGACTTCATTAGCCTCTGATATTTCAATTTCAGGAATTTTTGTTCCTTCAACAAATATTTCAGGAGTTTTTGTAATTAACTCCACGTGATCACTGATATTATCGGTAACTGGTATTGTACTTATATTTTCAGTGATTATTTTGTCTAAATTTGTTTCAATCGCCAGCGAGTTGATATTTTCTAAATCTCCCGGGGCCTCCAAAGAAATCGTTTCATTTAGCTTAAAAGTAGAATCAGTAGGAATCTCGAGTGGTGTTTCAATAAATTTATTTGATTCTAATGAATCTAATGAAACAATATTAGCATTTAGTACATGTTTTGAAACTTTTAAATCATCGATTGGTAATGGTTTTTTAAACTCACTATTATTAAAATCGTCACTTGATATTGGTGGTGATATTAACACTTGAGAATTATTTGTAACACTTGATTCTATAGCCTCAAGATAGTGTGAACAATTGGATGGCTCTACATTAGACTCATTTACAGGTGACTTTATTGAAAAATTTGTATGTAAATCAGGCGCTGTTGAATATTCCGGTGAAATTTGTTCAGCTGAAGTATTTAAAGTTGCATTGTTCTGAACAATTTCTAAAACATTTGTATCAGCTGTTGGAGTGTTTGTGTTCCAAGTGCTGTTCAGATCACAAGAGCTTGGGCTGTTTGGAAAAACAGTTTGAGCATCATTGACGGGGGTATTAATTGTTTGAGTAGCATTGCCTTCGACTGGTGATACGGTACCCGAACGAGTTACATCGAGAGTTCGGTCTAGCTGTAATTCGTCAGTCGCTGATGCAAATGTCACGTCTCCAAATGATTGATCACCAGAGTTTATAACCGAGTCTTCAAGACGAATTCGGGCACACGCTGATATTAAATCGTCTAGCCCAGTGTCGTTCAAGTTATTATAAGAGTTATCGTTTGATCTAGACGGGCTGTCTACACAAATTCCACTGCTGCTTTTAGTACTTAGTGTTGACGTTAAGCTTTGAAAACTGCTTGCAGTTGATATACTGTTGCTTTCAACTGGTGTTATAATTGTTGTCGGACATACAGCTGGTGGATAGATTTCTGCATCAGCAAATTCACGAGCAAACTTAACTTTTACTTCGTGCTCCGGAGTTGATTTTTTTGATGCCTCGTTACCACTCTGTGAACAATAAAAAATAATATAATATTTATTTAAATAAAATATTAATTTTATTAAATATTAAGGTGTTATAAATGTTGAAATAAATTTTAATTATTTTCTACCCTAGGTTCGGGTGATGGTGAAGCTGAAGTATTAGGCGAACGGTGTAGTAATCTATTGATATATTCCATGATTTAAATATTGATGTTATCAAAATTGTTGTACAGAAAATTTATTAACTGAGGTAAAGCAATAGAGTAAAAATTGCTACGGTGTTGAACCAAATACTAGAGACTATTATTTCTTTCAAGGTAAAAAATGGTCAGCTGACAGAAAACCGCGGGCTGCCAATTTTATTGCGCAATCATCTGCCGGAGAGTAAACTACGTATTCAAATTTCTAATAATAAAATATCAAACACCTTGTAGTATCTATATACGATTAATTTCACAAAACGTGTTCAGTTGCGTGAATAAATCCTCAGTGTACAGTTACATCACGTGCTTATGAAAAATCAATTAGAAATTACAGCACAAGAAAATTAATTTTCATAACTATTAATTCTACATAATTTTAAATAAGAATTTTAGTAGTCAAAAATTTTAAAACTGAATTAAAAAAAAAAAGTATTTGTTTTTACAATTTTCGATGCATAAATTCAAAATTAACAAATATATTGATGAGATACAATAATTTTAATAAAGTTCAATATTTTTTTAAATATCAATAGTAATATATTTTCATCAATTTTCAGTTTAAATTTGTAAGTGAAATTAACAAAAGGATTTTCTCAACAGTGAACTTTAATTTAAAAATGCTTATTAATAAATTTGTAATAATATATTTTACAGTTATATTAAAGTGTCATTCGCATATCCCGCGCTTCAGATAACACGTGGATACAGGTAAAACCTGACAAGATAAATAAAAATCTCAATTAAAAAAAAAAACGAGTATACACTATCTACATAACTGTAAATAAAAATAAATATATATTATGAAGACATTAGTGAAAGTATTACAATAGAGTGTAACACTAATATAACGTGAATACCTTTCGAATAAAATTCCCCATGGCTTCAGAAACTAAACTAACGAAACGTCAGTAGACGCATCAAACCCAAAAGTTAAGAAAAACTGTTCCATATTTACATGATGTTTTCAGCCCTCCTCAGAAAGTTATTTTTTTTTCAATAAACATCTTGAGTCAGAAATAAAAATAAATTTTCCTCTAGCTTAAATTTGGTTTTACGAGTGCGTTCAACTTGCCATTGAGTCATTTTTCCGTTTAGTTGGAAAAAGACATAGACAAGACGACGGCTGACAAAGAATACAATAAAAATACATGTTGTTAAGTATTCATTAATTTACGACGTAGTTCTTAGGAATGATGTGGGTCGGGTTAAAGTAGAGCGTGTTGCTTGTTGACAAGGACAAAGAAATCTCTGTAAGATCGAGGGAGAATCTCTATAAGGAGCGTCCGTGACAGCAACATGGCAAGTAGTAAAGCTAAGACATGACTCATTCCAGTCTGTTTTTAAGTTTATGAAACAAATTTTTTATCACATCATTACTATTTTCATTAATTGATTTTCTCTTTCCGACTAATAATAAGAACATTTAAAGAAATGTCATGGTTTTTTTTTTTTTTTTTTTTTTTTTTTTAATGAAATTATCAGACAAAAAAAAGTGAGAAAAAAAAATCTGGAAGTAAAGTATTCTAATATTAGAATTAAATGCAGACAATTTAAAGTCAATTGTGTCGCTTTCATGTATTTTACAACGTGTATCTATAGATAGATTTAGTACTCCCATACATATGTGTGATACCAGAAATGTGGAGAGAACTAAAAAAGATAGCTCACCTCTTAAGAATATAATAAATTCCTTTTTTTTTTTTATTATTGTTATTATTTGTAATACGATGTATTACGTCAAATGAATTGCAGAAAGTAATTATTTTATTTATGAAACCTCCCGGTTCAATAAATGATTGTCTTGTTTCGTTTTTTTGTTTTAGATATTTGTTGGTTATTTTGTTTATAGAATAAACTTGTCATTCAAGTTGGTCCATTTTTGCAGAACATAAATATTAATGATAGAATCATTTTACACGATTACTAACACTCGCCGCAACACCAACTGTATACTATCGGATCGCGCACGCTCCAAAATGATTACTTGACATCATCATACTCTCCACACTCTAGATTTAATCCAACGTCCAGAATACAACGACAACGACCACAACACGACCATCACCAACTATGGTAGTAACTGGAAGTGGAAAAGACTGAGACAATATGAGAAATAAATAAAAGAGTAACGAGTTAAGACTCTTTTAAGACATAGATGTATGTATTATAGAGTGGCGCTATCTTGAGGATGTCCCTTAACTTTTTTGTCTGATAACCCGTTGTATGTTTTTTTTTTTTTTTATTTACATATTTACTTTGTTGATAATCTAGTAAGCTGAAAAAATAAAGTCATTAAAAAATGAAAAATTGTTAACCTATGAAAATTTTCATTGTTACTACGCATTAAAATTTCATTTATCAAATATCCAGTGGAAATTTGATTAATAATTTCCATAATTAAATTGATAAGCTACAGAGTGGCGCTATCTCTTGCGTCACTCAGTGACTTAGTGATGTAAAAAATAAATTTTACCAAAGCCGGTGGTAGAAACAAAACGACTGATATAAAAAGTCACGTGCTCTGTATCCAAATTCATGTTCAAGGGCATCAACCTCAAGTTATTTTATTGTGGTGACAAGATAAAATACGTACCACACACATAACACATGTAATATATATCAATATATATAGGTATACGAAAAACGCAACGAGACGATTGCAAATAACTCCAAAGCATCTAAAGAAAGAGAAAAAAAATTGATGAAAAATAAAAAAAATGTATTTTTACATTTGTGGTTTGTCTAACTGATGCTACGGAGAATTTATTTATAGAAATACATATATGCGAACCCCTAATGACTGTCAGATGCCAAATGAACAACATAAAGATGCTCTTTATGGTCTACTGGATGATAAAAAAACAACAGACGCCAAACTTAATTGCTTTAATTAATTAATTAATTCAATTGTTGAGATTGTGACTTTGAAAGATTATTAAGTAGTTGTATTAGAATTTTTTATTGGTATTAATTACTTTTAATAATAATTACCATTTGTGTTTTTGAGGGTGGTGAATTGTTCAAAGTCGCTGTGATTTCACGTAAAATAACTCTTGTGCCTTCACGAATACCCTTAGGACTTGCTTGTATTTTAGTTGGACTGGACATCTTACAAAAAACAAGTGTGTTGAATAATTATTGTATGTAGAATCACTGGCTGGAGCCAGAACGCCAATTTTATTTTTTACAAACTAACACAGACACACACTTCACCATCAAAAGTAACGCTGTGGTTGCTGTAACATTAAATGGAATATAATGAACAGTAATATTTAAATTAACTCTCACAATGTAACTTATGGCATTTAATGCACACCAAGTGATTTCACTTATCCTTTATAATTACTTTGATTTCTCTTATTTAGTAGAGTATAGAGAAAGAAAAATCCGTAACACATAAATGCGACTTTCGTTAACGGTCGCTTCACGTTTGACAACTTGAATATTAATATTTCAGCCAATCAAAGATAAGCTCAAATTTCTAGTACCTCGAATGTGGAGCTAGTTTACCTTACTACACATGTTTCTGTTTTATCAACTTGTAAACAAATAATTGGCGGGATTATTTCAAGAATTTGTTTTTCGTTGTTTACTCTGATGATCACTGAAGTGAACGACACGCTAGACGCTGCATTGTAGAGGGTTGGAATTTATAAAAGTTATGACTGAAAAGTTTCAGATAAAAAATTTTGAAAGCGTTAATCATATTCCTTAAATATTAATTATTCAATAAAACTTGAAGAATTTAATTTCTTTTTTAAACTTTATTGGTAATTTTTCGTTACAAAATGTATACAAATTCTGTAAAGCATGCGAAACATGCACTGTTATTTTATTATTAATAAATCATTTAAATTTATTAACAATAGTGATTATTCATACGTCATTGTTATAATTAATATATACTGCAATCATTCGCGATATTTTTTTCACTCACACATTTTGAAAAAAATATTTACAGTTTTATTATTACTATTTATTACCTAACATACACGTTCTCTTGATTTTTTGTTCAATATTCAAGTAAAGATCATGATATGAAAAAATACTATTTACAATATTTTATTTATTTATTTATTTTTTTTTTTTTTTTTTTTTTTTTTTTTTTTTTTTTTTTTTTTTCGTTAAAATAATTCAGACATATAATAAGCACTGAGAGGTGTTATAAAGATTTTTTTTTTTTTTTTTTTTAAATAACTTTTTTTTACATTAAAAAGAAATATCTTCTTGTGTAGTTTTAATATTTTCTTAAAGTATGTGTAAGTTTGTAGTGAAAATAAATGCAAATATAAATGAAAATTAATTCTTTTTACCTAAAACATTTGACCTGTTTTTAAATTAACATTTTTCCTGCAATTTAATTTCGATTTTTACCTATTTAAATTAAAAAATATATAAACTTTTTCACTATGTATTACGTGAAAATTCATTGCATTGCAACAAAGTCTTTTAAGAAAAAATAATATATTTTAATAATTTATTACTTTAAATCTCATTAAATGCATTTGTATAAAAAATGAACTTTCTGAATGATAAATTTCATTTAAATACTCCTCCATTCCTAAACAGTTCAATAATGTTAATAGTTATAATAATAATAATAGAAATATAATATAATATTATCACTGTTAAAGTCTTTCAAACTTGCAAATATTTTGTTTGAATCAACTTTAAAAACTATTAACACAAGAATAATTAAGGCACTTCGTATAAAAAAATAATCGAAGACACAAAAAAAAATTAATAATTCCAAAGATATATATTTATATTAAAACCTACGTATAAGGTTCAAGTTGAGGAGGTAACCGTGAGGGTGTTGGTGAGTTTTTCTGACTACTTGACGGTGGAGTTAAAATTCCACTTTGATCAGGACTCTCGGGTGTTCCTAAGCTTGAATTCTGATCAAAACTTTCAACCAGAGATAATTCATTGCTTTCGTACAATTGTTGTGCTTTTTCTAGCATACTCAAGTCAACAACATGAGTTTGTAACCTATGACTTTCGTCCAGAACAATATTAGGTACAGTAGCCCTCAATCCTGATCCAGCATGTGTTTCAACAGGCGGAACAACAACTGACCGTAATAACAATTGCGAGCCTTCCTCAGTGACAGTAGACGCAAATGGTGCCATCCATTTAACACAGGGGCTCAACTGTTCCCAGGTAAGTCTTGATACTCTCAATGCACACTCTCTTCCCAGCGTGTAATAAACAGCCGCAGCAGCCATGTGACTGTACGGAAATTTAAGGCTCCCTCCATCAAGTGTCGAAAGATCTAAAAGTTGCGCCGCTTGAGAATATTGAAGACCACTGTACTGAGGGTAAATGAATGCATTTGGTCGCTCCCAATCACCAGACTCTAGTTGCATGTAAACATTTAACCAGCCTGTTGGTGTAACTGGAGATAAATTCCATCCGAGTCCTTTTAAAATAACCAACTCTTTTCTAAGGATTTCATCTTCAGCACAAGCTCCATCTGTTACATATGCAAACTCTGCGATTTTAGGCGGATATATTTCTTCTACCTATTGATAAAAAAATAAAAAATATTGATAAGTAAATAGTTATTAAAAAATATTAATTGTATGATTTTTAATTATGTAATAAAATATATACCTTTGCTGCTATAAATAAGCACGTGATACCAATAAGCTGTAATTGGCTTTTTGGTATATTTTGATGTGTCGAAAGATATCTGTCGACGTAATCCATACCAAGATAATAAGTCTCTCTATGTAGTTTGTAAACTTCACAAACTTCAATCAGCCAATCGAGTAAAATGGCTCGCATCCGTGGCTCCAGCGTCGGATGCCTCTCAAACATTTGTGGATCTCTCTGGGTCAATGCTTTTTGATCCCCTAAGCAGAGCATTGACCACACTTGTGTACCATCGGCCCAAGGAAATGTCGGCAGCGGATTGTGCTTTCCGGCGGTCGAGGTCGATGGAGTCATGAAACACGTGGATGTGCGAAGCTCTGACCATGTCGATGGCTCTCGTCGTTCTGTTTCTTCGGATATTTGATGCTGAGGTGTTTTCACTTCCTCAATTGTGTATACATCATTGCACGTCTCGAGACAAGTGCTTGGTGACACTGTTAGTTGCTGTTTTGTTGGTGGGTAAATATTTTCAGCGTCTTCTGAAGGTTCCGTATTTTTCCGTTTGCGTTTCAGTGTCTGGGACTTGGAGCTGAGTGGACAAGATTGAAAGGAATTTTTTTCTTGAAAACTGAAAATAATTATTAAATTTTTATTATCAAATATGTTTAAAAAATCTATGAAAAATATAATTTATTTGAGAAAACGAAATAAAAAATATTTTTTTTTAGTCTAATAAATTCATGAACACGTCGACATAGCCTGACTACATGAGATGATTATTTAATACAAAAATAATTAATTAAATTTTTTTCTTCGAATTATTATTAAATAAATAACTCAATAACAATGTAAACAATGTATTAATTGTTAAAAAGTACTCGGTTTTCAATATTATAACCAATAAAATAAATATAATTGTTGAAAATAAAATCAAGAATTGTGCACGCCCTCAACTGTACAAAACAGGTTAGAGCGAGAATTAATTTATATTCTATAAAAAAATAAAATAATTTTTCAAAATTAACCCGTTAAATGATACTCAAAGATTTATATTAAAAATTTAAATAACAATAAAAAAAATAATATAAAATAAAGTAAAGGGTATTGATCCTTAAATAATCAAATATATTATTCGTCACACTCACCTAGCTTGTGGCATCTTGGTGTTCATTTGCTGACGTGTGATACTCGTATATATGGTATTAAATAATTATTTTATTTATTCAAACTAAAGACAATACTTCTAACAGACAATACCGGCACCCAATTATAAATTATATTATAAATAATTAGCAGCACAACATAAATAATAAATGGGTATGCGAGGCTTGGGCTCACAGAATCGCCATAATGCCCGAGATAGTCCGTGATCAATTCCAACTTTTTTTTTTTCTATTCAAGATTAAAATTTTTTTTCCAGCTTATTAATAAAAACTCTCTGGATCACTAAAATCATAAGAAATTATTGTTCAGGCGATTTATTCCCATATATATAATTTATTCTGCGTAAATAATAAAATAATATAACAAGAGCGCGGGAGACCAGCGCGCGAAATGATGACCAACCCTTGTATGTAATCCGGCACTGGCACGCCCTCTGTACACTTAACATAACCTCGAAAAAATATATCAATATAATTTTATTTTGTTAATAAAATCCTCTCACAATAGTCAAAAATATATAACAATGCTTTGTGCAAAGTTTTATCACTTAAAACCAATAAATAATGCAGCTATTGCATCGAGCTAGTAGCAGCGAATTCGCCACCCAGTCACTTGTATTTATTTCGTATTTAACAATAGTTACCTAACAAAAATAATTAAAATAATTATCAAATAGTCTTTTTTGATGTTTATATTATGATAAAAACAATTATTTATCGGTTAATTGATTGAATATTCATTAAAATTAGGTCAAAATAAAGCGCCAAAATTTACCCACGCATCAACATTTGTGAAGCGACCGTTAAAAAAGTGTCACTGGTATAAACACACTGGTACTTCTTATATTTATTCGAATTTAAATATTTTGTTAATTGTTGATTAATAAAACAGTCAACAGTACATTTATATTGATAATTGTAATAAATATCCAGGCACTGAACAATTTATGCACACAAATGTTTGGCCTTTTTGATCGCGGGAACGCTTATGCACCAAAAGCAACAGCATAAACACACCGGCTGTGCATTTGTGGCGCTCATAGCTAGCGGTTCTCTCAATCAGGATTATGATTGGACGAGCTTTTAGCCCAGCTGGCGCTGATCAGCTGATCACTCTTTAAATAACTACTCACACATGTACTATACTAAAATGTATGTACAAAGTATTATACAATGTGTAGACAAATACTAGCAAGACCACGCGGGAAACGTACGCGCGTAAAATCGCCCCTCAGCCCGCCATCCCGCCAAGCCGACACTAAGCGGGCACAGGACACTGCCACGTATTTCGCACGCTATTTTTTTTGACAGAAAAAAATTTTACTTATACTTTTTTTTTTTATATAATATTGATTTTTCGATTTGTACATTCATTTTATCTTTAGCCTATTTAATTATTTAAAATAAACTCATTGATTGAAAGTTAAATAAAAGATGAAAAAATTAAACATTTACTTTAATACATAATAGCTGTCAATGATTGTTTAATCAGCTTATCTTTGTTTAATTTCGAGCATTCAATTGGGACTAATAAAATGACTCTGATTTCAAAATCAATGTCATTTAATTAGGCCTTAAAAAAATGTGTTATCAAGCATTTTTTTAATATTTAGTATAATACTTGTCGTTAATTAGAAATGAAAAAATTTATTTATCGGAATTATTAGGGTAGTTTTTTTCAGAAGTATAGAATATAAATAATGTTACCGCAGTTATCTACATTTTTATTTTATAGAAATTGTCATTATCAACTGAGGACAACAAGTGAGGCGAAAAACGAAAAACGAAAAATTCATCAAAGATGGTTTTTAGAATTTAAATTTACCGCCTCTACCATTCAACTTTTGGCGGTAATTTTGAATTCGAATTTTGCTTTAATACTTCAGTGATTTATCGATTAAAGTTACTTCTGAAGTTTTGTATTCTATTTTCAATTAAAGAAGACAAAGATAAAAATATATTTAAAATTAATTTTTTCGATTTTTTATTTTTACAAATTTTCGTCTTTGCGCTCTTACAAAATTACAGCTTTATAAAATTTATACTTTTCTTTAGCAGTTATATTTAGATATTTATCATTATAAATTATATTTTTAAACAATAATTAATGTAATTTTTTTTTTTTTTCAAAATACTTTAAAAAAATATCTCCTAAAAATTATTTCAACTTTTTTAATAAAAATAATGTAATTCAATTAGTTTTTTTGTTATATCTTTAATTGAATTATTTATAAAATATTTTAGTGGATGCGAAAGTAAAAAATTATAGGCATTGAAGTCTCCAGTCTTTTTTCTCTATTGGTGTCTCCAGAGGGCTACATACATAAAATATCACATACCCGCATGTCCACATCACGTAATACATGAATAATTATATTTTGTACGGACATAACCAGTGGCTACGTCTTTAGAAGATATTTTTCTCAAATGTCGAAACAAGATATTTTTACACAATCAGTCAGATCTAAAAGGAATAAATAAATGTTATATATTTATATTTATCTACAAATATATACTTATATAATTATAATTATGGTTAATATTAATATGTTAAAATGATGAAAAAAAAAAAAAAAAAATATTGTTTAGAATCAATAATAATAAATCTTAATTAATATTAAAGATTTATTTATTTAAAATAACGATTCCAATAATGCTAAATGACAATACCAGCACGGGCTTTGTCCCCGCTTGTCACCTGTTTGTCTGGTTACTGCTCGTGATCTACAAAAAATAAATTAAGAAAAAAAACAAGTCTGAGCGAGAGAGAGATCGTGAGAACCGGTAGAGAGGTCCGGTAGTAGTTTCGTCGTTACCGATCAAGTCTCTTGTTGAGTTTGCGGGTGGAGAACCGCTGATATTTAGCAGGGTTGGGTGTCAGGGACGCATCATCAATTTGCAAAAAACGAGAAACCTCAAAAGAAGATAATATAATTACCGAGTACTGTTTATTTTTATTTTTACAATATTCAATTTTACACTGACAGGTAAATTAATTTTTTATTTATATTCTTCATAATTAAATTATTATTATTTTTATTAAATTATTACTTATTAATTTTTTCAGAAGGAAAAAAGTTGAATTTTCATAGAAGAAATGTCAAAAAAAATTAACTATATCATTAAACATAACAAATAAAATAATAATTAGTTAAGTTTCATGACAGTCTGCTAATACTACGTATTACAGTTTATGTTGACAGGTACGAATTTAATAGGGCACAGGTGCAAGTGAGAACGTCCCTGGTTTTCTGGAAATCGTTAGTGGTCCGGGGCCATTAAACGCGTTTTATGTGTCTTGCAATTTGATCCTGCAGCGCTCAGTGCGCTGATCAGAGAGTAACAGAGAGTAATTTACGCGAATTCCTTAGCATCGTGTGGACTCTCTGCAGGTGGGCTGCTCGTATCATCTACAATTATAACTGCAGTACCACTAAGTCTGTTGTCAACAGTGTGTTACTATTTAAACTTGTTAACATTATAAAAAAAAAACACCAAACAAAGCGTCATATATATTTTTTTTGGATCGATAAATCGTTCGATCATCGGTCGCAACAATTTCGTGCACTCGACGAGTGCACGACAAAAAACACAAAAAAAAAAATATACGACATTGAGGGCATCGTCTCAATATTTGTGAGTAAAAAAAAAGTCAGAGCTTTTAAATTATTATGATTAAATAGTGATAATGTGTTATACATTATGATGAAATTTATTGTTAAATATTTGAATTAAAGTGGTATTAACATAATCTCATGATAATTTTATTGATTACAGGGTAAATGATTGGTAGTTGTTGAAGTGTAATGCAGGGCATTATGCCAGTTAAAACTAAAACAAGAGTACCAGAAAGTATGGGTGTATCTGGAGACTTGGTTGATGCTCGTGCTAAGCAAGTTCTTCGTGAAGCTGTTGATGCTGTTGTCAATAGTTTTGCTAAACATACTCAAGGATATGGAAGAGGTAAAATTATAAATATATTGTATTTTAAATTTATTATTGATTGTTCATTATTTTATTTAAATATTTTTGAATGATCAATAGTTAACGTTGTTGAGGCACTACAAGAATTTTGGCAAATGAAACAAAGCAGAGGCACGGAATTGAGAAACGGTGCATTAGTTATTTATGAATCAGTACCAGGTGCAAGCCCTCCATATGTTTGCTATGTTACTCTACCTGGTGGCTCTTGCTTTGGTAGTTTTCAAAGTTGCCCGACAAAGGCTGAAGCCCGTAGGTCAGCCGCTAAAATAGCGTTAATGAATTCAGTGTTTAATGAACATCCGTCGAGAAAAATAACTGATGATTTTATTGAAAAAGCTGTGGCTGAAGCGAGAGCTAGTTTCAATAAACCCGCACCTACTTCAAATGGTCAATCACAGGTTAGATTTCATTAACTTTTTTATTTAATTATGAACAATTGGAGTAGTTTTTCAAAAATTCATTGTTATTCATTGTTATTATTATGTTGATAGAATAATGGAGATGAAAAAGAGGATCCTAATACAGGTATCGGTGCATTCCGTTTTATGTTGGAGTGCAATCGTGGTAGAACAATGCTAGAGTTCCAGGAGTTGATGACTGTGTTTCAACTACTACACTGGAATGGATCATTGAAAGCAATGCGAGAAAGACAATGTAGTCGACAAGAAGTTGTTGCCCATTACAGTCATCGTGCTCTCGATGATGATATGCGCAGTCAAATGGCTCTTGATTGGGTCGCTAGGGAACATGAAAATGGTGGTGGAGTTGTCGCTATGGAACTTGCTCTTGCTGAGAGAGAATTGGAGACTGCTAGACTCGCTGGCCGTGAATTACGATTTCCTAAAGAGAAAAAAGATATTCTTATGCTTGCTCATGCTCAAGTTTGTCCACAGTAAATTTTGAATTATTATTCTTACTCAACCGGTTATACCAGTGAACCATGATTTTTAATTATCAATAAGCAAACAGTTATTAAAATTACTTATAGTAATTAATTCATTATGAAAAGTAATTTACAAGCTAAATCGCTTCATTAAATTCTTCAAGTTAACTTATTAGTAGTAATGAATATTTAAATTTATTTTTAATGTAAATGTTTAGGTATTTTATTGCTTAAATTATAAGTTCAATCGAAAGATTATGAAATTTTTTAGGGATTTTGTTTAGTTTATTTGAATGTAAAGTATATATAAATATACTTTTTTTTTAATGAAAGTTATATTTTATCCAGAGAATACTTTTGCTTAATTAGTTTAAATTTGAATATAGTTTGTAATTTATTTTATACAATTAGTTGAAAATTTTTACTGCTAATTTTTTTTTTTTTAGACATTTTGAATCGTGTCTATTAATTACACTAATTAAATATCTCCGCATTATTATCATTATTATATTTAATTACTTGATAAAATGGAGATTGAATTACTAGATTATTAGGAATATATTTTTCATTTATAAATTATTTGGCCAGTGTTGTTGATATTTAAAAAAATTTATCAAACAAAAGATTAATGTAATTAATTGGTTAATTAAAAGCAATTAAATTACATTTTAATTAATAAATAATTTGTATATAAAAGATTAAAGCAATCGTGGAGTCTTGGGCATTCACTTTTGCGAAAAGTCTTCCACAATCATATTACGTTTTAACTATTGGGCATTTAATTATTAAATTCACGAGCTTAATATGTATGCCTAACTTGCCCAAGTTAAGTTTACAACAGTAATAATATTGTTTTTAAATATTTTATTAATTAATGTATTTTATCTTATCTACTAATTGTTAACTTAAGTATATAGAAAAGTATAAATAATTAAATATAAAAAAAAAAAAATGAGTAAGCATAAAAAGGCAAGCAATTGAATTATCGATAATACGAGATATTTGATTTTTTTTTATTTATTCATTTTTTTTTCTTTTATATAAGATTTTGTGTTATGTCGCGAATATTGTGTGATAAATATCTAGTGTAATATTCATTCTTCCATTTTATTAATATCAAAATGTTATTGTCTTTTGCCAAACGTTTTGTTACGTGATATATTTTTTGATAAGATAATGAGAACGTTAGCATGAATAAAATACAAATATTAATAACAATATTTGTGTGGTGATAAAAAAAATTTTATAATGTACTTTTGAAGAAAATTTTCTTTTATATGCAGATAAATTCGTACTGTTTAGAAATATGATATAAATTTATGAAAATTAACTAATGATGAAATAGTTTATAACAATGTTTATTTTTATGTTATTGTATTAAATATTAACAATTGATAAAACCATTAATTTGTATTATTACTCTTATAATTTATTACCACATTTAAACATGAATGACATTTTCAGTTCTTGATGGTGAACTTCTATTTTCATCTTTTTCTTGTGTTGGGTGGTCTAAAATTTTATCTATTATCCCGAACTCTTTAGCATCCGCTGGAGACATGAATTTATCTCTCTCCATGCTGTTTTCTGTAATGGATAAGTTGATTTGTTAAAAGGTTGTATTAAAATTAAAAACATGATTTTATTCAAAACAACAGAAAATTATATCTGAATATGAACAACTCTGTACCTATTCTCGAGATATCAAGACCAGTATGTTTGACGTACAGATGATTAATTTGTTTCTTCAATTTTAAAATTTCTTCCGCTTGAATTTGAATATCAGTAGCTTGTCCTTGAACTCCTCCAGACGGTTGGTGAATCATAATTCTTGCGTTGGGAAGAGAATGTCTCATACCGGGGGCACCAGCAGCCAGCAGTAAACTTGCCATTGAACAGGCTTGACCTACACACCAGGTTGCTATTGGTGGAAGAACGTACTGCATTGTATCGTAGATTCCTAATCCAGCTGTTACACTTCCACCTGGTGAATTGATGTAAAGATGAATCGGTTTTTTATTACTCTCCGATTGAAGGAATAATAGTTGCGCTATCACCAATGACGAAACGTCATCTGTTATCTAAAAAATAGAAATATTTAGAAAGTTTAATTTATGTATTGGAGTAAAAATTTTAATTGAAACTCACTGCTCCCATAAGACATATAATTCGATCTTTCAATAATCTTGAATAAATATCATAAGCCCGTTCTCCTCGGCCAGTTTGCTCGACGACAATTGGTACTAAGTTTAAATTTCGCGAAATTATATTTCTCGCATTATTCTGTAAAGTAAATAAACAAGTTATTATTTAAGGTTATGAAATAAAAATTTACTAGATCATACATTAATCACGTACATTTGTAGTTAAAAAATTACCAATCTTTCTAAACAACATTTTTTGCAAAAATTGAGTAAATGTTTATAAAAAAATTAATTCTAGTTTATTACTTATAAACTTATGACTAAATCACATTTAATTTTACAATCAAACTATTTCACTGATTACAACTGTGATAAGTATTTGGCGTGTTACTCTTTATTTATGTCATAAAATATAAACAAAGTGAAATATGTTTACTGAATGACATTCATTATCAATTTTATAGTTTTATAGACATAGGTACTTGACACATGAACTCAGAATTTTAGAGTTAAAGTAAAGCAATCATCGTTTTAAAAATAAAAATACAAATGAATAGCCGTACACTAGCGACACTATGAAAATTTGAATTTTTCGCGGCAAATGTTATTTAAATCTAAACTTACACGTGTTCACGCATATTATCACATTTTATCATTTTATTTTTGGAAATATTAGACGTAATATATGTTGGGGTTACATTTTTAACCTGAGATTAATTTTTCAATGTTGGTGGTGAATAAATATATACACTTGAAGATATAATTAGATAAATGATAGATTTAATGGAGTTCGAAATTAATTAAAGAATTAATTTTTAATGAAGACATGTGAGTAGTGGTAATAATTTGACATTATTAGTAAATTGTGACGAACTTCCTCTATAATTACAAATATTTTTAACATCGTTTATCAGTTGAGTTGTGGCTATCCCCTGAGTTCAAATCTGTCTCTTACTTTTTTTTGACATACTTATCTATGAAAAAATAAGAAAACTGTTATGAAGTGTGTGAAAATTATTGTGTTTTAATATGAACTAATATTAAAATTGAATTTTAATTTTTTAAAATTTAAAAATAACTTCAATATTTACGTTTTAAATACTAACTTGTGTTTACAAATTGATAGAAATATGTTTGCCGCAAGAATATACTTTATTTTTTTTATATTAATACCCGCAAGTGTTAATAGTATTAGTACTGATAAAAAATATTGTCCGCTACAAGAGATTTTTGATACCAAAAATAATTCTAAATGCCTTATTTCGCACACTGAAAATTTTGCTAATCATTATTACAAGGAAGAAACCAAAAATTGGATTGATAAGTACTTAACGGAATGTTCCAATGATTCTTCGAAAATACATACCCTGACTAACTTAACGATATTAAGATTGATTGCTTGTACAAATTTAGTACGTAAAAATGATCTTGTGAATATTTCATATGTTCATAAGTACAATCAAAATAATGAGAATTACTCGACTTCACGATCTATGACTATCAGAAAATGTTGTCCTCAAGGGCAGCGATACAGTACTGAAACTCGAGAATGCATGAATTTCTCTTCAAATTATGTAGATATTTTTAATATAGTCCGTGACTTTTCTGATAAAACTATTGATTCTTTATCAATAATTCAAGGTTTTCCAACTTGTAATTATAGTTTAATTAACCACGTCATTAGTACAATTGACGATCGACTTATTTTTTATAATGATACGTATCAGGTAAGCTATTAATTGATTTCTAACATTAAATTCAAAATCGTGTACGTGTTAGCAGTTATTAGGCTTTATTCTTATCTATCACTGCCCAATTTTTTTTTTTCAACTGTATATAATGACATAATTTTTATTATTATTATTATTATTATTATTATTATTATTATTATTGTTTTATTGTCTGTACGAAATTAACTATATAAATGAAATAACAAATATTTTATAATCAATTTTCCCTTCGTATTTTACAAATATATTTTTGCAATATATATTAGCAAAACATGCATTTTTTCAATGATAAATAGTATTTTTACATTTAGGGTCTAACTTTTTCAAAAGCTGGTAAAAACAAACTACTTGTGACTGAAAATAATTCATGTTTTGACTTCGGATCATCTCCAAATACACTTGTCGTTAGAACATGCAACGACGCTGAATTTTGTGAGCATAATACTTGTTTGAAAAAATGTTGCCCAGAAGGTGAAGCCCGGATCAGTAATAAATGCCAAAAACTTTCTTTATTTCCATCTTTCAAAAAAAAATTCCACAGTGAAGTAGAATCATTTGTCAACAATGCTCGTTATAATGAAACCTTATCAGACGTTTTAAAATTCACCGGTAATCCTTTTATTTTTATAATATTATTTAAAAAACAATAAATTACGTATGAAATAATAATGAAAAAATTTATTTTTTGATTTTTAAGATTATAGCCTCCTCATTGAATTTGTATCTTGTAATGGCAGTGAAAGAGCATATCCAGTAAAACCATCAAAAAATTGGTATTTTACTTCAAGTGGATATGTTTACGTACCCGATCATCAGGTTGCTCGTCGTCACGATGAATATTGCTTGGAAATGATATTCGGGAACAAATTTTTGGAAGATGGATTGTATCCTATCATGTGTGCCAGCAAGCATATAATTGCATCGAAAAATGATCCTGTGCGACCACTTGCTCCTATGAGACTAGATGATTCAGATGATCCTCTTCCATCAAGGCATTGAACCTATTTTATTGTTATTTAATTCTGAAAAAGATAGTTAAAATATTAATTTGTTTAATCATTTTTTTTACCTTTAATAGAATTCTTGTCAAAACAATAGCTGAAACAATCAGTTGCACGTTTCTGCTACTGACATTTTTGGTTTATCTAAGCCTACCATCTTTACAAAATATCCATGGAATAACTTTGATGTGCTATATAGGAAGTCTTTTTTTAGCTTTTAGTTCTCATACAGCTATTATTTTTCTGACAATATACGATAACAAGACTCCGGATTATTATTTAGTGGATTCGCCAATGTGTAAATCTCTCGGTTACATAATGACAGCATCATTTCTTGCAGCGTTTACTTGGCTCAATGTAATGTGTTTTGATATCTGGTGGACATTCAGGCAAGTAATTTTTCTCTTTTCTTACCGCTCCCTGGAAATCAAAACTGAAAAAGCTAAATATAAAAATATGCTTTACTTTACTACTAAACATCATAAATGTTGAATTCTTAACACGATTGAATTTTATTTATAGAGGATACAACGGCATAGTTTATATTAACCGTGAAAGCTTAGGACGTAGAAAGCGTTTCTTACTTTATTCTTGCTATGCTTGGGGTCTTCCATTATTTTCGTCACTGTTTATCTTCATGTTGGATTCGAAAAAATTTATCCCCGACGAATGGCTTCCTCACCTAGGAGAGACCACATGTTGGATTGGAGGTACATTAGCTTTACATAATCATATAAATTCAATATGAGTAATGCGTTATTAACTCTATTAATTAAATTATTTTACAGCACAAAATGACAATTTAGCAAAAGTTATTTACTTTTATGGACCACTTACTATACTCTTGACGATTAATGTTATATTCTTCATCCTCACTTTACGTAACTACAGTAGGGTTAAAGCGAGCATTTCCAAATTATCATCATTCACCAGCGATCAACTAGACAAAGCTACTAAAACTAAGTAAGAATTCATATTAATAAAATTTACTTTATAAAAATATAATATAAAACTCTGTTCTAATGAATTATTTCTTTTTCAGAGTAAGGATCACCTTGAAGCTATTCATTGTTATGGGCATTACTTGGATTTTTGAAGTAATTGGATTCTTCAGTAAAACTTATGTAATCAGTTTGAATTGGCACGTTATAATTTTTACTGTGTTTGACATGATTAATTGTCTCCATGGAATGTTTATTTTTATCTTATTTGTGGTCAAAACTGATGTTTATCGCGCGTTAATAAAAAAATTCAACGGTCATCGACCTCATTTGCGATTTCATCGAAGATCTCAAAAAACTAATGACTTGAGGAATATTTTTAAAAATTCAAGATCTGTAAACTCAACCAGTACGTTAATAACGTCATGCAACGATGGATCAGTTCAATTTATGAGCTCTTTATGATATTTTTTTATTTCATTTAATTCAAATAAATCCAGACGCTCTGACTTGAACATCAAATTAATTGTTATACAAATAAAAAATCAATTTCTCAAAATAATTATATTATTATAAAAATTATTTTTTTGTTATATTGTTTAATATATCTTTTTACAATAATTAAAGTTAACTTTTAGAACTTATATTTACTGAACGAGTGTGATAAAGAATATATTATATATATTTTTGTTTGAGTGAAAGAAAGAGAGATTGAATAAAAAAGCATATACTTATTCAAAAAAAAACTAATTATATATAAACAATTAAAAAAATATTAAAAAAAAATAGTAAAGTTAGCCGACATTGTTAATTTTTGGAGTTATTTTTTAATTATTAAATATAATTAAATATTTTTAAAAAATTATGCACTTAGAGTTTTTGAAATTTTTTAAAATTGAATTTTTTTGTAATAATTTTGTTAATAAAAAAAATTCTAAAAAATTTTAGATATCGGCTAATTTAATTTTCATTAAAAATTAAGTTAATAAAATTTTTAATTATGATTTCATTTACTCCAAAGTGCTAAGAATAATCACAAACATATTTAAATGATTGCTCTTTTTTCCTCGACACTAAAGCGAGGTTTAGTTTTTAAAGAGTTTTGAAATCGTACTATTATTTTTGAATAATTATTTTTTGTACTGTTAAAAAGTTGATAAAATTAGTGAAACAATTCATTTTAGTGATACTTAATAATTTAACATCAGTTATTCAACAATATTTATTATTTATCTAAAATAAAGAGGTTAGTTGATTTATTTTCATTTTTTAATACTTAAATAATTATTATAATTAATTTTATAACTCCAACGGATTACTAAATAAAACAATAGTTTATTTATTTACTACATATTTCAGACAAAATGAATTGCCAAATACTTTTTAAGTCAATTCAACGAGGAACATCAATAATTATCTCCCGGATAACCTCACTTGAGTCTAGTCAACTTATCACCAGGCAATTCCATGGTTTAACTCAGACTCTTGTCACCGCAGCAAATGGACAAATTTCTGGATCAAATGTTTGTAAAAACTATTTACTGCAATCAGTTCAACCAATTTTAAATCATACTTGTGGTCTAAAACACAAGGCTATCCTTAAGCGTCGTTGTAAAGATTGTTTTATTTATGCCATCGAAGGAAGGTGGTTCGTCGGATGTAAAACGTTTGGTAGACATAAACAAGCTCAGATTGTTAAAAAAGAAAAAAATACATGGATGTTAACTTCCGTTTGTCAGTCTAAGAAACGCCCGTGGTGGTAAATACATTATTATTTAATCAACCATAACAATGCCGTTATTACTATTACTATTATTATAATTAAATGAAAATTAAAAATATAAATATAATCTTTAGTCTATTTAATGTACTTCTGTATCTTGTTATTTTATTTTACTAATTTATTTTTTTAAAACAGGAATTTTCAAGTCATCTTTGTTTAAGTTAAGTATTGAGGTAGCGGTAAAGTATAAAAGGCAATAGATTCTTTGTCAAAAGAATTTCGTTCTACATTTGATTGCAGATAATTTTCTTTCCATGAATTCTGTTGAGCGATTGGTAGTGAATTATTCCATACCTGTAATTATTTGAATTAATTTTTAAAAAAATTTATGACTACTCAAAAGGTTGTGAGTTTTAAAAATTACTGAACTAAGAAAAAAATTTTTTTTCATACTTTCTCACAATGATTTATCCAGTCGTAAAGAAATTGATTACTGATGTTATAGGCAATACTTTTTGACTGCTCTAAAAATTTTATACTTGTCTGATGTCTTGATTGAATCATATTAAAATAGGCTTTCATAAAAACATATCTGAAAATTATAGTTTTTTTTTTTATAAAAAAGAAATTTTAATTCCAATAAAAAAAAAAATAATTACCGTGATAAAATAAACTTCGATGTTTTTATTATTTTTTCAATAATTTTAAATTGTTTTTTAATATCCGTTAGAATTATTTGAAGAGCATTTACATTTTTTCGATCAAGACTACGAACTAAAAATTATTTTATTTTATTTATACTCAGATTTTTATTTAAAAAATTATTACCGTATGATAAAAGAAGACATTCGAGTTGGTTTATAGCGACAATAGATTCATTTAATGTACTTATTTTATGTGAATCGACATTAATCGTTCTTTTATTCCAAATTTCAGCAGACTCCCATTCTTCCATTCTTAAATACCTTTAAGATTAAAACATTTTTTATAATTTTAACTCTTTTAAGTCCTCCAAGTGCTTTCTACTAACCAGAGTTCCATGCTAATACAAAATCTTCTTTTTACTTCAACATTTTTTAGTTCAACAATTATTTTACCTTCTTCTTGGTAATATTGTTCACATTTTTGTAAGGAGATCAATTTAATCCCTGTTTCTAATTGGATAGACAAACAAACTTCATAGTACCACATTCGAACTGATTTATCCACAGATGTATTATAAATTAATTCTGAAAAAAAAAAAAATTCAAATAATATTTATGAAAAATTTAATTTTTATATTAATTTAATAGTTTATTTTATTTACTTAATTCTTTAAGCAACGGAATCAGTTCTTCACATCGATATTCAAGCATTAATGCGTAAATTAATTGTGATAAAATTAAAATTTGAAAATAATTAGATCTCACATTTTTAGATATTTGATAAACTATCAAGCCCAAATCTGAAGCTTTTCTAATTTTATTTCTCGATAAACGAGCGTAAAAAATACTAGTATATAATTTAATTATAGACTTTAATTCTTGTTCAGTAAGATCAGCGCTTTTATTGTTGCAGAATTTCATCCCTTCGTTTTCTACATTTGTCATAAACACCCTAAAATTAATAATTTAGTAAATCAACAAATTTTATCTAATCATTAATTGTTTAATCGAAAAGTATACTCGTTATTAAATGTATGCCCAATGATTATAATGTTTGCAAAAGCCGTACAAAGTGTAACTAATTCTTTTTTTGACATTAACGCAGAACTCAAACTCCAAGCTGCTGCAAGTTGAGCATGTTCATACATTCCTTCCATCTAATAATAGTTAAAAAAAAAAAAAAAACTTTATTTTATTAGTTATATTTTATGTCTAAATATAATTTATAATTTAATATTTGATACCTGAAGAATGATAAACATTTCCGATAGACATTGCGAAAGTTGATCATGATACTTAGTGGCATCACCATTGTAATTATTGATCATGTGATTCTTTTTACACATCATAAACTTGAGTTGTTGGAAGAAATATTTCGCTTTCAATAGAATAATTGGATTACTATTAGGCCACCAATAACCCATACTTCTTATTGCTTCTTTTAAATTATTTTTAACTTCTTCAATTTGTCCTGTATGTAAATCACACTTGGCTTGTAGTGTTCTTATTTTTCCTTTTAAATAAGGTACGGTTACTAATTCATCGTCTCGTGCTTTAAATATCTGTTAAAATTAACCAAGTTTAATTTTATACATCAATCATTTGAAGTAACTTTGAGCCATCGAGATTAAAAAAAAAAAAAAAACTTGAAGTATTTCTTGACAGACTTAATCTTAAATCAAGATGATGGATCCAAAGTTACTACAATCGGTTGTACTGTAAATATTAAAATTTATTTTACACGACTTAAAATATCATCTGCATCATTTAAGAGTTTTTTAGCTTGAGGTACATTAGAAATTTCTAAAAGCACTCTTGCAAATTCTAACATCGTTGTTAATGCTTTGTCTTTACGATCTAAAAAATATTACCAACAAGTTACTTTTATTTTTAATCAACTTCTATTATAATTTATAATAATTATGAAAATATTTACCGATACCCATGCAGTGGTCTAAAATTTGTGAAAAAGTAGTAATGAGAATTAAATTACACTGACAGTTAGTAAAGTTTAAATCAGAAAATAATTGGGGCGTTATTTCAGTTTCTGAATGCTTCATAAGTTTAAAGTACCATTTCTTCGAATTTTCTTTTTCTAGTTGGAATAAAAAAAACAATACTACATAATGTGATAAATGATTTTTAATAACGATAACTTGTCAAAAACTATGTATATACTTTTTTGATTCTTTAAATTTTTGTAAATTCGATATGGACTTGAAAGTTCTAAAATATCATCAAGATCAATTTTTCGTTTTGAATTTTTCAAATATTCTTGATCAGAACTCAATTTTTTAAAAAATTTATTCCCACAAGAATCACATCTTTTAGTATTATTTTCTATGTATCTTAAGGCTTTCTTATGAAGCTCGATTTTTTGATTTTCAGTTAATAATCTATTTATAATGTTAATTTTTTTTACTGTTAAAGTTAGATATATTATGAAATTTTATAGATAAAGTTAAATATAATATTTTTAAAAAATTACCTGTAAGTTATTTCACGAGATTTTGCGATTTTGAATCGTAGTAAATTACAAGACGCATATTTAGGAAGATCAATAAGTGGTTCTACAATAAAATTATAATATAAAAATTAAAATCCATAACTTAAATTATTTTATTTAACTATTAATATTATCGTGACCTCGTGTTTCAACATTTATGCATCCGCATTTAATTTTAATATTATCGTATAAATTCCTAAATTTGCTAGTGAATATTTTAGGCCCCAGACTCCTAGTGAAATCTCCAGCTGCACATCCGATAATTCGTTTTTCAAATAAATTTATTACTGCTATTTATCAAAAATCATTTCACATAAACAAGTGGTTTTTTTTATTTAAAATATCAAAATTTCATGATGAAAATTACTTACACAAACCAATATCACGAATTGACGTTTTTTCCATAAGTTTTTCCAGCAAACTTCTATTAATAGTCTCTCCCAGCACGGCAGCGCATTTCAACAAAATTTGATCCATCGGTTTCAGCGAATCAAATAGTTTGAGAAACAAAACTAAAAAACATCCAAAAACAATCTCTTTAATTAAATTATATTATGGAATTAAATTTTTTACCGTCTGTGGCAAGTTCGGCATTAACATCCTCAAGTTGAAAATTTTTTCGAACTGTACAAATGAAAACATCTTTATTTTCTATTTCTTCGTCACCAAGTACCGAAATAGTTTCCTAATAATAGAGAGAAAAAGAAAATTATAGAGAAAAACTGTATAAATAATTCCATAAAATAAAAACAGAAAATACCTCATAACTATTTTCATACATTCTCCATCCATCGTCCCGTGTTGAAATTTCACCTTTTTCTTCTGTACGAGAACCAGATGGCAATTGTCTTGAAATTTAATTTTCAAGATAAATTATTAAAAAAAAAAAAAATAAATAAATAAACAATTGTTATTGTCAATACAAATTACGTTTTAATCATCTTCATAGGTGGAGTAACTAGACCCATTTTTTTTAACATTTCTCTCGAGACTCTTTTTATTTCAATGCCTCCAACTTGCATCAAACTTATGAGATAACTTTCAATCCAGCCTGAATTACCCATACTTCTTTCTTGAATAACTCTATAGAAAATATGCAGTTCTTATACAGTTATTATTATTAATAAACGTCTCTATCATTATTCATTGTCATTGTCAATTAAAAAATACTTTTCTAATTCTGGAGGGATAGCAACGACTCTTAAAAATTGACAAACCAGACCCGCATGATACCACTTATCTAATCCTTCAAGATTCACTATTCTTGCTTTTTTTTCTAATACTTTGTATAGTTTTTTTTCATCATCAATCAGACTAAAAACAAAAAAAATTCTCTCTTGATTAATGATTGTTGGAATTAAAGTGAGTGATTCCTTGTCAATAAATTCGGCGTCATCAATCAGAATCACCCATAAGTCCTTGAAACACTCTTCCACCAACTTGGCAATGAATTCATCTACACGCTGTTTTTTTTCGTCTTCCAACAAAGTTGATTTACGTGAACTAAATTTAAAGTCAACGTTAAATATTTCATTTAATAAATAAAAATATTCTTTTCCATCAGTAGACTTTAAATGATCAGCAAGAATTTTTTCACGATCTTCTTTGGTTGTTTCGATTTTGAAGCCCAGCGGAACACAGAATATAAAATTAATTAAGGAATATGGTACCTAAAAAATTATATACTTGTATTTGACTATAAAAAATAGTAATTCAAGTAATACTTCTTGGTCATTATTTGTAAGGTTTATATAATTGCAAGCAGTATTTTCGGGAATAATTTTTGATATTTCATCTAGTAATCGCGTTCGTCCAACTCGAGGTTCACCTCTTAAAAAAAAAAAAAAAAAAAAAAAAAAAAAAATAAAATAAAATAAAATAAAATAAAATAAAACAATGAGCACACGGAAAGAATAAAATGATACTGCATATCTTCTCATATTATACTCAGTGATATCTGTGGTGAAAAAAATTTCAGATAATATCAAATAAAATCCAGATTATACTAAATTATTTTTGTATTATACTCAGTGTAATCTCCGATTTGACCAAGTAATTTTCCTGGTTATACCGCGTAAGATTACACTGGATATAATCCGAAAAAATATCTCGTATAATTTGAATTATACTCACTAGAATCTTGAATTATACAATTTTTTCGAAAATTATGATATTCAAATTTTTTCTTTTTTAATTTGAAAATTTGTAAAAATTGTGATAATCAATTTTTTTTTAATTGTTCATTTTTTGATATATTTTTCAAAAAATAAAATATATCAATAAAATCAAATAGAAATTTCGTTCAAAAAAATAAAAATTAAAATGGTGACCCCACTTGATAATATTTACCAATAATTTTTCAACCCCAAATTATCGGAAAAATTGTGCTTAAATGCTCCTTAAATATTTTCTATCCATGCATTGCATCGCATATATTTTGCACTGCATTTTTGAAAAATACATAAAAAAATGAACAATTAAAAAAAAAAAAAATTGATTATCAAAATTTATAATATGAGAGGATATGCAGTGTCATTTTGTTCTTTCCGTGCAGTTTGTTCTTCTTGATTTTTAATTATTTTTGTTGTACCTAATTAGTAAAATATTGGTATTTTTCAATGAAAACTCTGAATTATTCCAATTACTCCGAGCTTCAGTCAATAACGATTCAAATAATTTCAATTGTATTGTCCGGCCTAGTAATGGATACACTGCTGTTGTCATTTCTGAATCTTGAACTCTACAAAATAATTTTATTTTTATTTTTTTATCAATATCTACAATATTCAAAATTAAATAAAAGGCCATTTGGCACCAGCCAAGATGGGAGGTAGATTTCATGTAATCCATGATTTTAATTACGATATTATGAATAATTATTATTCCTCAAGTTTATCAGAAAAGTAAATCGGCTGCCAAATTTTAAAATACAGTGATTTATTAGATTTTCGAAAATTTCAAATGGCTGCCATTTCTAAACTATTTGAGGGATTTAGCTCATTTTTGAACTCATTCAAGCTAATTGTATATAGAATAAGTCTACCAAGTTTCATAAAGATTCATTAAGAATTGTGGGAGTTATCGTGACCAACGTCATTTTTAAGCCTTACTCGACTAAATAATTGATATAGTTACGAAATTCTGTGTGAATTTTGACACAAGGGCCAATGCAATAGATAGATTTTATGAAATCTACCTAAAAGATGATACATATAATTAAAATGATTAATTACTGGACTTGTTCAAGAAATTCATATACAGGACCGACATTTGAAATTCCTTTTAAATGTTTGGCTTCTTGTAGAATAAAATGTCCAGATTCAAGCCGTGAATAAAGAAAACTTTCTCTGTCACAAACAACCTGAAATATAAAAATTTTTATACTGTAAAAATCCTTTGATAAAATTAACAATTTAGTTTTGATTATAATTGATGTTTAACAATAATTTTACTTTATTAGTATAAGCAACCATAAGCCTAGCAGCTTTATTGACTGGCATTCCAATAACAGTATACTCTCTTCTTAGAGTATGACCCACAACTCCACAGTAAGTCATACCAGTTGACACTCCTACAGTCACAGAATTAATATTTTCAAAAGCAGATAACGCACTTTTCAACTTTGAAGCACAGCGAAGTCCTATTTGAGCTTCTAATTCTTGTTTGCCACCTCTAAGACCAAAGATGCATAGAAACATAAGGTCTTTGTCGAATAATGATACTTTATTTACACATCCTTGAAGTTTATCAACGATCCTTTGGAATTAATAATATTACATTATAAAAAGTAATCTAAGTTTAAGAAATAATGAATTTACTTACCCACAGACACGCTTGAAAGCTTTGTTAACAATAGAAATTAAAGTTCTTTTTTTGACGTTGCTGTCAGTAACAACATTTATAAAAACAATTACAACCTGACGAATTTCAGCAAGATGTTCCAGTGGTTCATTCAATTCAACGGATCGAACTACTGGCTTCAGCATATAGCTTCGTAACTCATTTTTTAAGTGCTGTGCAGTTACATTAACTACTTTTGGTCTAACTAAATGATTATTTCATTTAATTATTATTATAATTTGTATAATTCATAGTTAAAATAATATGATAATGAAGTTAGATAACATCTATCAATTTTTCAAATTTTTATAAAAAATCAATTACAATGAAAGAAATGTTTTAAAAATTTTCCACTAATAATTTTTTTTTTTTTATTTTCACATGTGGAATTTTTTGATTAAATTTTTTTCATAACAATTTCATTGCTATAAAATTCATGACATTAAAGTTAGCAAGTTAGCAGTCACTAGAGAATCTTTTAATTTTTTTTAACAAACAAATTTGTTCAAATAAATTACTTTTAAAAAATTGCATTTTTTGTTTTTTAAAATATCTACATGTCAATTTTTTTTTCTAATTTTTTTTTTTGCCATAATTTATTTGTTAAAAAAATTCTAAAAATTATTAAATATCTGCTAAATTAATTCTCATATAAAATTCTAAAAAAATTTCTAATATCAGTTAACTTTAGTGTCTTATAAAATAATACCTACGACTGTAATCAATAGTGGACTTGAATGCATCATTTCTAATATGATCTTCAAAACGAGCAACAACCGAGGAATCTTTATCGTACGGATTGTCATCGTCTCCTATAGTTTCTGTCGAGTTGGTTTTATCACTATCTAGAGAAGAAATCCACGATTCATCTTTGTAATCCTCTTTAGAGTGCTCCCACATTGTTGAACTCGCTAAAATAAGTGTGTGTCGATTTGGAAGAATTTTGAAGACATAATCGCTTGGATTGGCCCATTGCCAACTACTTGGAGCCACGAGAATATCACCGCCTCTAATTAGTTAATAAGTGAAACTCAATAATTAATTTATAATTAATTTTAACAATCCAGTCTCATATTTAACCTGCAGAGAGTTTCTGCATGTTTAACATCCCAGACAGGTTTACCAGTTATAATGTAATGAGACATCTGCTGCGGGTCACCAACTGATGTAAAATTTATTTTTCCAGAAGCAATGGCTAATTTTACTGGGAAAATACATGCATAAATTTATTTCAAGGAGTTATTGATTTTTTAAGAGAGGTTGAGTACCTTTTAAAGTAACTCCAATATCGGTACTATAAGTTCCAAAGTGTTTTTGAATTATACAAGCTGTCTGCATAGCTTTTGTCGCCATATCTCGCATTATCATTCCTTCTTGTAGCTTCCACATAACGATAAATGCATCTCCCGAAAATTTTAAAACATCTCCGTGATGAGACAAAATTTCTTGGACTATTGGACCGATGTAACTGTTAAGTGTCTCTGTTAATTTTGATGGACCACTTTTTCCAGACCGTGTATACTTTTCTGTTATTTCAGTAAACCCTAGTTTATATTTGTAAAAATTTTACATTAAAAACTAGTAAGTATAGTTATTAACTTCTAACTAATTCGTCTTTATAAAAAATCAAAAAATCACACTTACCTGAAATATCTCCCAGCATCAATGTTGTATAATATTCTCTAGTACTATAATCATTATAATGATCTAAAATTTCATCTGGACACATTGAAGCGAATATCTCAGTGTGTTTTTCAATTTTTAAAAGCTCAGAAACTCTTCTTTTTTCTCTAACATTTCCAAAACTTTTTCGAGCCACTAAAAATAAAAAACTTAAATGTGTGTTTCATGAAAAAATTGATACGCAAAAGAAAAATTTAATTTATTATTTACTTGTTACTTGTTATAAAAAATAAAATTTAATTATTTCAAAAATAAGGTTACGTTAAATTGACATTTAACTAAAAAAAAAAAAAAAAAAAAAAAAAAAAAAATGAAGAAACAATGATTACCAGGAATGAAAATTAATTTAGTAGATATTTGATAATTTTAAGAATTTTTTTAACAAATAAATTATGGAAAAAACAGTAGAAAGAAAATCGACATGTAAAGATTTTAAAAAATAAAAAATCCAATTTTTTTTAAATAATTTTTTGAAAAAAATCTATTTGTTAAAAAAAATTAAAAAATAGTTAAGTGACTGCTAACTTTAATGTCATTTACCAGGAACAAGGAAGAAATAATAATACATTCAATGACAATAGACAATATGTGTTTATTCATTTAATATTTTTCGCGATATAGGTACTTATAATGACTTTTCGCTCTAACAGATCGCTGTCTAAAACGTGACGGCCAAAATTTTTTTTTATTGTGCCTGGCCCTACTATTCGTTATTGTGCTTGAAATCTATAGTGATGGATCAACATTTTTTCATATATTCTGGTTTTGTTTTCATTGTTTTCATTTATGATTTTTTTTTTTTTTTAATTATTTCGCTCTCATACTTTAGATTTCATTTTAAAAGAAACTCACATTATTTTGGGTTTGCGATTTAATAATTAAATATTGTATTCGAAAGCCAGCAGAAACGCTGAATGTAGACGATGAGTATAAATGTAAGTCTTATTTTGGATATCAGGATATGATAGAATTTTTTGACTATTCTAATAATTCAAATAAACAATTATTATGTTATTTTATTTATTTAGATTTTTTTTATTATTGAAATACGAGATATCAAACGTGATTATTCTCGTTGTGCTTTTATTATTTATTCTTTAATAATTTTTTTTTAAATATTATTCTGGTTGTTTATTTGTTGTCATAAGTAGGAAAAGCGAAATGCGATGTACTTTGGCGTATGAAAAGCATCGCAAAGGGCAAAGAAGTAAATCGACAGTTCATCGAGATGTGCATCCGGAATTTTTTTTTTTAGATTTTTTTTGTTGTATACATACTATATAATACTTTTGTTATTTAATAATTTTTTCGGTATTTAACGACAAATTGTTTTTTTAAACTTTTGTTTCTAAATTACATTCCAATTACATACAATCCGCCTCACTAATGATTCATGTAGACGGTACACTAACGATTGACGTCTTTTCGTCATAATAATAAATGTTATCATGGCTTCATTTCTATATGTATTTTTAAATGACGAACGTGACGCATTATATAATGGCACACAGCATGGCAGTTGCAACAATGTACTTTGATAATTTTTTTGTATTATTTTTTAGCCTTAACAATTACATTTGTTTGACTAATCTAAACTTAAATCGTCATAATTTAATTCTGACACTTAATCCATTCATTCAAAATCTTTGGTAGTATTATTTATTACACTCTCATTCTTTATAGCTTTCTGCGACTGCTTTTATTATTTATATTTATAATCTCTTTGTTCTTTTTAATTGAGATGATATTTAAATAGTTTATTACATTGTAAATTATGTAGATTTTCAACATAGAATCGCGAAAATAGGCGAGTATTTGTTTATTTTTTTTTCTTTTTAATTGATTCATTAAAGATTATTTATTAATTATTATTATTGTTATTATATGCATATATTAGTTATTATAATGTATCATCATCAACATATTCTTAGTAATATATATACACACATATTAATTGTAATTACATTCTCGAAGATACAATTGTCATTTATAATTTATAAACAAATATATTCACGCAATAATTCAAATACTTAATTCTAGTTTGGTTAATTAATAATTATAAACATTACATAGCGCATAACATGTAGAAATTATTTTTTGTTTTTTTTTTTTTCATTTTTTTCTTTCTTTTTTGAACTTTCATTCATTTTTGAAATTGTCTCTTACACTCATTCTTTCATTCGTATAGTTTTTTTGTAATGAAAAATTAAAAAATGTGATTTGAGTCCAAAGCGATTATAAATTCTGATTTACTGCAAATAATTCGTGATTTGATATTGAAAATATTTATCAACTCCTTTGGTTTTCAACATCAAGTACGAATAATTTACCCGCAAGTCCATTTGTGTTTATTATAATATAATAGTGTTTCACATAAAAAACACTCATAAATAGTAAACAGTCGAGTCAAAAAGTAATAAAAACAATCTCTCACTTAAGATTCATTATAAGAAATTTTTTTTCGGCCATACTTAAATATACATTTAAAAATTTTTGACATTATTATTATTATCATCATCTGACAAATAAAAAAAAAATTACTTGTACATTTAAGTAAATTAATCAAATTGAATAAGAAAAATTATAACAACGATAATAGCAAATCATTTTATTAAAAAAAAAAAAAACGTGTATACTGATTTGTTGTATCGTGTATTATTGATTTTTGTTTGCAACTATATATTTATTATTTTCTAACACTATTATTATAACACTTTATTTTTTTCTATAATTTTTTAAATTATATATTCGAGTAATTTTCAAATTTTCTTTTTAAATATTTTTATATATTTATATAGAATAATTAATCGAGCATCATCTATAACACGGTGCACTGAAACTTTGAATTATCTTTGACAATAATAATGATAAGTATTTTGTTTTATTTCAAATTTTAATTAACTATATGTATCAACAAGAATCTTAAATTGATTACACTGTTAATTGATTAGACGAAACAAAAATCGTCTGTTCAAACAATCATACATGATCAACAATACGCTCATTTAACGATTAATAATAATTATTTTTTTATATTATTCTGATTAATTATGACATAACATGATGATATAGGCTTGATATGACAGTGGCACGTCGATTGATTGTTAATCAATCGCACCTTAGACAACCCTGTTGTCACATTTTCTAAAAATTCTATTTCTTCTCTAAATTAATCTTCTTTTAATTTATATCCCACTAATTATTCTTTTGCGATAATACCACTATATAAATTACTTGCAAAGTATATCCACCGCTCTTCTTCGTCAATATAATACTCATAATATTATAATAATAATAATCTATTAAGGACTTTAAGACTGGATTTCATCATCGATAAATTTATCTTGTTATTCAATCTTTCGTTTTTTTCTCTTCTTTTACCCAGTAATCGACGGAAATTTTCGTTAATTCAATTTCTAATTATATTTCAGCAAATAGACAGGTTTAATCTCTTTACATAGATTAACAATGTATATATTTATATGTTTGAGATATTAAAGATCAATGAAAGCTATTTACAAAAGATATTTTAGTGCCTTAAGTAAATACAAGTCTCTGGATTTTTAAAATTGTGAAATTATATAATAAGTGGTAGAAAGTAAAGATTGTTAAGTCCGAAGTATTATAATTAATAACATATAAAAGAATACGTATAATATATATTTACAAAACTAAATTAGTGCCGTGGGTATTTTTGTATATTAATGCTACAAGGAATAAACTAGTTAATATTAATATTATTAATATAAATATTAAATATAATTATATCTCATGGACCTTCTAACCATCAGCTAATTATTCAACAAAGTCTTGATAATCCAGCAATTCCAATAATTACTTTGGATAATTAAAACTTGCTTCTCATTAATTACGTAATTCCATCAGGCTTATTATATATACCATACTTCTTATTAATTTTAAATAATATGCCTTTTTAATATTTAAACATTTTAGTTTTTTTGCTGCGATCATTATTGTCAAACATGATAAACGATATTCAGCACCTGCTGATATTTGAAACACTCAAACATCAGATCGAAGCCTTGATATATCTTACACAAAACCAGAAAAGTTTACTATTTCTATTCGCAACGAATTTACACATTTTATTGTTAGATAAATATTATTGCTTAGAGTATAATTTATTCCTCACATAAATTAATTGTAATATTCTTCTTAGTTTCACATCTCCGTACTTGTTTTAGTTTCTAAAACTATTAATACTATTACACTGGCACCCTTTATATATAAATAATATAATTGTCTTGGACCCGTGACGTAAAATCCAAATAAAAAAAAAAAACTGAATAATTTACTGTAATTTTTTTTTTTCAACAAAAAAAAAGTAAAAAAATTTATATTGACTGTGACTACAAATGTTTTTTTTTTTTTTTTTTTTTTCCCCCCCCCCGAAAATTCCAAATTAATAAATAATTATTGACTCTTTTAAATTGGTGGTAGCTTTTATGAAGTGACCGTGGAGATTAATACGGATGTTATTGATCGACGAATGCGTTCCAAAAATAATTGAAGAAATATTTCAAACTCTTCTTTCAGCTCCTATAATTAAAATGAATTATTAATAAAATTTTAACAAATAATTTTTTTACTTAAAAAAAAAAAAATTACCTATCGCGATGTCTCAGAAACACTTTGTGAATTATCCAGATAGTCTTCATCTTCGACGAACGTGGGTTCAAGAATTTTAGAAACAATTGTTGATTCAGTCGTAGAGTCACTTGATTCCTCTTCAGATAATTCTATGCACTTTCTATCCTATTAAATTAGTTTTTTTAATAGAAAGGATGAATACAGAGAAGTCCGATAATTGATGATAGATAATAGGTAATTATTTAACTTCAAGCAAAAAAATAAATCTCACCTCTTTTTTTAATTCATCAAGTAATCTTGCTTTATCGGCTTTTAATAGTTCCATTTGATCGAATTGAGTTACTGTTTTTGCTGCTGAAAGCTCTAATAATGCCAGATGAGCATCTTTTTCTGATAATGCTGCTTTCAAACTTTCGCACCTACAGTAAATTTAATTTGAATTTAAATTTAAAACTGGTAATCTTGTAATTTTATAAATATTTATGGTTTTAATTACCTTAAGTGATGAAGATCTTTTAGTTGGATTCTTCTTTCATCTTTCAGGCGCTTCAAATTCTTTTCGCATTTTAAGAATTTTTTAATTAGAGACCGGCATGAGTGACATTTTAACGCGTTCGTTGATTGTAAAGTTGTTCCTTTCTGTTCTAACTTTTTTACCTGATAAATTCATTTATTCTGATAATGTTACTATTAATAATAATTCAACTATGTCGACAAAATTTAATAGATGCATCATAAAGTTTAATTTTAGCCATTAAATAGTTTTGTGCTAGACACTTTAATATATACTCTGACTATATTTACTATCGGTAATGCAATTTCTCTGCGTAATATCATAAAAAAACTGACGCTGAAACTAGTACGGCGATAAAAATTCGTATTAAATCATAATAAGTATTAAATAAATTCAATATTAGTTAAAAATGTATTATTCAAAGTATTTAACTGTTAATGTTTATGTGATATATTCCAACAGTACAAATATTATCAAATTATATATTTAATGCAATAAAAATAAACCTTCAAATATCACTTGATAAACATTTCAGGTTGAACTTCTTTTAGCTAAAAAAGAAAAAAAAAAAAAAATGATGCATCTACGTACTGTTTAAATTTGAATTTTTAACCATTTATATCTTACCCTGTCAATAGAATCCTCTTTACTCTTTTCTGTTTGCTTGAATTTTCTTTCAGCTTCATTAGCAATCGCGACACTGTCTCTAAGTGCAGCTCTCAGCTCTTTATTTTCATTTTTTTCTTTAGTAAGATTAAGCTCCAATTGTTTTTGATGCTCTTCTTTTCTCTTAATAACATTCAATAGCTCTTCTATTTCTTCTAAATCCATTCTATCACCAAATACCCGCTCAAGTGAGTCTATTTCTTCCTCCAACTGTTGAACTTTTTCATCTCTCACTCTTATCTCTTCTTTCAGCACTCCAATATCCTCAGCTTCGTACTCACTCAATTCTATTTTCATACTTTTCATCTCATCGACCATTTTAAATATTTTGTCTTGCAGCTCAATTACTTGTTGTTCATAACCTTGGATACTATTGTCTTTTTCCGATATCGCATGTTCCATTTCTTTCATTTTAACCTCTTTATCATATATAACCTTCTTAATAATCTGCATTTTTTCATCATCATCAAAATTATTGAGTAATTCGTCGTCACATAAATTATTTGTATTTTTAATCGGCTCTCTTCTCATCAATTCTTTATCTAACGTTTCAATTTTTTTCAATAACTGTTCTATTCTTTCTTCGCGGTCTTGTAGTTTTTGTTTAAGCGCGTCAACGTTGTGGCTCTTGACATATTTTTCAAGATGTGTCACCATTTGTTCCAATTCAATAATACGTGTTTTCTCAATTCCCACGTCGCCATTCCTCTCAATCCAGCTTTCCAAATCACGTATTCTGCGTTCTTTCAAATCAACTTGACATTTAAGATCATGCAATTCTTTAACGTCAGGATTTTGTTTAAGAAAATCTTCAAACTCCGCCACAGTAGTCTCTAGTTTATGGATTTTCGATAGCTTCTTCTTTATTATTTTTTGCAATTCAACGATACCATTCGTCTCTGAATGGCTATTTAGAAAGTCTTCAATAGATTGTATCTCCATTTCCAATTCATAAATTCTCCTGTCTTTTAATTTCAATTCTCCTCGCCACATTTCGATGTCACCATTGGTAATGCCATTATTTATTTCATCAGGATTGTAATAGTTTTCTTTTATCTTCTTTGTTGTAATTTTATTTTATTTTTTTTTTTTTTGAAGTACATCGTGGTACGAGACGTAAAATTGTGAGGAAATTTTATACAGCAAAAAAAAAACAGAAAACAAAATAATTAATCGATTTCTATTGTGATGACTAATTTATTAATTTTGAAAAAGAATAAACTTTTTGAATGGTTGTATTATAAATTATTTTTAACATCGGTCACTGTTTATTGTTCATCCGTTAAAGTTATTTTATTTATTTTCTAGTTATTATTTATTTATTTATTTTTTAATAAACTATCATACTGTTGTTTTTTAATCGTAGTATATCCGTAATCGTATATTATAATTAAAAAAAATTTTTTTTAAACTATAAAGTTTTGAAATATCTTGAGAAGAACTCAAATGATTAAAATTGTACTTTTAAGATCAGCTAAAAAAAAAAATTATCTAACTGTCGACAACAAGTTAATTTTATTAAAGAGTTTAGAATTTTAACATTCTAGAATAATTCGTACTTGCGCCACTAAGTGGCTAAAATGTATATTTTATTCTTGCAAGGTTTTAAGCACGTCGTTTAATATTGAAGTCCTGTAAATTTTAACGACAATGACATTGCCCGACCTCGGCACTTAAAAGAAAAAAATACACTGTTTATTGGTGGTCACAATATTACTCGTCCAGGTAAACTAATTGGCTATCACGGGGAGTAATTAACCAGTTTCACTGATGACCCGGAATGTTGCAAAGTATAAAATATTTGTCTGAGGTATAAATTCGGACACTGTAACGCATACGTTCGTAATTTTTATTGTTGCCGTTGATTTGTTGATAAATTGTTTCTATGTTTCACCATTCTTTTTAACTTCTCTTTGTCACACTTAACTATTCATTTATTTTTAATATTATTATTATTATTATTATCTTTAATTTAATAGTTATTGTTAATAATTTATTATTATTATCACTATCATTTATTAATTTTTTAATTATTAATACATTAATGGTCATTATTAATTATTCACGTAAAGTCGTACATTTTTAATCAAATGTCCTGTCATTTAATTTTTTTATCATCCTGTATAAGTTTTAATAAAAAGTTTTATAGTCACATATTAACCACTCTCAATAGCAAATTGTACTAAAAAGAATGGAAGAAGCGTCCCCAACATAAGAGTTGCTTTAGAAGAAGCTTTTTAAGAATCCAGCTGGACCCGCCTGTTTATGTTTTTTATATTACAACCATTCAATAAAGAAGAAATAATTTTTTGAATAAAATAGTCATTAAAAGTGTTACAATTTTTATTAGAATCCATGATAGCGTGAAAATAAATAAATATAATGTTAATGTTAATTATTAGTTAAATTATTGATGGTATAAAAAAAGATTTACTGACCTCTTGATGCTGTGCAGTTGTGGCTTGTTTTAATTTAGCTTGTGCGGCTTTAAGAGCGCTGAAATAATACAATAATAATCAAAAGTGTTGTTATTATTATATTAAAATAAAAAAAAAGAATGTAGCATAAAAAGTATGTTAATTCATAACATAACAATAGAGAGAAGAGAGATTCTGTTGGCCTCAAGTTTATGAATATTTTATACTTAAAAACTAAAAACTTACTCTTGAAGTTCGCGTATCTGTTTTTCTTTCGAATTTTGTTCTTCTTGCGTCATTTGCATGAGCTGAAGCAATCTCTCTGTTTCCGCCGAACTTCTTCCAGCTTCTTCTTTCGCTCTTTCCAGTTCTTTTTCTGCAGTGTCCAGTGCTTTTTGCATTTCTGCCAGTCTTTTGTCTGGCGATCCACCACTCTGAAATAAAATTTATTGTCATACATTTACGGCTTAAACTTATGTATTATAAATTTAAAAGACATTTATCCAAAAGTTGTTATATACCTTTTGAAGTTGTTGCTCCAATTGATCCATTTTTGCTTTTCTCTTTTTCAAGTCCTGGTCTAAAGTTTGTAGTGCCCTTTCTTTTTCTTCAGCAGCTCTCATTCTACCGTCAGATGTTCTCGCGCGTTCCTCAATCTGCTTCCTCTGCTCTTCCAACTGACGTCTATGTTCTTCTAATTGTTTTCTTTCCTGGCTAGTATCGGCGCCAGGTTTGGCTCCGCCAGCTTGGAGTTTCTTGTTCGCTTCGTGTAGATCCACCTGTGTGATTTTATAATATCATAATAACTTTTCTTATAAAATTATCTTGTCGTTATATATAAAGATTTTTCAATAAAAATTTTATAATACTTTAACTACTCATATAGAAATGTTATAAAATGCGCAAATAAAAAGCTTCGCACAATTCCTTTACACGAGTATTATCTCATAAATAGAATTACATTTAAACTTTCCAATAACTTCGCTTAATGTATAACACAACTAAATATCAACTCATAAAATCATAATTATATTTAAAATATATAAATAACATAATCATAATAAATAACTTGAATTAAAATTATAATAAAATAATCAATGATCGCATCACATTAAATTACAAAATACAAACAAATGTGATTTCGTGATAACATAAAATTCACACTCACGTACATACATTATGCATTTTACGTTTATAATAATAATAAAAAAATTTTTAATGCTTATTGATTAGAAAAGGATTTAGTTCATCGATAATATACATACATTTATAATTACTCAGATAATTAAGTTCGTTCATAACTTTATAAATAATATTATTACAAACTTTTAATTATCTCGAAATCGTATTCTAATAATTAACTTCATATCAGTAATCAAAATTAATTAATAACCCATAGTTAATTATTAGGTTAATCAAATATATACATACGATAATTAAGTTTATTACGCAATGACATTATATACTAATTGGCTTATACAGATAATTTTTCATTAATTTTATATTAAATTAAATACTTTGTATAACTGAATCCTTTTCATTAATAATAATACATAACGTAAATTAATACATCAATAAAAACATTGAGAAGAAATAAATAATGAATAATTATAAATAAATAGTTCAAAAATTCAAAAACTACTCAAGCTACATTCCCAAGAAAATAGTGATAGAAACGAGGTAGTTTATAAAATTATTGACCAATAATAAAATAAAAAGTAAATACAAGATTAAAACTCGTTGCTTTCACTAAATTCGAGTGCGTATATGGAGATAAAAATATAAAATAGTAGCAACTCTGAACAATAAAGGAATAAAAAACATGGATTTATGGTGATAATAGATTTAAAAAAAAAAAAAAAAAAAAAAAAAAAAAAAAGTAAAGAGATAATAAAAATGTTGATGTATAAAGAGAGTGAAAAAACAAAATTAATAGCAAGTTCGTCCAGCCGACGAGGGCAGATGATGACGATGAACAGGCGACGTCATATATGTGGTCGATGTAGATTTGCATTTACGTATATTTATATACACATATATATATATAACAGTGGGTATATTTATATATACATATATATAATAAATATATATTTTATAATGAATTAATATATTGGTGTGTGAGAGAGATAGAGGAGAAGATAAGACGAAAAGTGTGCAGGCGCAAGTGCAATCAAGATGGTGAATAAACCAATTGTAATAATATATATTGTTGCGTAAGTGTAAAAAATGTTTTTATTTGATTCTCTAAAATCTTTGCGCTGCTGGTAATGACAGGCCATGAGCGGACAGACTTAATAATTGCGTAGGTCATTAACGGCATAATCAGGCTTTTGTCTGCCAGGCAACCCCTAACCTGATTTCTTTCGAGTTCCTGCACCAGCATCTCAAGTTGAGACTGTAGTCGCTCGCGCTCGATGATCGCCTGTTTGGTTTCCTCTTGTGCTCGCTCCAAATCTTTTCGTAGTTTATTTGCTTCTTGTCCGCTGGCACCATTTTGCTGTTGTTGCTGTTGCTGCTGCTGTAGATGGATCTGCATCTGCTGAATCTGCTGCTGTTGTGCATGAAGTTGACGCTCTGAATTTTGAACTCTCTTCTGTAATTCATTGGCGTTTCTCTCCGCAGTATCGGCACGTTGTTTTTCCGTCTCGCAAAGTTTTCTCCATTGTTCAACCTGCGCATCGTTGGCTGACGTTGCTCCTGCCGACGCGATTTGTTTTTGTAATTCCTGAACACATTTTTCAGCTTGCTCAGCCCGCTGGCGTTCTTTGTTTTGATTCTGCGTGAGTGTTTGAATTTGCTGAGTGAGACGTTGAACTTCCCGCATTTGTGCTTCTAAAGTTTCTTTGGTAGCACGATCGATCTGCCCAGAAATATTTACGGTTATTTCTGATATGGGTAAGAAAATCGGTGCAGTCACTTTGACACATTGTGAATTTTGGTGGTGGCGGTATTCCTGTTACAGATTTATTCGTTCTTGTAAGTAAATAGCTGTCTGATTGAATTATTAGTTCCTCTTGAGTTAATTTATGTGGAGGTATTTTTTTTACGGTTGGTTGTGATAATATTCGTTTAAAATTTTTCGATATTGGTGGTTTATCAGTATCTTCATCGTCACTTTTGAATAGGTCTGGACTTGTAGCATCTTGGTTTGGTATCTTGTTCTTTTTTGGTGTTTCCGTGGTTTCTGAATAATTACAATCCATCGTTTCTTCATTTACATAAATTACTTTGTTTATTGACTTGTAAGATATATAGTCTGATTCTGGTTCTTCATTTGTTTTGTCTCTTGTACCTAAAAAAAAAAAAAAAATAAGAAAACATTTAAAAAAATTACAAATAAATTTTTGATTCAGTTAAAACAAATGAATTATAATTAAATAAAAGTATAAAAATAAATTAGAACTGTAGATATGGAATTATTGATTAAATAAACCATGAAGATTAACCTTTAATAGATTATGAATTGTAAAAAAAAATTTTTATTAGTTTTAATTATTAATATTTAAATGATTGAAATTTTCAATTTAATTTTTTCAAGACTAAAATCGAATATAATAATTAAAAGTCAACGGCCTCTGATTTGCTACAATATTCAATACAATAAAATCCCCTTCTTTAAATTATATCAGTAAATCAACAATTTTTTATCTGATTTTAATTATAAGTTAATTTTTATATCACTAATATCAACAATCATATGATTAAATAAAAAAAAAAAAATAATTATCAGCTTATGCAATAAATTAATTTTGCTCCACCAAACTAAGCAGTTAATTAATAATAAAATTCGTTAGTCAAAATGTTGGATACGTACTATACAAAAAAATAATGCTAAATAACTACACGAGTTTTGAATTAATATTAATAACAAATTAAACAGTGCAATTAAAACATATCAGTTTAAATAAACTTCTGCGCATGCGTCATAAACTAGCTACGTCCATTACTTGATAAATTTTTACTATTATATTTATTTCTGTAAATATATTTTTTCTTGAAATTATTTTTATTATTAATACTGCTGTTGTGGATTATTTATAATAATTAATTAGTTGAAATTAGGTAGTAAATAAAATTACCAAGAGTTGATGAACTTATAGCGAGATCTTCTTCCAAAACAGAGACGTTTATTGTTGAGTGTACTGAAGGAATTTCGGAATCATCATGATAACTGACTAATGGACAATTCTCACTGTGCATCGTTATTTACTAATTCCTTAAATCATATAAACAAATAAATTTATCCGTGAATACACATGCAATTTAAAATAAAATTCTCTGATTTTTGGGTTATAATTTTACTCCGATTCTAAATACTGATAAACAACACAACTCAACGTGTTTACTTATAATTTTTTTCCATGATTATTCAATAATTATCACTTCTGTTATTACATACTATACATTGTTTGAATTGATTAATATTGAGATATACTTGATAAAATTCTACATATAAAAAATATTAAATTAATTTTTAGGCACACATGCCGACTTTTACTTTAACACAAAAATTATTTCTGACATGAACAGACTGACCTCCCTCGTCACATCTGTAATAATATACACACACACACACACATGTGTATTGTGTACATCATGTGGAAATTCATGGCGCGATTTTTGTACACTAGCGCCCTCTTTAAGAATCACGCGCGTAATTTTAAATTGGAAAAATTACATTAAAAGATGTATTTTGTAAGTTTTGTAATTTTATACTTGACAAAAAAACTTTAGACGATTTTTCATAAAAGTAATTAAATAAAATATTTATCACTCAATAAATAAGATAGAATTGTAAATTGAAAGTCTACAAATTTATTTATTTATTCACACTATAACAATTATATACATAATAAGTGCCTGCAATTATTTTTTTGTATGTAACTTATAATGTCTAACAAAAGAATATTTGAATTCAAAATTGGCAATCTTTTTAAAATTATTTTAAGTTCAATAATTATTGCAATGATTAATGTCGTAAAATATTATTTTTGCGTACAAATTTTTTACCTCAATCAAATGAAAATAGGTATAACTTCTTAAAAAAGAAATAAAATAGAAAAAAATAATAAGCAAAGCTAATTAATTAAAAAAAAAAAAAAATTAAAATTTCAAGTAATAAAATTCAAGAAATTAAAAGTCACTATAAAATAACTGTCAATAAGTTTTGACCATGAAAAAGATTCCAAATCTAAAAAATAATCTAAATGTATACAATATGTAATATAATAAACTTTGTTAATATGTAAATTTTAGCTTATGATTGCCTTTATGCAGCAAATATTTATACTTATTTATATATATAATATATAATATGTATATCTTTTACATAAAATTCAGTGAGAACTTTTAAAAATGTGTTTAAATAATTTCGTTACAATTTTTGTAGAGTAATGAAACTTATAATTACAGCTATAGCAATAATAATCATGTATAATAATATTTATATTATCAGTAAAATATAAATTTTAGCACTACGTAGTAGTAAATATCTTGGTGCCCTCTGGTAATATAACTTCTTCGTCGCAATCAGTAAGTGTAACAGTAAGAGGTAAAATAAGTGGCATTAGTATTTCTTGGTGTTGCAAAATTTGATGAGTACCAACTTGGTCAGGTCTTGCAATAGTTATTGTTTTAACGTTTTTCGATTGTACAACTTGCATTGTCTGAGTAACTGGATGCGCTAGCCTAATAGTAGCAGCTTGTGGTGTCGGTGGTGGCGGTAGTGGTGCTGGTGCTATTTGGACCGGTGGTGGACCTGGAGGTGACTGTGAAGTCTGCGCTTGACTTTGTCTAGCTTGATTTTGCAGCATATTTTGTTTACATCTTTTACTGTGAGCATATCGACTTCCATTGTTGTTAAATCTCCGGTCGCATGTCGGGCATGCATACGGCCGTTGTCCTGTATGAATAAACACATGTTCTTTTAGAGATTTGAGTCGACGGAAATTTTTCGGACAAAATTTGCAATGATATTTAGCCTCGCCAGTATGAGAAGTCAGATGATTAGCCAGCGTGTCAGCTCTTGCAAAAGCACGCGAACAAAATTGACACGTGTACGGCCGTTCTTGAGTATGGGTTCTCATGTGCATTTTTAAATACGCATTAGTAGTAAACGGTCTTGCACAGACTTCACACACATAAGGTTTAATACCATTGTGAGCACGCAAATGAGCGACCAAAGTTGTCGACTGAGTAAAACTTTTCGAACAAATTTCACAAAGGAATCTTTTTGATGTACTATCTGGCTCTTTATTTTTCTTAAAAGTTCTCTCGTGTTTAGTCAAATGTGCATTAAGCTGCTCCTCTTTCATAAAACGTTTCGAGCAACGTGTACACTTGTGTGGTTTTATCATATTATGTTTAGCAACGTGAATCTTTAAATGCTCACGACGATAAAATTTCTTTGGACATATATCACAAAGATATTTTTTACCTTCGTGAACTTGTATGTGTCTCAAAAGACCTTTACGTGAGGTATACTGTTTATTGCATTCAGTACACTCTAGACCAACAATATCAGTACGTCTTTTTCGGGCTATTTTTTCACCCTTCCTATCTTCAGAACCTGGCTCCAAATCTTTCAAGTCTTCCTCGGTTAATATTCCCTCGTCAACATGTTTTGATCTATGTTCACGCAGTATTTCATTATTCTCAAAAGTATCACCACAAATATTACACTTTCTCACTTGATTTGGATTTTTTTCAGAACATTTATCATAATGAGCTTTCAACTTATCTTTACGGTAAAATTTAACATTACAAATATCACACTCAAAATTGGGTTCTTCGTGCAAAAGTTGGTGTCTTAATAATGATTTTTTCGTACTATACCGTTTTTTACAGGTTGAGCATTCATGATTGTCCATTGGCCAGTCTAATCCGCCATCGAAATCGGTATCATCATCATCGTCATCATCAATATTATCAGAGAATCCAGGAACGCTCCGCGTAATATCTTTAACTTCATTGCTTTTTTTATTTTTTAATTCTGTGGAATCAGTTTTCAAAGTTCTCATATGATAATCCATGTGTTTAGCCAAAGCTTGTTTAGAAATACATCTCTTGCCGCACGTTTCACATTCAAGATTTTTATTTTTACTACTCTGTTTTTTAGACTGCAATTTATCGGCGGCCTTGAGACCTAAAGTAAGTTCAGTCTTCACAACAAAATCATCGTTGTCATCATCGTCGTCGTCGTCGTCGTCTCTCTCCGAATCATCAAGATTATCCTCAGTACTAATTTTATCAATTATTTTTTGTGCCGCGCGCGCTGCTACTCTTTTAATTCTCTTATTTGGATCATACTCTTCACCGTGGACTGTTGTCTTGTGATTAGTTGCTATTAAATGATTTCTTAGCGTCAATTCATTAACAAATATCTTGTTACACTGTACACATTGAAATGTTTTTACTTCTAAATGCTGCTCAGCGTGCTTACGAAGATCGTCTTTCTGAGTAAATTCGTCACCACATATTTTACAACGATACCTGATGCCCTCATGTGTCTCCAAATGTTTTGATAATAATTTTTTACTGCTGAATAATAAAAAGCAAGTAGGGCACTTAAGTTCATTACCTTCTTTTTTCGATTCCATCAATATATTATTATCCAGTATTCTCTCTTGATCATACTCTTTTTGACACATACTGGAAAGTTCATCTTTCAAATCCTGTTCTGATATAACACCTTCAATAACATGAGTCGAACGATGATTTTTTAATTTATCAAGTGAATCAAATTCCAATCCACAAATGTTACACTTTTGTTTATCAATTTGATAGTCATGATGATTTGAAAGTTCATTATAATTTTCTGAAAAAATTTGAAAATAATTATTACTTTTATTGTAATTTTTACTGTCAATATAAAAATTAAAATTGTAATTTAAGTCACAAACATCTGTAAATATAATTTTTAAAATTGTTGTTTCTTCAACTTTATCAACAACTGAAGGCATTTTAATTTACAAAAATATCTAGATAAATATATAGATACTTGTGAATTAATTTGTAATTATAATTGTGAATATAAACTACCAATATAATTAATATTAATATTACCATTATCATTGTACTCTTCCATATTTTGTTTATCGTCAGCAATAACTTCGAAAGTGTCGTTATTATCAAAATTATTAGAATCTGCAGAGTTATCATCCTGGTATATTGAGTCATTATTTTCTTCTTTTAACTCATCATCATTTTTCTGATGCTGCTTAATATGTTTTTTAAATGAAATAACGTACAAATATTCTTTACCGCAATATGGACATTTATTTGGCTTTTTACCAGATGGTGGTTGTGATTTTATAGGTGAAACATTTTTCTGCGTAACTTTTTCCGGTGTTTTTTTCATCGACAATCTCTGTTTAACTTCTTCATGTGAATGTAAATGCTCCTTTAATAAGTCCTTGGACAAAAATTCTTCGTCACAAATGTGACACATAAAAAAAATTTTTTTGTCAAGTTTATTAATTGACGAAGTTTGTGATAACCTACTGCTCAGATCAAGATTTTCAAAATAATTTTCGTCATCTAATACTTGGTCTGAAGAATCAATTTCATCAGTACACGTTGAAATTTTATTGCACTCATTTTCTTGCATTTCAATTCCATCATCAATTTGATTCAACTCATTATTATCGTCAATATCATCATCATCAACGTGTTCGTTGTCGTTAATATATCCATTATTTTTATTGTCATCAATAACATTCTCTAAATGGGTTTCAGTTTCTTTGAGTAATCTCTCTTCATCGCCAATCATTGATAAATATTCATTCGCGTCGTGTTCATTAACATTGTCGGCATTTATTAAATCATGATCTTGATCACTAGATAATGTGTAATCCGGATGTTGAACTATATAATTATGCTCCCCAACAGTAATGGTATCTTGGTCGTGCATTATTGCTGTAGACTTGATATTGTCATTCGCCGATGATTCAATAGCTTCGGTGATCATTTGCTCATCAGTATGTTCGTCTTCGATATATTGCTCGTCGGATTGCATTATTTGATCTTTCATAACTTCATCCTCTAAATATTGCTCGTGCTGATGGGTGAGTTTTTCGACTTGTAATAATGCCAAATGATCTTTTAATAATGACGATTTATCATCAGATACGGTGTTTGTAACATCATAATGCTCGTCAACCATACCTGTGACATCATCATGTCTTTCATTCTCTAAACGTACCTCAACTTCATTAAAAAATAACTCTTCCTTTATATTCAAGCTGTCATATTTTTCTCGAAGCAAGCTGTCCGCTTGTTCAACTTGTAATTTAAATTCATATGCTGATTCTAATTTTTCTGCACAATCACAGCATACGTGAGTTGGTAGACCATCATCTGGATGTATCTAAAAAAAAAAAAAAAAAAAAAAAAAAAAAAACAAATGTACAATTTTTATAACTTGTAATAAAGTTACTCCTTTTTTTTACTTAATGTAGTAAAGTTTCTACTTTGAATTATCTAATAAAAAAATTTTTTTTTAGTATTTAATTATTAATCATATCATAATTTAGAAAATTACTCATCAGATATTTTAAATCATGATAGATACTGAAATTATATAATCAGAATTTCTTTAGCAAGAGATATATTCAATAAGAGTCAAATTGTAATTTTTATAGTCTATGAAAATTTTTTACACACTACAAATAATTTAAAATTAATGTTAGAAAATAAAGGAATAAAATAAAAATAAAAGTTAATAGATTACAATGTGAATTAAAATTTTTTTGTCAAATTAGTAATAAAAGTTAAAAAAAAAAAAAAAAAAATATTAAGTTTATTAAATCGAGTATACATCATCACCATTATAATTTTTAATATAATATATTTAATATTATTAATTATAATCAAACAATAATAACAACTGTCTAATTATTTAAATTGTTTACACCACTAAGTAAATTCATCAACATTAAACAACTGATGAACAACAAAACAATAGGCGTTTCTAATTTATCAAAGTCCAAGCATTGTTTCTTATTGTTGCATTAAAATAAGAATAGAATAAAAACAAATAAATAACTACTTATTTTAAAAATAATAAATATCCCGGGAGTTTAAATTTGACATTTATGCACATAAGTAAACAGTAGCGAAATAAGAAATAATAAAATTCATGATCCAAGAAACAAAAATGAACTAACCTTAACGTTAGCGAAGCTCATGGCTTTAGTTGATAATGATACAACATCATTCTCAATGAATAAATCTCTCATCAAGTGATTGCTGAGGAGACAAACCCGGCAAATTTCCACACTTGTTTCGACATTATCATCCTCGTTGTGAGACACTTGATTGCTATCATCAATATTAACGCCGTCCATGTTTAGATTTGGAGGATACGGGCCTGGATTTTAGTATCCAACCACCCTCCACCGTTGAAAAAAATTATACACGACGTCGTCCACACGACCACACTGCTCACGGCTCTTATTGTATCTCAGACCTGAAAACCACTTTATTTATAGAAAAATACTCAATTATGTTTACATTTATTCATATAAATTTATGACAGTTGGCTAATAATCACTTATTGTTATCAGATTTTTCAAGTAATTTAGTATAAATATTAACAGTAATTATATTAGTTAATTATTTATAATTTAATCAAGTAAACAGTTGAGTCCCCTTGCAACAATTACCCCAACAATGTATTGTCGAGTATCGATTCAACTCAAGTATTTTAATCGATTGTTGGTAGTTTCGACGCAAGATACTTTTAAATGCCTAACTTCACGTCAATACGTGTGCCGGCTAAGCGCGGCTAAGCGGCTAAGCGGGCTAAGAGCAGTATATTATACGTACGAGCAAGAGCAAAAGCGAGTAAAAAAAGTACACTTGATTTTGGTTGGCTCTGTGATCTCTCCTTTTTGCATAGCGTCCTCAGTTGCATGATAAATGTCATAACTTTTAATATAAATTATAATTATTTTATTAAAAATAAATAAATATGGCCAAGTTTGATCTTACTTGTCGTATTGGTCAATACCTGGATCGGCATTTAGCCTTTCCGCTTTTGGAGTTTTTGGATACTAAAAGGGTAAGTTTTTTTTATGTTATCCATGTGGTAATTTAGGTTAAATATTTAATTATTTTAATAGTTGCTGATATAAATTGTTTTATTTAAAGATTTATGATGAAAATGAACTGCTCCAAGCTAAACTTGACATTCTTAGCAAAACAAATATGATTGATTATGTCATTGATATTAGGAAACAACTGTACCCTGACAAGGAAGTTCCTGAGGTAATTTCTTTTATATTTTATTTCAAAAACCTGAAATCTCTAATCAATTAAGAGCGTTAGAGTTTTTAAATTTTAAATTTTGATTTGATAATTTTTTATTGCATTTATTTAATTTAACAGGAATTGAAGGCACGCCGTGCCGAAGTTGTAAGAGAACTTGGAACTTTGCAAAATAATGTTTCGACAGTAGTGGGATGGATGAATGACGAGAAAGTTATGAAAAAAATGGAAGAAATGCGTGACTCGAAAGCGCTCAATAATTATTTAGTTCAAGATTTAGAGGTAAATAAATACATTTTATTTTTCAAAATTTTTTCACATAAGTATTTATTAAATTCTCCAAATAATAAAAATATAAATTTTACTTAGTTCAAAATTGAAATGATGGATGGGCTTGTCAAACTGGCCAAGTACCGATATGAATGTGGTAATTACTCAATTTCCACATCTTACTTATATTTTTATATGCTCATCATGCCACCGACTGACAAGGTAATTTTAATAACATAATAACTTTAAAGTATCTATTTATTTATTTATTATCGATGATAAAAAAATAATAATTGTATATTTTTTAGAATTATTTAAACGTGTTGTGGGGAAAACTGGCATCAGAAATTTTGGCCCAGAACTGGGACACTGCATTGGAAGACGTAAATAAATTACGTGAATACATTGACAACAATGCTATCGGTAATTCCCTTCATGTTCTTCAGCAACGAACATGGTTAATTCACTGGAGCTTGTTTGTTTTCTTCAACCATGTTAAAGGACGTGACTTAATTATTGAAATGTTCCTCTATCGCCCTCAGTAAGTTTTATAAACCAACTATATTATAAAGTCAGTGCCATTACTTACTTTAAAAAAGTATTAATGACAATTAATAATTATTGTACGTGTTTTTCAGCTATTTAAATGCCATTCAAACCACTTGTCCTCACATTCTTCGTTACTTGGCAGCTGCCGTAATTGTAAATCGTTCTAAACGATCAACTTTAAAGGATCTCGTTAAAGTAATTCAGCAAGAATCTTACACGTACCGTGATCCAATCACTGAATTTTTAGAACATTTGTATGTTAATTTCGACTTTGACGGAGCACGACAAAAACTCCAAGAATGCCAAACAGTAGTCTTCAATGACTTCTTCCTTATCGCGTTGCTTAGTGAATTTGTTGAGAATGCAAGATTGATGATTTTTGAAACTTTTTGTCGTATTCATCAGTGTATTAGCATTGGGTTCGTATTTTATTATTTTAAAATTATTTTTTACTGTTGAAAGCAAGCAAATTTAATATTTTTTTTTTTAATTATTATAATTACAGTATGCTTGCTGAGAAACTTAACATGAAAGCCGACGTAGCTGAATGCTGGATCGTTAATTTGATACGTAATGCACGATTAGATGCAAAAATCGACAGTAAACTGGGACACGTTGTCATGGGAGGACAACCGGCATCACCGTATCAACAGTTGGTTGAGAAAATAGAAACTTTGAGTGTGCGGAGTGAAGCATTAGAAAATCTTATTGAACGTAAATTAAAAGCTAAAAATCAAGATCGTGTAAGTATTGTTTGGAATTAATTTTCTAACAGTATTCAAAACGAACCGGTTATTTATTTTCATCATTAATGCTATTCATCAGAACTTTAAAAAAAATTTCAAATCATCAAATGATTTTTAGATTATTAATTTGGACGGCTGAGAAATGAATCGATTGATTTATCTAATTTTTTTTTTTTTTTGAGTTATTAATTATTTTATTTCTCAGCCGTCCAAATATCTGTGACTCGAAATGAATTTTGTTTTATTATTGTAATGTTTTAATAGATTTTATTATTTAATAATTCTTTGGTTTATTTATTATAATATAATCAATATTTTTACGAATTTTGACTTGAAATTCAATTGAATACTTATATTTTCATTAGGCTGAAAAAAAATTTTTTTGAATAAATCAAAGATTTATTAAATTATTGTCTATAACAGATAATTATTCGAAAACTATTGCTGCAAAATTATAAAAAAATATGTAAAATTAAAAATTTTTTTTATCAACTGATATTTCATGACTAAAACGTAATTTAATGGTAGTTTGAATAAGACTTTTTGTACAGATGTTAATTGATGTATAAATTAATATTTATTAATTTTATATTTCAATAAATACATCAGATTTTGTGTGAACTCATAACTAATTTGAATAAATCGAAATACAAAAATATTATAAAATTTAATCACCCTTATTTTTATAAGAAATTCACGTTAATAAATGGTAATCTTATTTATTAAATTTTTATTAATTCAACACAAACTTTATTTTCTAAAAATTAAGAAAAAATGTATCATTAAATTAAAAAAGTTTCCTGAGCATCACTAGATTCATAATTAAGTTAATATGTGTATTATATCATGATTAATACTTAATATTGATAATAAATAAGTGATATTAAATAAAATAAATTTATGGCCTACAATAAGATAAAAAATAAGGACTTGAAACTAAGAAATTAACTTTTTTTTTTAAACTTTAAACTTCTTTAGATTAATTATCAACGTGATCATCATATGACATAGAAAAATTACAGCCAATGTAAGAATCATTTTTAAGACAATAAGTCAATACACTTCTCCAACACGGATCTTTAGTTAACAAAAATGGATTACCAATTATAATTATTAGAGCACGTGGTCGTGTAATTGCGACATTTAATCGCCGTGGAGAAGCAACAAAACCAAGTGCATGCCGAGCATCATTACCGATAAAATCATTACAAGATCTTACTGTTGACAATATGATTATTTTTCGTTCTTGACCCTGAAATTCTTCAACACTTCCAACTTTTGGCAACTGCATGTCCAACTCCCAAAGTAATGAACGTATTTGAGCAACCTGTCATAAAATAATTTTATTAATATAAAAACCAAAAAAAGAACACCATCATGATTAATAAAAACAATAAGACTTACTTGTTTTTGATAAGGCGTTATAATTCCAATGTCATTTTCATTGAATCCGCGTTTATAAAGCTTCAAAAGATAAATATAAACTTGAGTGGCTTCAGCGGGATTATACCAACTTGGACTATCAGAATCCTGACGATTTTCTCCATTGACACCGTGAAAAATAACAGCCGGTGGTTGACCGTCACGCGGAGGCAAATCATCGGCTATTGATTTTAAAATTTCGGCTTCTGGGCTATCTGTTTTACTAACAATGGAAACCAATTCCGAGTCATAGAACAGCGAATTTGGCAATTCTAAAATTTCGGGAAGACTTCGATAGTTGATAACAAGTTTTGTGATCAATCGAGGATCAAAACCCGTCTCAAATCCTTCATTATCACGTTGATAAGGAAACTGTTGGAGTAGTCGCACAAGAAATGACTCAGCAAGTCCAAAATGTTCAGCGAGCCTACTTGATACCACTGGCCCAAGTTGCATCGGATCTCCTGCAAGCACTATCTGTCCGGTGTCTGAATGAATAAAGGATAAAGGAACCATAATTTCTGGCTCAGTTGCCTGACCAGCTTCATCGACGAGAATATGCGAAAAATGACCGCGTGGAAAACCCATATTGTGTAATAACCCCAGAGCAATACATGTGCCGATTGTAATTCGATGTCTGCCTAGCACACTCATCGTGCAATTAATCATAGGACCCGATCCAGTGTACTCGAATCTCTTGGACGATCCTTCAGCGGCCAAGTCACCAGTTGCACAGTATGGTAAAAGACGTTCAGGTATCGAGTCATCACTCAGACAATGATGAGCAACCAATCGCACCAAATCACCAGGCTTCAAAGCATTACTGTCGAGTAAACGCTCAGCAATTAAATTAGCCGAGCTGTTGGAGGGTGTCGCTATAAGTATCCGACTTTCAGGAATACATGTAAGAATTTGTAAAATAGCTTCACACAATGTTATAGTCTTACCAGTTCCCGGAGGTCCAAATATTACATATGGAAGTGGTCGAGCAATACCGCGTAGTATATTCCTTACAGCTTCTTTTTGATAATAATTAAGTTGTTTATTGAACCAAATTAATTTACGTTTTTTTATTTGCAATTTACATGAATTAATTATTTCTGAATCCAAATTGTCTTTTTTTTTATTTTTTTCTTTTTCTTTAGAATCTATTTCAGATAATACTTTTAATAATCTGTCTGAAGCTCGTGGTTTTCTATTTTTTAGAGGTGTGGATTCACCAGAAGACGTACCCGATGATAACGATTCATTCGTTTTTTTAACATACTTTGGTTTTTCGTCTGGATCGTTTTCTTCTAGATCAATCTGCGACTCTTTTTCATTGACCGAAGTGGCAAACAAAATTTCAACACCTAAATTATTAATAGCAAGGTTTATTGCATTATGAGCACGTGAAAGTCCAGAATACGAACTTTTAAAAATAATCTGACAGTCTTCTCCATTATATGTATTGTGGAATTCAGGATTAAACTTAAGCAATATTTCTGAATTTTTGACTTTGTGAACAAACCCTTCATTTTTTATTTTTCCACCACTAGAGTCCCATTTAAAGGAAACAACAACACGATCTCCAATAATGAGCGACGGGCGTTTTTCTGATAACCCAGGAACTTTGAGGATTAAAAACTCTCCGCCAGGTATCATTACAGCACTATCCATATCATACTTTTGCATTTCAATTGTAAGATTCATTTCCTCCAGATACAGCAAGGCGTGAAAGCGGTCGCGGTAATTTTGAAGAGTCAATGTGTCATTTAAAAATGGGAGTGCTTCCCCAACAACACCTTCTAGTTCAATTGCAGACATTTTATCATTGATACAAGGCAGTATTATGCTCCAATAACGTTGAGGAATTCGATAGACTCCAGAACGTACTTTTATAAAATTTGGTGCTTTACATGGACGTACCCCCGGTATATAAAACTCTTGATCAAAGACATCATGTCTTACCAATCTATCATTATTATAATTTTTATCATCAGGATTTATACCTACTGACACACTTTTAGCATTAACGTTTATCTCAAACATACGCCCGATTGTAAAGCTGTTGAAACAAAATATAAAAAGTTCCTTTGTAGCTCCGATAAATTTAGTTGTACACAAAAATGTATAAACTACTGAATCACCAGGGCATAATTTAGTACTTTTATTTATTTCTGGAGAGAGTAATGATAGTTGAGATTGAGATTTCTTAGACATGAATACGCCTTTGATCAAAGTGTAACTGTTATTTGAATTATTTGTAATAGTTACATCTAATTTTTTTTCTTCATTAAATTCTAAATTAAAATTTAAATCTTCAGTAATACTAATACCATTTTTATTTTTCAAAAGCGTGTTTAAATTATCTTCATTCACCTGGCTGGTACTGTTAACCGAGGCGACTGATTTTCCAGTATTGTCTACTTGAATTAGCGGTACAACGGTTAGGCATCTCCATGTGTAAACTCCCTGGTCACTTTCAATACTGTCGCAAACAACTTTATCACCCTCACAAGGAATGTACCCCGGTTGGCACGCAACTTTACTGAATATCATGTCGCTGTCAACATTTCCGACTCCTTTCAATTGATCATACTTTGTTATCAATCCTATTTTTATCGTAGATCTCAGTGGATATATTTTACTGACCTCCAAGACTTCACCACCCAAATCACCAGAATTTTCGTTCAATTCAACTAGTGACTCTACTTGCACCCAATCACCGCGGTAGGGCACGAATGTAGCATCTGCTTTGTCTAAATTAATTATCGTATTAATCGGTTCTAAATGTACTTTACGACCATCACGTTTCATTACTTTACAAACAATAGTTTTACGTATAATCTGGTTTTTTTCATTATTACTGATTAAATCATCATCATCATTTACGTCCCAGAAGTCACTAACTATTGATATTATTTTACGGACTTTGATATCATCTTGGCTGGTTTGATAAGCCAAATAGTGAACTTTTAATCCCTTTTCTAAGTTATTAGTTGGTGAGTTTGAAATGTCACAAATGTAACGGTCGTCTATCAAAATAGTATCCGCTGTGATCGATGTAATTGTTCCATTTCTGTAAAAACATCCTTCAAAATTATGGTTTTCATTTTCTTCAATCAAATTATCATCGTCGTTATATACGTCGTCGTTAAAACTTTCGAGTTTAGTTATTATTTCGTCAATATTTGGTTCATCAGTCTTACCCCAAATATATTTGGCAGCATTAACTAGTAAAGAAAACATTTTTTAATATTTATAAATTGATAAATCGTTTAAAAAATTATTTATAAACTTTTTAAAGAATTTTTGTTTGAGAATTAAAATTGTAACTATTTGTATCCATCGATGGGTTGATATCTCCACTCGGTAACTTTCAAGTACTCTAACTCTTTTCTCAGTGACTGGACACGTTTGACATGTAATTCATTCTCCAACTTTTTCTTTTGATTTTGCACTTGCAATTCGTGTTTCATGTGATTTAATATTTTTGCAATTGGAGTTCCACTTGTGTTCAAACCTGAATCTTGCGAATCACTTCGACCTGACGATGTTCCTAATGTCGTCGGTGATAATGATGGATTCATATTATTCAATAGAAATAATCTAAATAAATAATATTGATAATTAATATTTAAATCTATAATGATATAAAAAAAATTAAAAAAGAAAAATAAATAAAACATAACCACGAGAAATTTTACTTACTTTTCAATAAATATTGATGGGAATATCAATATTCACTTTTATGAAATGGAAACATTTTATAACTTACTTATATAGTCATAAAAAATTAAAATTTCTTACAATCTATTAAGATATCAATTTAAATTCAAGTATTCTTAATAATTATTGTTTACCTTACAATAAAAATTTTGAGGTTATTAAATTGTTTATATTCCTTTTACTATTCCCGTTATGCGGCAGCACAGCACCAATTTCGCGGGAGTATTAGAATTTTTTTAAATAAACTATAAAGAAAACAAATCTATAGCAAAAGAGTAATCTAAATATACTTATGAATTTTGTACCTGAAACAATGTCAATCAACTAAAGTAAAGAAATGTACTGTTAATAAAAATAAACAGTGAGATCATTTTATTAAACATTTTATTATAAAAATTAATTTGAGCTGCTTAAATATACAATGAAAATCGGAAGTTCAAAAAAAGCTTATTTCTATATTAAATTTAATAAATAGAAATTTATAAATTTTAAATAACTATAATTTATTTATTTACTTCTTATTCTGATAATTAAATATTAATCATTGAAATTAACATTTAGAACCGCATCCGAGTTATTATCTCAAGCTTACATTTTCTAATAATTTCCAAAATTTTTTTTACCTTATTTATATCACGAATACATAATATGAAAAATAATTTTTGCATAAATTACTATTACATTTTTTATTGATTAATAGCAAACAAAATAGAGATATTTAAATTAACATAAATAAAAAAAAATATAATCATAATAAAAATTATTTTTTTTTAAATTTCAATTGTTGAAATTTATTTTTTTTTTTTTTTTCTTAATTTTCAAGATAATTTCATATTGATTAATAACTGAACATAGTATTCTTAAATTGCTCCAGGCACTTTTTTTTTATAACGAACAAAATAAATAAATGAAAGTAATTAAACTAACGTAATAAAAATATAAAAAAAAACTTATTATATAGTTTCAATATCTTTGGATAAATCATAAAGTGGCACATTATAATAATTAATAATTTCACTTTAAAATTATAAAAACAAAAAACTTAAAGAAAAATGTTAGTTAAATATAATTATTAACTGTTGATAGATATTGCTGATTACTTTTATCTATATAATTTTAAACCGAAGATTTTTCAATCGTTTCGACTTCAATCGTTTCTTCGTCGGTGTTTAGTTCAATACCTTTATTGATGCTACCCGGAACTATTTTGTCCTCATGGGGCGTTGAATTACGTCGTCCATACCTTGGCATGTCTCCAATCGGTGACGGAGGTATTGAACTATCCGGAGTTATGATTTCTTGTTGAGCACTCATCTCATTTTCGTCAACAACCAAACCATCAGATACAGTTACTGTCTTTTTTTTCTCTGTGACAATTGGTTCATTTAATAATTCTGCATGACTGATTTCGTCTTCAATAATGATAACAGAATCTTGCTCCTCAACTACGATATCACGGGGAGATATTTCATCTTCTATAGTAATTATATTCTGTTCTTCATCTACAATTAATTCAACCGGAGTTAATTTTTCTTCAATAATTATCGAGTCTTCGATTTCAATTACGTCATCAACATTTATATCAGCTGGGGTAGTTTTTAGTTCTGGTTCTACAATTGATACATCGTTTGCCGGTATTTTTATTTCAGAACTGACTGTTTTTTCTTTTTCAACAAATGTCTCTACAGTAGTATCAACCATAGTAACTTCATATTTAGTATTAATATTTGAACTCTCTTTCAGAGTGACATCAAAAGTAGAGGTCTTAATCTGAGTGCTCGATAACTCAGTAGTAATTGACTCAGCAGTAGTCAATTCAGCTTGTTCAACAGGTAATGTTTCGATTTCAGAAATTGATAGTTTTATGTTCATTTTCTCTGAACTTATATCTGATGAAAGATTAGGTGTTAATTCGATTACAGTCTGTTGTTCAGGGAGAGTTTCATCAACACTAACTGAAGCTTTATCGATGTTTTCAGTAGCTGTCCAATTAGAATCGATGATCAAAGTATCGCCAACGGCTGATGAATCATCAACAGTTGCATCAGATTGCTTTAATGTACTATTAACAATTTCTGAAGTTTCAACTTTTTCAAACGGATTGCTATCGTGTGAATTATCTGAATTCGTTAACACATCAACACCAGACGTACTACTTGAAAAATTACTTTCACAATCTTTTTCATACGTGTGTGAGTTTAATTCTTTTTCCACTTTAATATTTTCACATATTGAATGTTGTTCGATTTTATACTCAATATTTTCAGAAATTACTTTCTGATCAACAGCCGTAGTTGAACTAATCTTTTTTGAATACAATGAAGCAAGTATTTCTACAACGTCTTGTCCGTTGTATATGAGATCAACGTAGCTTGGACCGTTTCCGTAGAGTTCTTTGTACTCGAACATCGTCTGTCCATCTGATATGAGTTCAATGAACTTTTCGCAAGCTTCTAGAGACCAACATTCAATATCGTCTGGCATCTTCAATGAACAAAATTTCGACAAAGGAGGAATTTTAGCCAAATCCTCTGGAAGTTGACGAATCTCACTTGTTAAAGACGAATTACCGTAATCAATAAAAGATACTTCTATATCATTAATAGCTTCATTATAAGTTAGAATTTTAGCGCGGTACCACAAACTATCTTCTGGAAATTTAGCAACACAAATGACTCCGTCGATAGGCGCTTCTAAAGGTGAGAAATTCTCAGCATCATTTAGGCTTTCGGCCATCAATTCAAGTTCTGAAATTTTATTTTCAGCTTGAATCCAAAATTCGGATGGCGAAATGACATGACTTATCATGACATTTAGAGAAGTTTCTTCACCTAGTGGAGGCAGTCTTTCTTCAATTACAGGTACTGGTTTCTTACAATACTGATTTAATTTTTCAGTAACATCTTCGCCATTAAAAATAAGCTGAACTGTCGATATTTCATCAGTTTCATCTTTTATCATCATTATGAACTCACTGTTACCATCATCAACAAGTTTAATAAACTCTTGATAAGCTTCACAAGACCACTCAACATTTGCAGGTGAAGCTAGACGACAATGCCGCGATAAAGGTGGTAGTGTTTCTAAATCATTTGGAATTTTGCGAAGCTCTGTAGTTACTGCCGTATTTCCATAATCAATGTAGATAACTTGTGTGCCTTCATTCCCATGTGACAATACTCGTGCTCGATACCATGCAGAATCTTCGGGAAACTGAGCGACACACAAAAGTTCTTCTTTAATTTCATCAAGTGGCAAAAACGTGTCAGCAGTTGTCAATCGTTCAGTCATTATATCTAAATCCGATGTGTGTTTTTGCTCTTGAACGTAGAAGTCATATGGTGAATTGACGTGACTGACAAACACTTTATTAATAGAATTGTCAGTTTCAGGATTAACTTCGGCTGAACTTTCTATTGCAATTTTTTTTTCACAAAATTTTTCTAGTGAGTTAACAATATTTTCACCATTAAGAGTAAGCTTGACTGTAGAAGTTTCTCCTTCTTCAATAACATCCAGGAAAAATATTGTTGCTCCATCATCAGCCATCTTAATGAACTCCTCACGTGCTGCTTCAGACCATTTCTCGATACCTGGTGGTAATGGTAAACGAGATTTACGTGATAATGGTGGTATATTTTTTACGTCATCTGGAATCACTCGAATTTCAGTCGATACCGCGGAATTTCCATAATCAATGTAAAAGACATTTGTTCCCGATGAACCATGTGAAATAATTCGTGCGCGATACCATGAATTGTCGTCAGGAAATTTGGCAACACAGAGTTCTCCTGGTACAACTTGAGTAACTTTAGGAAACATATCAGCAACAAGAAAACGGTCTGCGATGTGCTCTAAATCAGCTACTGATTTTTCTTCTTGCACCCAAAATTCATCAGGAGAATTAATATGGCAGATAAAAGCTGATCGTGGGTCGAGAACATTTTCAACTACTTCATCGATAACATCTTCATGAGCTTGAATCTGTTTTGCTAAGTTCTCATTGACTAGCATTTTGGTAATACTGCCATTATCGTCAATAAGATCAATACGCTTTGAACTACCATCAGCTATAACAATGGCAGTTAAGTTCTCATTTTCTACAGTTTTGTCTGCAAAATAATTAATAGCATTTTCATTCCAATCTTCGCAATCTATTGGAATTAGATCCAATCGGCATTTTGTAGCGTACCATTTTATTGACTTCATCGAATCTGGAAGCTGTTTAATCTTGCTCATGTCAAGTAACACATCCGTGTTTCCGTAGTCGATGTAGCGAACTGTAACCATTTCTGTGTCAGCTACTATAACCTCTGCTCTGTTCCACAGAGAGTTTGCAGTGTCAAGAGCTACACAAATAAGATTTTCTTCAGGAACACCTTCAATTGGTAGATAATTCAAAGCATCGTCTTGTAATTTTGTCTCGAGTTGTTCGAGAGCAGGTAAATCATTTCGTCTTTGAATCCAAAACTGTGTTGGGTTTTCTACATGAGCAACAACAACTTTAAATTTACCTCCAATGATTAAGTCTTCGGGTTCATCAATAACTGGAAGCGTTGCTTCTTTGGTAACTTCAATTGCTTGACTCTCACCATATTCCAGGAGCCCTAATTCACGCAATTGGTCTTCCAGCGGCTGGCCTGATTTCAAATTTAATGACGCCACCCAGTCATTATTAGCATTTAATTGCAGTGTTGCGTTGAATGATTGGTTCAATACGTAAGTACTCAGAATTTCTTGCTCCTTTGTTCCACCTCCAAGATTAAAGGTCAGTCTTACTTCAATTGCCAGTTGAGAATTCTTAAAGAAATTTCGTTCTAATTCTTTTAATTTATCCAAAGAAACTTCTTCAGTATTACCGTAGTCGATGTAAAGCACAACTGCTCCCGAGCCCGTTTTAGTAACGATTTTTGCACGATACCAATTACCATCGGAACATTGAGCTGCACAGAACTTGTTGATTTCAATATCCAATTGTTGTCCAGACGTAGAGTAGTACTCAAAAAGATCATTGAGAAGAGCTGCGTCAGTATCTTGATCAGCATCTCGTTTCAACCAAATACTTTTCAAGTTATTTACATGCGAAACAGCAACTTGATGTTGGTGGAAAAATATTGGCATAGGGCATATGGGACTGATACTTTCATCTGCTTCATTTTGAAGTTTTATCTTCTTACCACTTTCATCAAATACATCCACAACAAGCCTACAAAGAAAAAAAAAAAAACAATTAAGACTCATTATTTGACAATAAAAGAAAAATAAAAATTAATTACCGGTTATAATTAACTTCATTGACACGAATAATAACTTCTTTATTCTCAACTAGATTCCTGAAAGTATTGTCAGTTGAAGATGAAACAGCATTAGCTAAACTGCATTCAACAGCCTGTTTTTGCATGATAGAAAGTTCTCCTGACAACGCCAACATCTATATTATAAAATTTGGAAATAAAAATTATAATATGCTTTTCAATAACTAAACTGATTTACATACACGATTACTCTATATCAAGTCGATTAATATATTTCTCGTGATATTAGTTGATCACAAAATGTATGGTATTAGTTGCTCACGATGTCGTTAAAAAATAAGACTATTCTGTTATTAAATCATTTGTTAAGTTATCTTTCATGACAAATACATCAACCGGGTACGAAAAAACTCACACAATCCAGTGGGACCACATCGATTTCTCCAGTATCAATGAACCTCACGTCATAATTTGTTGTTTGTGTAATAAAATTTACGACAACAGCTCGTCTCCATCCTTTCTCTGTATGAACAAGACAACCCGCTCCAAGGCACACCTCATTTGATAACAGTTTTGGCATCACCTAACATTGCCATATTTTTTTTGTAACTTGTATTATTTTTTATTTTCAACAGTTTTTGTGGAGAGTTATACTTAACAAGACTCAAAATTCTGCTACCACCGCTAGTAATTTTAATAAATATTAAACATTTATTCGATTTTAGTTATACAATCTAATAATTAATTTTTTAATTTTGGAAGAATCAGAAAATTAATTGTAATTAGTTGTCATTTTATGAGATTTATTTTAATAAAAATTTAGTTTTAAAATCGAAACTCAGTAAATAAAAAAATTCATGAATTGATGAATGAGTGAATAATTAATGATGAATATTTAAGGTGACTATTTTAATTTATGAATTTTATGCTCACAGTTGCAAGTTGTAGTTGTTAATCAATTATAATTCAATCTATTAATTACCATACATCGTGCGATGCAACAAAATCAACGAACTTAATATTTTAGTCAAAATGTTCAGTTATAATTGTAAGTTCGGTTTTATTAATCATTCCAATAACATTGTTACTTATTAATAAAGTTATTCAAGATAGTTTTTTTTTTTTTTTTTTTTTTTTTTTTTTTTATAGACAGTGACTTGCTTAAAAGTATATTTTTGATTAGAATACAAGCAGATTATTCAGAAATGATTATATGTTTACCAAAATTAATTACAATAAAACTCACGCTCGATTAATTAAAAAAAATTGAAAATAAAAAAATTTTTTTATACCTTTTGATCTTGATTAGCCATATAATTATCAATTATTTTTTCACTAGCTGCTGCAGATGGTAATTGTATGTAAAACTTGTTTACACTTTCGACTTTTGATATTTTAACTCGTAAGATCTGTCCACGTAAATAGCTTATGTCTATTTGTGACAAATGATGATTGCTATCGACATTCTCTTCTGCTTCTATAAAGAACAAATAATATTAATTACAATTACTTGTACGTTGTTTCGAAACAATTACAAAATAATTTATTGAGATTATACATTTTAATTTATAGACTTGGATTTTTTTTCAAAACATACCTACTTCATCAATAGTTTCCAAATTAATCAAATCCACGACAGCTATGGTAACAATCATAACTATTATCTAATAATTAAATATTTATACATTAAAGACTTACCATGAGAATTTGGTGAAGCAGCCAAGCCTTTTTGCACCAAGATATCAGCCAAATCTTGACCGTCGTGTGTCAAGGAAACCAAGTACTTGTTATTGCTTTCTTGCAGAAAGTTGCATCGAAGATTTTCAACATTAAAGAGACGATCGATGTCATCATGGATTGATTTTGACCAGCTACCTCCTGGAGGCATAACGTTTTTCAAGCTACAGCACACAGCTTGCTTCGGTAAATCCATTAATTTTTTATCGACACGATAGATCTCGGATGATTTTACTGTAGCTGTATTTCCAAAGTCAACGTAGCGAACAACAAAAGTATCAGACATAGTTTGAAGAACTTCAGCTCGATAAAATGCCCCATCATCAGCGAAAACAGCTATGACCGTCGAACCAACGGCAATCTTATCTCGAGCAGGCTGTCGTTTAGAGTAGATCTTTTGCATTTCATTCATCATTGATCGGAAATCTTTTGACTTACCAAGAAGTTGACAGTAAAAATTATCTGGGTCAATTAGCCATGTGACAATAACACCTTCTTCCATCGGTAAGTTTATACGAGGTTCAATCCATGTTTGTTCTAACGGTGCATAGTTATCTGTTGCTGCGTGAGTAATCAATTTTCCATCGCGACTAGATCGATTTTTATTTTTAGCAACTTCTTTGGCTTGCATTAAATCAGCACCATTGGAAAATCGCTCATTTAAATACGGCCCAAAAGTTTCATTATCCACAACTTCACGGACAAGAACTTCATAAACATTATTTTCTTCAGCAACAAATTCAGCTTCAAGTGACTTCAACTCTACAAGTGAAGTAAATTCGTTAATTTCGTTGGTGTCCCATACAGTTTTTGATGCAGCGAGCAGCTTACAGTTGATAGCTTGAACTGGTAATTTAGCAAGTTCAACATCAAGTTCTTTCATCTTATCAAAGGTCACAGATTCAACATTTCCGTAGTCTACGAATCTTACGGTAACTCCAAATGGTTCAATTGATTGAATTACAGCACGATACCATTTTAAATCTTCTGAGTACTGAGCAACACAACTCGTACCAACTTTGGCATTCGCCTCAGACAAATTATTACCCCCAGTCTCATAAATTTGTGCGATTTTATTCATAACAGGATCTAATTCTGAATTATCAGGGCTTAGTTGCACGTGAAAATCTGTAGGACTAGTTATAAATACAATTTCACAATGTTTTATAGCACCAAGAGTAATATTAGGTGGGGTAATTTGAACTATTGATGATGATGCCAGTGATGATGATAATAATGACGAGGAATAGCCAGCTGGTGAACACTCCTCAGTACTAGCAACTGTAGTTACCGGATCCCAAACATCAATTTCACTCTTTTTATTTCGGTCATTGCGCTGATCATTGTATCTTTGATTATTTTGCTTGAATCGTGCATTGTCAGATGAAGTGTAATTATTAAAATCATTAGATCGATTATTGGATTTGAGATTTCTTTCGAAATCATTCTCGTTGTCGTTGCTAGTACTTCGTGGTCTGTCTCGACGAGCTCCAGTTATTCCGCCGTTGATGCTGCTGCCTCTCCCTGGACCTCTGCTCTGGAATGACCCTCCACGTGGTCCACCTCTATCTGGTCGTCTGCCACGTCTACCACTCCCTCGTGACGATGCATTTGAATCTTTATCACTCCATGAGGTGTCTCCTGTATTATTACGATCGAATCTGTCTCGACTACCCGAGCTTATACGTCCACGTCCACTACTACGATCTCGACGGCCATTCATGTTGTTGTCATTATCAAACCTATCGTTGATATCGTTTCTGTCATAGCGTGGAGCAGGTCGGTCGTTTCGTGAATAATCTCTATTGCTTCTATCACAATGGCCTGACCAATCACGACTCGTTGACTTTGGTTCACGACTGTTGTAGCGTTTGTCTTCATTTTCAGCATTTTTCCAATTCTTAGCTCGAGTGTTTTCGAATGAAGAATTATCGTGTGACTGTGGGTAAGAGTCGTTATGATTCTTGGATGTACTGCTGTCGTTTTCTTCGCTGTTCGTAAAAAATAAAAAATTATTTTTAATGTAAAAAACAAATTCTTAAATTTTATGTTATGTAAGCTTATTTATTTTAGCATGCAATGGTATTTACTGGTGCATTGTGAACTATGTTATTGATTATCTAACTGATATTTAAAAATATAAATAGGCAAACTAAGAATACATTGATCAATTAATTTTTTTAAATTAAATCAAAAATTATTTCACATTTAAACTACTAAAATTTATACTAATTTTAATTTTTAATTATTCACTAAAATTAATTTGTTTTAAAAGAAAGGTAACCGAGTTTTGCCTGACACAAAAAATATGTAAAACTTGTACATTTTTTATTGAAAAAAAAAAAAAAAAAAAATTAAACTATTTCCCTATCAATTGGATACTGGCTACCGAAACAATAATTGGGATCATTTAGAGTACAGTAGGTTATTCTACAGAAGTAACAACACAATTCAAGTCTCAAATGATGTCGAGGTTTAAATAAATATAAATAGTCATGTCAGGTACAAATCTCGCAAAGGTTTACCTACAAACCAATGACCCGAAGTAATCATTAGGTTTTTTTTTTTATTTTTAATGACTACTAATCGTAATTGACCATATACCAGGTTTAAACTATTCTTAATATTTTATGAAATCCCTCTGAAGTTCACAGAGAAATTTAGCAAACATATTAAATGAGATTTGAAAAGTTTCAGGATAATAAAATTTTAGTACCAGTATTAGCAATAAAACAATTTCTTCTAATCTTATGATTGTTAAATTTTTGAAGTATTTGGTTAGCTGAGAGTTTTAAATTAAAACCATTTTTTGTTATATTTTTCAAACCCTTAACATGTTTTGACCACTGGTCGTCTTGGCCATTATTTACATGTATTTTTGAGCGATATAATAAATTGTATTATTTCCCACATAAGGTAAAAGACCCAATAGATGATCATATACGGGCACGTGATCATCTATTGGGGCTTTTACCTTACTCACTTAAAATAATCTTAAATAAAAAATTTCTAATCCAAAACTTTGAAGAATTTCAAGATATTTAAACCTTTAAAATTATAAAGAAAACGCTCATTCAGATTTTCTAAATATATATATATATATATTTCGGGTCAACGAACCTGATCCATACAAAAAAATTTTAATAAGTATTTTTTAATAAGTAAAATAAAAATAGTTTTCATTTTTTGTGACTCTACGTATTTTTAAAATTAAAAACTCTAGTACTTCAAACTTTGAATAAATGTGAATAAATATTTTAACAAAGAAGAACTAAGCTGATCCGATAAAAATAAATTGTATGTGCATAAAACTATCAACAAGTGCAGAAAATTAAAAGCTTTTGACAATACATTAATCTAAATGCAATTATGAAAATGATAAGCGATACGGATATTTCATTTTGTTTTTTTTTTTTTCTTAAAAATTACCGTGCATTTTTAGTACTTTTCGCTTTGGCTGTATGTTGATGGATTGATGAAAACAGCTGAGTTTTCATGTCAGACCTGTATTTATAATCATTTAAATATTGAATTGACTATTCAATACTTCTATAGTATTATTTTTTCTGTAGTATTCTAATGTTTATATAATTTATATTCTATTTCTATAAGTAGCAACTTTAAGAGTGGATTAAAAATAATAAAAAATTACCTTCTTTCGCGGAAACTTCTCTTTGAAGCATCACTGACATCATCTTGATACTGAGTTGAACCTGTGCTTGCTGATTGAGGTTGACTGACGGGTGCTGAAGTGGGTACTTCCAAAGTACCATTTCTCAGTTTAGCCGATATATTTGCAATCGGTTTAACGTTGGAGTCATAAAGATCGACTATAAATCCTGAAGGTTTAACATCCAAGACAGCCATCACCAGAGGTTTATCCAAGACGTAGGCCTCAAATTTATCATCAACTTCTGGATTGTAGGGTACGAACTCGAAGCCATTAAGGATACACTGTAAGGCTTGAATTGGTATCTTCGTGAGTTCTTCACTGCGAATTGAACGAATAGCATTACATGGAATCGTTTCATCATTGCCATAATCAACGTAATGGACTGTAACGTAATTATCAACAACTTTTATAACTTCCGCTCGGTACCTATTAACAAAAAAAAAAAATACAATTAATTAATTACGTAAATAAAAAAAAATTAATAATTAAAAATATTAAATTTACCATTCAGAATCAGCGCTACTATGAGCTAGACATTTTAATCCCACTTTTATGTTCGCTGCTTTAATCGGCGGTGCTATTTTAACACATTCTGTCAAAGTATTTGCTAAAGATTCCATATCCAATACATTTTTATTCAATTGTACAAAAAATTTACTACAGGAATCGACGTAAGACACCTGAACATTTTCGCGTGTGCCAGATGTCAAATAAGGAGCTTCAAGAAACTTTATTGTAGAGTCTGGAAAAGCTTCTAGTATCATTTCCAAAACATTCTTGTCATCAATAAATAAATTTCCGTAGTGCATCAGTGGCGAATCTTCACGTGGCATCACGACTAATGTTAAAGTCTTGCCGAGTACCAAATCCTTGAAATATTGTTTCATTTCTGGTGTAACATTTAATTCACGTACGCCACTCAAAGTAAATATTACCGACAACGCTTGTGGATTCGAGTAATTTGGTGGTATTTCATAAATACTAGAATGTGGTAAGATTTCTTGGTCGCCATAATCACAGTACCATACCTTAACTTTATATGTGTTGATAACAGTCGAAACAACAGCACGACGTATTCGGTTGGTCTTGGAATTGAGTGCAAGACACGCAGCACCGTGAATTGGTGGTTCTGACAGCGGTTTCAGCGGAATACTATTTATATTTCTCGACAAAGTATCAAGTTCTTGAGCACAACTCTGTAGTTGGACATTAAATTTAAGGGGACCATCTTCGACATCTGATACAAGCACTTGATGTCTTGTATCACGTTCTAAATTACGTGATTTGAAGGCAGCTGAATCTTGTGAGCGAGGTGAAATTGATGTTGGTGGTCTCATTTGTTGAACAGTAGATGGATAAGGTCGTCGCCAATTTTCTTGAAGAGGTTTGTTAGATGGAATTGACCTTGGCTGTCGTAATTTCATTTGAAAATTATCGTTGATAGTCATATTCACTCCATGAGGTTCACAAAGCACTGGTGTAGGTGCTGGTCCTGGCCGATACATCGGATTTGCTGGATGAAATGATGGTGGTTGAAGTTGGGGTTGCTGAAGCTGTGGTGGTTGAAGTTGGGGTTGCTGAAGTTGTGGTGAATGATATTGTGATTGTTGATGTTGTTGTTGTTGTTGTTGTTGTTGCTGCTGCTGCTGTTGCTGAAGTTGGTGCTGCTGTCTAATCATTTGTATGTCCTTGGTAGGCCTGAAATACATTAGAGAATATTTTTATTTCATTACAAAATATTTTTAAACACAGTTATTATGTAATAATGTAATTAAAAATTATTTTACCTGATCTCATGAGCTGTCGGCGTCATCAAAGCCATTTGATTAGTTACCAAATACTCAGCAAAATCTCGTCCATTGTAATATAATGTAAATTTTTGTTGATTACCATAATCAAATATTTCAACCGGAAACTCATGATATCTCAACAAATTATTAATAACGTCAATAATAGCCCGACTCCACATATTATTAATAGGCATAACTGTCGTTAAGGGAAATTCGATCATTAATGACGGAATAGATTGTAGTTTCAAACCTTCATTTGTTGTTTCAAGTAATCGTATTTGCGATATGTGAACGTATTCACTGTTACCATAATCGATAAATTCGACGTAAATTTTTACATCGGATTCAACTTTAATTATTTTTGCACGGTAATAATTGTCTTCATGATAAGCACAGCATATGTTGGAATGGATATTTTGTGTAGTAGTTTTACCGATTCCTCGATCAAAACCATCTTTAAGAATCGATATCAACCTTTCCACTTCACGTGCATTGTTGCGATCCATTTGTCCACATATTTGTAACCACGGACCATTGGTGCGTACATGAGTTACAAAAAAATTTATGCGCTCTCTCGGTTGATTAATGTTCGTCATTTTTTTGCCGTAGTTGTACACGATTTGCTTACTGCATTAGCCACTGAAAACTTTGATTGTTATTATTATTATTATTATTATTATTATTATTATAATTGTTAAAACCTTAACTACTTATTACTAATCTTTATTATCATTAAATATAATACTTTTAATAATTAATAATTACCTCTTGCTAGTCGCAGCTATTCATTAATATTCCGCAACGTAACTAAGCCACGCAGCAGTACTTTCGTAAATATGTAGGTCTTTCATTCGACAATAAAATCTATCTTTTTTTTTTTCTTTTAATAAGCTATATATTGAATACACCAACACGGTGCAAACTTACTTCTCGGATAAATATTCAATGGTTTTTATGCTTTTATTATTTATATAATTCTTAATCAATATCACTGTTATCGCACAAACATTTATCATATACTTAATTTTCTCTCCCGTTTATACTACTACGCTGTTGATCTTTTTAACTGAACTAGCTCGTAACCCCACACACGATGTTGCAGCGTCCATTGTTCAATGCGAAATAACGGCGGAATCAAGAGGAATGTTGAGAGGTGTGTGCGCTGTGCGACCAAGTCTCAACTCACTCGAGTCGCTCGAATTCTAGAGAAGGATAGAAATACTCGCTAACTCATTTTAACTCACGGCGGTTAAGTGGAGATACGCAACTCAACGGTCGAATGTGGCGCCGCACTTTTCGTTCCTCAATTTTTATCGTGGAAGGTGGAAATTACAGTTGAGTCTCATTATGAGTCCTATTTGTTTTCTTTTTTTCTAACCAGACTCGCGTTAACATGAGAGAGACACTAATAGGACTCATAACAAGACTCGACTTGTAAAAATGCAACACACACACGCAAATGCAACACAGTATTTCTGTAAGTCTTAACTATGTTTTGGTATATTTAAATGTATTACTTGATACAGAATTCTTAGAAATTTTACCGGCTTTTTTTTCTCTATAGAATATTCTTTCTATCAATGTATATGTACATATATCCGATGTGTACGCTTTATATAGAAACAAATGAATAGATTCATTGTCTATATCTACTTATTTTTAAAACAATAACAATAATAAATCGTAACTGATTTTATTTTTTATTTATTAAAAAATAACAATTTGTTTGTTATGAATATAACAAAATATTTATGATACTAAAGGTAGCCGACGATTTTAATTTTTTGATTTTTTTTTAATAATTAAATTAGAACAAAAAAATATTTTTAAAAAAATTGCACTTACAGTTTTTAAAGTTTTTTACAAGTGAAATTTTTTTTTAATCATTTTTTCAATAAAAATAAAAATTTTTTTAATTTTTAAATGTCGGCCAACTTAATTTTCATAAATATTTGTGGAAAACGAGTTTTTATATACAAATTACATTTTATAAACAAAGAATTTTTAAATATTAATCAATTTAGATTTTTTTAAGCTTTCTTCATGGATTTATTATGAATTATAACGTACATCATCTTAAAATTTATATAACAAATATATCTGTATATTTTTATATTATTTATTTATAGTACAGTAAATATAAAAGCTAAAGACTTGTCATACATTTTTAAAACTGAGAAAGTTATTAGAACATCAGGAAATTTTCAAACAAAGAAATGAATGTATTACAAAAATAAAATTATTTTAAAATTTTCACTCACTGATCTTTAAAATCCTTTGTATAATTTTTCTAACATATGTAATTTGTTTACATATTTAAAAATGAAGAAATTGTTGGACGTCAGCTATCAAGATTTATGGATAAACACATCACATAAGTAATTTAAGATAGGATGATTAATTTCAATTGAATTTAGATTACTAACTACCTTCCGGTATTAAATTATCAAATATAAATAAAATAAAATAAATGAGATAAAAGATAATACATGGAAATAATCTCGCTTAGCTGTATTTACTTAACGGATTATATATCTAGACAAAAAAATAAAAAAATTATGTAGTTTAATTTAAAGCTAATGCGTAAACAGATAAAATACACATTACAGTCTTATTTTCCCATTTTACAGTACACTTAAAATCTGTGTCATTATTCCAAAAACATGTTGAAAAAACATTTAGTTTTTCATAGCCGTCCTTTTTTGAAGTGATTACCGACGTCACTGAAAACAATGAACTCATTATTTTATGACATTAAATTTAGCTGTCACTTTACACTTTTTTTATTTTCTTTAACAAATAAATTTGATCCAAAAAATTATTTATAAAAAATTGCATTTTTTATTTTTAAAAATTTTTGCATGTCAATTTAAAAAAAAAAAATTTTTTTGTCATAATTTATTTGTTACAAAAATTATTAAAATTATCAAATATCTGCTAAATTAATGATATTAAAGTTAGCAGTCACTTGACAATTTTTTAATTTTATTTAACAAACAAGTTTAGTCCAAAAAATTATTTTTTAAAAATTGAATTTTTATTTTTTTTTAATTTTTACATGTCAATTTTTTTTCTCATTTTTTTTAACCATAATTTATTTGTTAAAAATATTTTTTAAATTATCAAATATCTGCTATTTAAATTAATTTTAATGCTAAATTAATTTTCACCATTATTTTTATACAAAATAAGTGTGTACATTAAATAATTACCTATGTATTTAAACGGCATTCCTAATTTAGCCAAGTTAACCAAACACCTCTCTGAAATTCTTGCATCCCAAGAATCAACTTTTCTGTGTGCATATTCGTCTTCACCGACTATGAATTCTAGAGTACTTATCATCAAGTCACTCAATTTATCATATAAAATTTGATTCTAGTAGAAAAAAATAATTACATTTAAGATTAATTAAGGTACTTTTTATTTTTTATAGTTTTTTTTTTTTTAAATAGAGAAATACAAACCTGATTCGCTGTCATCTTTATCATGTGTAACCTCTTTAGACTTTGTAAATTTACCGTACAGAATTACACAAAATTAATATAATTAAAAAATTATGTTTGCTTAAGCAATATGTTAATAAAACCCAATTAATATGTAATATTTTTTAGATACTGGGATCAAAAAATGAATGTGACTTGATTGAAAGAGAAACAACGCATATGTAGGTTAAATGCTTATTTAATTATATATACTCAAAGAACATGCACTCAAGTAAATGGATACAAATTCCTCATAGTGAAGAATATTTATTTTGTATTTAGTAGTTAAATTGTTAACGTTTACAAGAATAAATATTTTACTACAACTAAATAAAACTTAGAATTACTTTATTTATTTTTTTTTGGCGAATTCTTACAATTGTAGTTTTTATTTTGAAATTTGAACATAGAAACTAACAAAAGAAATATTTTAATAATTCAGTAAATAAGTTTAGAAGAATTATCCAAAGTTCCTACCTTAAGTAAAACAATTTAACACGGAGAAGTGGAATAACTCTTGATTCTAAAATTTGAAAGAATTTTAAAATAAGCAAACTCGGCATAAAAAACAAAGTTTTTCCTCATGATCCTCATCATAATTACGCTAGAATAAATTTTATAAATATTTTTTAATTCTTACATTTTTTCTAATCTGTCAAGTCTGAGACTTATTTCTCTAAAAAATAATTGTTCAATATTTTGCTTTTGCCATAAGTTTTTTAGAGTAAATAAAAAAATTGAATGAAGACTTCCAATTTCAAAAATTCAAGTACTTCTATTTTACAATAAAATCTTTAGAATAAAATATGATACTAAGTTTGTGTAAAATAATTTTAAAGTAAATTTTTTTTTCTTAAACATTGTTTGAAATTCTAAAATAACTTATTCAATAAGAGTAAATAATTTAATAAATAGAGTACAGGGAATGTAATAAAAGAAACATATAAAATGACGTAACTCGTCCAAGATTTCGATCAGATATAACTTTTTTTATTATAAAGAATAATTTATATAAATATAATTGTAATAAACATAATAATTATAAAAATATGATAATTATAATACTCTCAATGCATGCATTTAATTTAGATAAACATTATAATAACTGATAATATTAAAATATATGAAAAAGACTAAGTAATCATAAAATATAATTGGATTATAAATATACACACACACAACTTAAAATTTACAAATTTAAAAATCTCCGAATCTTATATTATTTTATAATTTAGATCCTCATCAAACGAAGTCTCGTAGCCTTTATTGAGCAATGAAGCGATTCTCTAAAAAACGCCCCAGGAATCAAAAATTTATTTTATCTAAACAATAAAAAAAATGAGTATTATATTAAAAATAAAATTTTTAATTTTTTAAAATCGTGATGAAAATATATGTTCTTTTAACAAAAATTTCTTCTCAATAATTGTATAGATAAACTTAAAATAAAAGCTTTTACTTAATATAATTCTATTCTAGAATCGTGAAAATAAGGCATCACTAAATATATTAATGAATGAAAAAGATTTTTTAAATAGTTGACCCTGCAGACCAATTTTGAATTGCAATATTTCGTGAATAAATTGACTCATTTGGATGTAGTTTGCAATTTTCAATGTATTTTGTTATGCACAAGAATATAACATTTCACTTTAAAAACGATCTGAGGAAAAATTTTCGAAGTTATGTAAAAAAACACCTATTTATAGGGAAATAGTATATTAAGCCTTTCTTTTCTTCTTTTTAATTCTTATTGTTGTCAAAAAATTGCAATTTCTTGCTAATAACATTATTTTACTAATTTACTAATAATATTACTAAGGTAAAAGACCTAGTTATTGACACTTGCAATTTTATTTTAATTAAAAAAAATAAATCAACTCTGATAATTTAATAAACATTATATTTGAATTATAAATTTTAAGATAATTGGTTTTTTGAGAACATTTTATTTTTTTAATTAGAATAAAATTGCAAGTGTCAAACAACTAGGCCAGTGAAAATAACTGGGTCTTTTACCTTATTATAAAAATTGATTATAAGGAAAGAATGTATTGCTAAAATGAGTTATAAATTTGTTGGAGATGATAAATTCCACTCTGACAACTTCTTTTGCATCCAAGAATCCATATAAGTAAGGGAGTAAGGGGAAGTAATATTAATGATTAATACTTTTTATTTATAATTTATAAATTATTTAATTTACACAAATAAATATTTAGGTAACTAGACTCAGGCACGAGGTAAACCAATAACTAAAATTTTTAGTCTAAAAAACACGCGTACACTGTAGATTGGAGAGAAATAACAAAATAGTGGCGCCACCGTCACGGTTACTATGGTAACATAGAATTTAGTTTTAGTCCTGTTAAAAAACTTGGTATTCTCAGATTTAAAATACCAGTTTTCTTAAATCTAAAATATTTAACTTGACTTTTACTTCGTACAAGAAAACTCGACTAAAAAATATTCAGTATTCCGGGTATAAAAAAAATTTTTTTTTCAGTGCAGTCAATGATATTTAGAGAGTTAAATAATAACTAAAATAAGCCAAGCCCGATGTCTCTACGACCAATAGTTTACGAGATATGCATTTTTTAATGTAAAAAAACGCGGTTCCGCTCACACGCTTGTAAACAAATAGTTGTATACTCCTCGAAATATCATTCGATTAGCTTTTTTTTTTTTTTCTTTTTATTATAGCTATTGTTGTCTTCTATAAGTAAAAAAATCAGCTAAGCTCAAAAAAATTTTTTTGAATTTATTTACATGATTTTAAGTTTTTCAAATTTCGGTCTTAAAAAATAGTTAAAATGATCTGACAAGAAACTTTGAACTTAAGCGAAAAAAAATGCTTTTTTCGAAAATTTTCCACAACGATCTCTCAAACGAATTAACCGATTTTTATGTAGATTTAAAAAATCGAATTTGTTTTTAGAGCTTAAGAGCTGATTAGATTTTGGAATTGATCAATACTCAGGTTCAAAAGTTATTCCAAAAAAACTATTGCGAAATCTTAAAATTTACCATGTTGAACTAATTTATATTCACATGAAATTTCATGGTGATAGAACTCTTTGGAACGCCATAAATCGCATTTTGATTGGTCAAACTGTTCAAAAGTTATAAGAAGTTTACACACATACACACACATACGCGCGTACACCATACATGCATAATGACATTCTCATAGAAATAAACTGAACTGCTTTCTCAATTTCAAAATATAAAGATCTGATGAAAACTAAGTTTTTGAAAATTAGGGTGAAATCACTAATTTCCCAATTTTTTAAAATCATTGATTCTTATAGCAGAAAGGTAAAAAATGAAAAAATAAATTATACCAAATAATAACGCTGTAATAATGGAAGTAATTGACGCCTTAGTTCCTTGATGGCCTATGATATGGACGACGGCATTGATGATTCTCATACTTGATGATTATCTTGACTGGGCGATGACGGCAGGTTGAACGGTCACAGCAAGGAGGAGGAACTATGATGATCTGAAAATGATCCATCGTTGGTTGTTTCTTCAACTTCATTATCGCTATTTAATGACAAATGCCCTGTAAGCATTAATGAACGCATTTGTTCTAAAACCTGATGTAAAGAATCCGCCCGTTGGTCTGTCCTGTCGGTTAGAGGTGTTGCATCACCACTGGCGTGTCCTGCTGGAGTCTGCGGTGTGTTACTTGGTGGTACTGGTGTACTTGCTCCATCTCCTGTTCCTTAAGGAATAAAACATTTTGTATCAATGCCAAGTAATTCAACAATTAAATTGTTATCATCTCACATCTTAAAAAATTTTTATTTTTATAGCAATTTTTATTTTGTATAGCAATAAACTGCGTAGTTAAATGATAAGATGCGTTTACAATCATTTTCAACACTAAACTTAAACTTTGAATTCTATTATTTGTTATTATAATTTATATTTTATGTTTAATTTGGTTTATATAGCAGCTAGAATTGAGCAGAATTTATGCACTCTACACAATTACTGTGATCTATCTTTTGGTCGTTAGGGGACATAGTCCTACGATCAGTTAATAAATACATCACAGTATTATACTCTAATATCAGTTATTAAGCTCACCGGTTATATCGCTTGCTGGGCTAACAGATCTCTCGGCTCCACGTATTTCACGGAATACTGGTTCTTCATCGTGTTGATTAAGACGTAAACCAGCGATTCCTTTTTTTGGTGCATTTGATAAATCGCGTTTAATACGGCGTTGGCGTGATGGATCATTACGACGCAGTTGTAACATAGACCCAAAGTCAGCGATATAAAGAAAACCCGCGATTAATAATTCGTATGTTCGTTTGCCTTGCTTATAAGCTGTTTCAAGTTCCAGACTTGTACGCTGATCATATTGCCACCAACCTGTAACAGATAACTGTTAAGCTGAGGCTACTTATGAATAAAAATAATAAAAATTTCCATTAGTAAATAAAAAAAAAAAATTTTTTTAAAACCATTTAATTTATATTATTTGAATTTTATTGTTGTATAATATTAATGTTTTAACATAAAATTATTGTGTATTATGTAAGCTTTATACAAAAAAATTTTGTTTGGAAATAATTTATTTTAAAAGAACTATACTGAAAAATTTTGAAATTAAAAAAATAAATAAAAATTAATTCATTATTGCGAGGTTGTAGAAATTGAATTAAGTTCTACAAATATATTCAATCCAGACATTAAAATTTTTCAACGAATACCAGCAACGCCTAAGTGTGGAATATTTTTTGTATTACGTTTAATATTGCGTTTACGTGCTGGTTGTAATTTTGGAAATTGGCGATAATTTTGAAAATCAATACAATAAACTGCGCCGCATATTAATAGTTGACACTCATTATGTCCAAGTTGGAATAACTTCTCCAGGTCTCGGTTTGTTCTAGGATCGTATCTCCACCAACCTAAATTCGATCATATCAATTTCTATTAAATTAAAATAATTATCATTTGATCTTATAATTACAATTTCATCAATTATATGGATACCATTAAATTATTTTCCATAAATATTAGATTTGAATAGTAGAACTTGATGAAATGAACTAAAGATTGAAAATTTGTAAGTATAGATTTTAAATTAATAAAAATTATTCTTGATGATTTAAGAGATATTAAAAATTTACCATTTCGTCCTTCATAAAACCATTGGTATTCATCCTCAACGACAGCGGCTGGTTGTTTTGTTTCTTCAACTTCAATCAGATTTGGTTTTTCCACAAAATCTGGCGGAATTTCTTGTCTGCACATGGGACATTTTTTGCTTTGATTAGCAACGCCTTTGACGCACAAATAACAAAATACATGGCTGCATGGTAATCTTGCCGGATGGACACATGTTTGAAGGCACACTGCGCACTCCATTGAGTTACCTACAAATAAACATTGATTATTTACATAAATAAATACTAACTCTTGAAAGTAATTTTTGCCACATTATGTTTATAATCTGTTAAGTAATATCTGTATTGATTAAAAAGTAAAAAAATTAACTAAACAACCCAACACAATTACATTAATTATACCAAATAACGTCTATGACTATTCTAGAAATATACAGCCGTCATTAAAGAAAAAATTATATATTACCTTGACTTTCAGTTTTGTCATCCTCAGTTAAATCTATTGTTTCTACTTTAGCTTGAGCCATTTTATAAATAATTTTATATGTATGTACGACAATTTAGTTAAAATAAAATCAATTGATGAACTTTTATATATAATGTAAATGTAAATAAACAAATGTGTATCTGTTTATAGTGTCGTATTACGCACACGACGTACTTTAAGGCTTACGACACAACAGCCATATTTTTTTTTTTTATTTTCCTCAGCATGCGCTTGTTTATTCTTGAAGTCACTTACTCCGACCAATCATCATAATAATAGTCTCGCAGATGTGCTAATTTTTTGTCTATTTTGCTATTTGGTTAGTCTGCTGATATCACAGGTGTTCTCAACGGACAGAAAACAAGAATTAATTTTTAAGGCGCTTTTTTTACCAACGTACAAAACGTACAATTGTCCTTGACAATGTGATCACCTAGTAAGATGTCGACGGAGTAGGAGAGAAGTAGGAGAGACAAGAACAGACTTGTATATAATGTAATAAACGTATATTTGTATCCCAGGTAACTCTTTACGTAAAATTCGTTGGGGTTGAAAAAAATATTTCGCATGATATTTGTAAAATAAGAATTCATAATTAGTAGTACTAAAATAAGAGAATTTAACAATTTTTATAACTTTAAAAAAATTTTACCATAATTATGGCAATTTTAAAAAACTGAATGCAATTCTTAATCTCATGTTTTCTTAGTGCTAATTTATTTCTTAAATAAACCAAAAAATTGTCAGATGTCTGCGACCATAAAAGTCGTACTTAAATATGTATTGTTATTATTGTGAATAAATAAAACTTTTTACTGATTTTTTAATGAAAATTAAGTTAGATGACATAAAAATTTTTAGAATTTTTTTTTATTGAAAAAATGATTACAAAAAAATAAAAAAAAAATTTCCACTTATAAAAAACCTCAAAAACTGTAAGTGCAATTTTCAAAAAAATATTTTTTTGTTCTAATTTAATTATTAAAAATAAAATCATAAAATTAAAAACGTCGGCTAACTTTAGTATCATGATTGTTCAACTATTTTTTTTATTAGGTAAAAGTGGACTGCATTGGCCGATAGATAAATAGCAGTTGAGTAATATTAGCTAACTATTAATATTCGAATCAACCCTTCTGCATATTATTTTCTCACTTTAATTTGCTGACATAATATTGCCTTTTCATATTCCGTATCAAACATTCTCTTGAATTTATTATTAATGTAAACTTTACCATTTGCAAAATATTAATTTTATCATTTTTAAAATCTTCAATTTTTATAAATAATTGATAATTGAATATCATATTGAAAGTACATAGGTAACATTTGAAAATTGTTTGTTAATAAAACAAATATTATATATTATTAAAGAATTAAAATTCAAAAGTTTTTGTATGCTTGCTATTTTTACTGTCATAGTATCGATTAAATTTTCACTTTAAAAAATTAAATAACAATTAGTTTCTCGTATCTATTCGAATATTTTTATCTTGTAATTTAGTTACGTCAGTGTTGTTATTTTATTTAATTATAATTTACCCGCTGAAAATTTCAAACTTAAGACAAGCGACAGTGTACATGTAAATAACCAATCTTGCATATATACTTTTTTATGATTCCGTTAGTGGCGTTACTGTCGTCACTAATGAAAACAACTCCAATTCCCGAGCAACGTTTATTATACGTTTATACGGTTCGCTGAAAGCGTCACATTTTCACAACAAACAAAGAGTTATTTAAAATTTTAAATATTTTATTTGATTACATTAATTGTAATAGTGCTTATCTATCTTTATATTGACAAATTTTTTAGTGATCAATTTACCATAATGGAAAAACCACAGAAAATGCCCAAAGTGGCTAAAGTAAGTATTATAACCTCTTCAATTTTATTATTTTTTCTGTTATTATTTCGAATTAATAAAAAGATAGTTTGATTATCAGCCCAAGTACTTGATCCAAATTTTAGACAAAAATAAAGTTATTAATTTGATACCACATAATTTAATCGAGCCTAAAAAATTATATAAGTTCACTTGAGGATGACATGAGATCTCATGTCGAAACGTGGTAATAAATTAATAAATATGATTTTTGTCTAAAATTTAGATCGGGTGCTTGGACTGATAATCAAACTACCTTTTTATTGAGTAAAAACAGCGTTTTTTACATCACATATTGAATATATTATTTTTAGTCATAGTATTTAGTAACTAAAATTAAATTGGCAATTTTTACAATTATTAAACTATGCAAATTTCAATAATTCTTTTTTCTCTTCAAAGTAATTACTTATTTTTAAATAAAAAAATCATAAATTCTTGATAATTATTTGTATTTCCATTGATACTGATAATAGCATGAATTGAAAATTTTTTTTCAATTGAAAAAAAAAATTGCGTTATCGGATGAGACTACTTGAAAACATTAATTAAAAACACATATTTTATGTTATGCCGCTTCATTCTCTCTTTTTATTTAATTTATTCTAATTGGTTTCAAAATTAATAATTTAATTTTTAAAATGTTAATATTTATTTTTTTAACAATTTTACTAATAAACACTCGAATGTTTCAGGTAAAAAATAAAGCACCAGCAGAAATTCAGATCACTGCAGAACAGTTGTTGCGGGAGGCCAAAGAACGAGATTTAGAAATACTTCCACCTCCACCGAAACAAAAAATTTCTGATCCCCACGAGTTGGCAGACTATCAACATCGTAAACGTAAAGCCTTCGAAGACACCATTCGAAAAAATCGTATGGTAATTTCAAATTGGATAAAATACGCAAAGTGGGAGGAAACTCAAAAACAGATTGCTCGCGCTCGTTCTATATACGAACGAGCCTTGGATGTGGACCATCGAAGTATAGCACTTTGGTTAAAGTACTTGGAAATGGAGATGAGCAACCGTCAAGTCAATCATGCTCGGAATTTATTTGACAAAGCAGTCACAATTCTTCCGCGAATTAACCAGTTTTGGTACAAATATACGTATATGGAAGAAATGTTGGAAAATATCGCCGGAGCAAGACAAGTTTTCGAACGTTGGATGGAATGGGAACCTGATGAGCAGGCTTGGCAGACTTATATCAATTTCGAGTTACGTTACAAAGAACTTGACCGTGCTCGACAAATATATGAACGTTTTGTAATGATTCATCCTGAAGTCAAGAATTGGATCAAGTATGCAAGATTTGAAGCTAATAATGGTTTCATTAAAGGAGCACGAAGTGTTTATGAACGTGCTGTTACTTTTTATGGTGATGAGATGATCGACGAGAAACTTTATCTCGCATTTGCCCGGTTTGAAGAATCTCAACGAGAGCATGATCGTGCTCGGGTTATTTATAAATACGCTATAGATCATATCCCTAAAGAACGAGCGGAAGAAATTTATAAAGCATATACCATTCATGAGAAGAAATATGGGGACCGAGAAGATATCGAACTAGTAACTGTGAGCAAACACAAGAATAAATACGATCAGTTAGTAGAGAAGGATCCTTACAATTATGATACATGGTTTGATTATCTAAAACTGATGGAATCTGAAGAAAATCACGATCAGACTCGGGAAATTTATGAACGTGCTATTGCGTATGTTCCTCCAAAAAAAGAAAAAGAATATTATCGTCGTTATATTTACCTGTGGATTAACTACGCACTATTCGAAGAACTTGAAACTCAAGATCTAGATCGCTGTCGTAATGTTTATAAAGTTTGTCTTCAATTGATTCCGCATAAAATATTTACGTTTGCCAAAATTTGGCTTATGTATGCAAAGTTCGAAATTCGCCAAAAAAATTTAGACGCCGCGCGTAAATTTTTGGGCGCGAGTTTAGGAATGTGCCCTAAAAACAAGCTGTTCCGTGGATACATTGAATTGGAAATGGGACTACGTGAGTTTGATCGCTGCAGAAAACTTTACGAAAAATGGTTAGAGTACGAACCGGAAAATTGTACCACTTGGATGAAATATGCTGAATTAGAAACTCAGCTAGTTGATCTAGACCGTGCACGTGCAATTTTTGAGCTTGGATTGAAGCAGCCACGACTAGATATGCCAGAATTGTTGTGGAAATCGTATATCGATTTTGAAATTTCACAAGGAGAACCACAGAATGCACGACAGCTATTTGAGCGGCTGCTTGAACGATCAATTCACGTGAAAATTTGGATAGCATATGCCAAGTTTGAATTATGTAATGAGTACGAAGATGTGGATCCAGTTAGCGTTGCTAGACGAGTATTTGAACGTGCTAATACTGCATTGAAAATGAATGGAGATCGAGAAAGCAGAGCTATATTATTGGACGCTTGGAAAGATTTTGAAATGGATAAAGGAGATGAAAACAGTAAAAAGAAAATTATGGATAAAATGCCAAAAAGAATCAAGAAAACTGTTAAGGTCATGGGTGAAGATGGGATGGAAGGCTGGCAAGAAATTTATGATTTTGAATTTCCGGAAGATGAAGCCAAGCAAACAACGATTAGACTTCTCAGCACGGCCAAAAATTGGAAAAAAGCCATCGAAAAAAGTACTGAAGAAAATTAAAATCTTTAGATAAGATAATTTTTTTTTGTATAATATTGTAAATAAAAATGCGTTTTAATTTTTTAACCAAAGCTTATAATTTTTATTTGGTTAAAATTGACTTATAATTTGTATATGTTTAAATATTGAATATATTTTATTCACTGATCAAATCATTTTCAATGCAACTTCATTATTGGTTAGCTTGTAGGTATTGTGAACTTTAAATGCATTAAGAAAAAGATTTTGAAGATTTGTTATAATAATTAAAAAAAAATTTTTTAAATAACCATTTTGTTTTATTACATTAATAAATCTTTAGATAATTTGGTAATAAGAGTAGTTTAATTTTTCGTCAATCCACGTTCGATGGACAGAAGTTTCCGTATAAACACTAGGATAACCAGGTTCAGCACATTCAATTCCCCACGCCATAATTCCCGTCACTTGTCCATCCACAGCTGGAGCACCACCATCATCTCCTAGACAGGCATCTTTTTTACCTTCTAAATAACCCGCACAAAATACAACTCTGGGAGTTTCGTCAAATTAATACTTATAAATTTTATCACACTTTTCTTTCGCTATGACTGGTAGTGTGACGCTTTGCAAACGAGCTGTAAAGTAATCTGATAAGTCAAGATCACTCCATCCAGACAACTTGCTTAGAGATCCAGTTTTGACTTTTTCACCAACATAAAATAGCACCATTGGTTGTCGAGTTTTATCAAACATACATGGTTTCTTAATTCGGACCAGTTGAATATTATTTACAGGAGCATCCTGTTCAGTTATTTTTTAATTTTCATGCCTGATAATTTGGATAGCTGTATGAAGAGAACCTCCTTTGTTATGGTAAGAAGAAGCTGCGAGAAATAAATCTCCAAGACGTACGTTACAAATTAAAGTCGTAATAATCTACATATCAGAAAGAATTCCCCCTCCGCAATAATTGATTCCCTTACGCTGGACACTTACTTGGTAAGGAAAATCTTTGATCGACGCATCTTTATCTCCAACAATTCGTTCATCCCTCTCCGAATAAACATCTTCTTGCAACGTAATGTCTAGAATTTTTTTATAATTATTAAACTGTATAGTGGTTTTTATTACAAACATCAACTCATACAAATTGTAATAAATTAATTAAGCAAAAATATTCAATTAAATTTTTAACTGATAGAATTTTTTTGTTTTTAAAAATTTAAAAATAGCAAAAAAATACTTCTAGCAATGGATTATTATTATTATTATTATCTAAGTAATAACTTACCTTTTGCTACAATAAAAAAAATTAACATAAATTTGATAATTTAAAAAATTTCTATCAACCTGTTTAATTTGCTTTCGAAGATTAAACTAGCATTCATCAACAGTGTCTTATTATCTTGTATTTGTTTTTTATCTTTTATATCAATTTATTTATTGTAATTATTAATCTCTTTGATGAAATGAAGAAGCATAATTTTTGAAAATTTAATAATATAATTAATTTTTAGAAACTTTTTTTAAACATGACTAATACTACTAGAATTCCTTTTAATTTTTTTATTTTTTTTTTCTTATAGAAACATTGAATCAATGAAGTACAAAATTGTAAAGTTTTGTAAATTTCAATTTTTATCAAATTTTAATTTTTTTATCGATCCAAGATCGGTAAGCGGCAATTTCCGTGTAAATTCCATAGTAACCTGCTGCCCCACATCCATGACTCCATGATACAAAACCAACGATCCGTCCACTAAGTGCCAAAGGACTTCCAGTATCTAGTAAACAAGCATCTGGTCCTCCTTCTTCGTAACCAGCACAAATTTGACCAATTGGAAATCCACCTAATTCGTAAATTTTTTCAGTACATTTTTTTTTTGATACAATTGGTACCAGAACGCTGCGTAGATTGGGTGATAATTGATTGTCTTCAGTGAACCCCCAACCAGCTAAATTGCATTGAAAACCAGAATTAACTTTTTCACCAGCTTCAAAAAGTGTCATGGATTGGCGTGTTCTGTCGAATTCAAAAGGTCGATTAACTCGAACTAATTGGATGTCATTAACGGAGATACGATTTGAAATATCCATCCAATGAAATTTTTCGTGCTTGATCAATTGAACGGCTATGTGAATAGAACCGTTGTTATAAAATGAACTACCAGCTCGAATTTTTGTACCGATAGAAATCGAGCAAGATGCAGATGTGAGCACCCATAACTTAGATATGATACCACCGCTGCAGTAATGGTAGTAATTGGATGAATACTTACTAGATAAGGGAATTCTTCGATAGACGAATTTTTACCCTCAATTATTCTAGTATTTTGATTCGAATGCAAAATTTTTGATGAATTGGCTAAAACAAAAATGTTTTTCAACTACATTATAAATTAAAAAAAAAACAACTTGAACGATATATAAAATTCTATTACAATAACAAAGATAAATGATGAAATATATTGTTAAATAATATATTTTAAAAATAAATACCTGATGCTTCAGTTACGATAAAAATTAATAAGAGAAACTTGATCATTATGATATATTTTGATAGTCACTGATTATTTCGCTACGAGTGATAATAGTTTGAATGTTTATATATCATAAAATATTATCATTTGCTGAATTTTTTTATCGATTTTCCTTTTAAATAAAATCTTTGACCACCAATGATTATATTGACGATAAATCAATTATTCTTATTAAGAGTTGAGATAACAAAAATGACACAATCAAGTAAACAAAATGACCAGAAGGAATTTAGAAGTATAAAATTATCAAAAAAAAAAATTCTTTTAACTTTAAACTTGAATATTTATTTTTCTATAAACAAAATCATATATAACGTTTATAATTATAAGATAATGTATTTATGAATCACAATTTCATTAAAAATTAGTTACCATTCTAAAAAGATTATATATAATAGAAGATCATAGGTAGTTAGTGGATAATGTTAGCATCGAAAATATTTTTGATATATACATTAAAGTTATGCTATAGGTATATATAATTATACATAAGAAATGAAATTGTTGAAAATTTCCAATAAATTAATTTCTTGTCACAAAAATGAACATATTTTTCAAAAAAAAATTTTTTTTCTCAGTGTATAGAAAATTAGTTGAAAGAATTTTTAAACTGCTTTCCGTCAATCTCTCTGAAAATGAATTTGTGTACAATTGACAAAATTTTTATGATATTTCATTTATTACATTCAATGTCCACTCATTGTTCCATATCGTCGATAGTGTCTGAAAAAATGGTCCGTCTTTGACGACGTCAACGTATGCTTTTGAAAATAATATTTATAACTCAAAATAAGATGTATGCGCAAACAAGGTCCCTATGGTATTCCAAGTCAAATGGCTAATCATACATTGCGTTATAACAATGTTCAAAAAATTTTGGCTGACCAGTCGATGGAATCATTTCAGGAATTCAGTGATAGGTTTTGAATAAAAAATAATTAAACGTATCTAAAGCTGTGAAGACTGGAAATGGTAGCTTACTGATGGATTATGTGATGGTGATGAATCAACAATTGGGAAACTCAGGACATTATTACAGTCGTTGTGTGTTCAAACAAACGATGTATCATGCACAACTGTATCTACAAACTAAAAAAATGAACAATTGGTTTATTAGATTAAATGACAATCAAATCGTCCAGATTATTAGATTCTCAATAGAAAATAAGGATATGTTCATGGACATTCGTCTATTAGATGTGAATATTGTAGCAGGTTGTGAGCACCTATAGGAAATTGAAAATTGTGCTCGGGAAGTAATCGGCTGCCCAATTTCAAAACACAGTAACTAACATTTAAAAATTTTTTTCAATTTTTCTTATTAAAAAAAAGTTTGCCCGCTAAATTGATGAAAAATTTGATTTTTGAATAGAAAATACTTGAATATAGATATTTTTAAGAAAAAATACTTGAAATTGCGGTCTAAAAGTTATAAAAAATGCAGCAATACTAGAAAAAATCAGGTATAAAAATTTTGCAGTTACTGTGTTTTAAAATTGGGCAGCCGTAATCTTTTTACTAATAACAATTGGAAAAAATGATTTTATATATCTGTAAAATCTTTAACATGTAGCGTACAAATTAAGAGTTTTTTTGTCAGTACAACCAAATAAATTTGAAGCGCAATAATAAACAAACAATTTTAATCAAAAGATATAATGAAACTATTTTCCTAACTTGATCAATAACAAAGGATTAGTGTGAGTATGTGAATGAATGAAGAAATACTACACTGATAAAAAATTTAACTTGATTCAAAAGAAAAAATTTTGAATTAAAAATACCATTTTGAAGAAAATAATTTTCTTGAGTCAAGAGGAAAAATTCTTGAATTGAGAATAATTTTTTGGCTTAAGAATTTTTTCTTTTGACTCAAGAAAATGATTTTCTTCAAAATAGTACTCTTGGTTCAAGATCTTTTTAATTTTCTTGAGTCAAGAGGAAAAATTCTTGAATTGAGAATAATTTTTTGGCTTAAGAATTTTTTCTTTTGACTCAAGAAAATGATTTTCTTCAAAATAGTACTCTTGGTTCAAGATCTTTTTTCTTGAATCAAGTTAAATTTTTTATCAGTGTACGTACAAACTAAGAACAGGATGATAGTAATTAGGAATGTAAAATATTATTGAAATATTGCACAGTAAGTGAATAAAAGAAAGAAGAGATGATAGAAATATGAATTATAGGGTTAAGGGTTCTATCAACAAGACACTTTGCAATGAGCCCCCTGCAAAGGACGCCTGTAGAAAAAAAAAGATGGAATAGTCATAGTATTATCGTTATTAATGAGTATATGATAGAGGAAAATTTAATAAAGGAAATAATTACACTTGGATAAAATAAATCAGTTTATAATAAAATTTACACGTGCTTTCAAAATGAAAAAACTAAAGAAGAAAAAAAATATACATTATATAAATAATATAACCATCAGTTACAGTAAAAGGATAATACACATCGCGATAAAAATACAAAATGCATGGAGAGAAGGTATAAGATTATGCTTTAATATAGTCGAAAATTAAAAAATATAGTCTGATGATGATTGATCAGGGTATGAAACAAAATTTCACTAATAAATATTAATAAAAAAATAAAAAACAGCTTGACAAAGACTGGATTGTCCATTAATTTAAACAAATTATATTATCGTTATTGCTTTATTATTGTTAACAAACAGGAATTAAATAATTGTAATTTGGTACATGTTAATATTTATAGCTTAAGCAAATTTTTTACAGGATAAAGCAAAATGATAACGCCGAAGAAATTTTTTTGTAGAGATTATAGCTTATAATTTTAATTAAAATTTTTATCTAATTGATACCCTTATCCACCAAAGTTCAAATATTAGATGATTAAAAATCATCTTTTCGTATTAAATTTGAAATTAATCAGTAATAGATTTATTGATTATGTAAAACTAATGAAAGATAACATCTTATATGAGAATATATATAATTATGACACGCAACATAATATCAATTTTAAAGTTAACTGAAAAAAATCATCATGTTGAAGTTTTTAATTCTCTTGACAATTTCTGCCTCAGCAATTGGTAAGGTTTTTTCCAATAATTCTTTAATATACTTAATAGTTTCTTATTTAGTACATACGTAAGAAAATAAAGAAACCAATAAGCGGCACATTATTTAACTTTACTAGGTATGAGTAAAAAAACAATGGTCGATATTTTATTTAATTTATTTTCTAAAGTGAAAAAAAATTTGATTGATATTTAAAAAAAATAAATATACTTAAATGAAAGAAAAAAATAAGAGTAAATACATGCAAATAAAAGTTGAAAATTGGATTTTATTTCAGCTGACCCATTAAGAAATAATATTCCTGTAAAAAACAACACACGGATATACGGTGGACAAAAAACGTCAATTGAATTTGTTCCTTATCAAGTAAGTTTGGTCAACAATTTCGGACAACTATTTTGTGGAGGCGCAATCATCTCAAATAAGTGGGTACTGACAGCCGCTATTTGTGGTGTTACTGATGAACATACAATTCGAGCAGGCAGTACTTTTAACAACAAGGGTGGATCTCTTCACACAGTTATCAATGTGATTAACCACAAAGATTTCAGAATCATTGAACATGGAATTCCATTAAATGATATTGCCTTGATTAAAGTATTTGAACCATTTCACTTTGACAAAACTCGTCAACCCGTTCAACTTTTAAACGCTAATGAACAAATTAAGCCTGGTTCAGTTGGTCTGGTTGCAGGATGGAGCGAAACAGAAAATGGAGACTATCCAAACTATTTATTGAGTGTTGCCGTCTTGACTATTCCTAAAAGTCAGTGTGATGACAGCTACAACACAATCGGTGGACTTCCACAGGGACAAATTTGCGCAGGTAATCCGGATGGTCAATTTGATGCTTGTACCGGAGATGCTGGCAGTCCACTGGTTATCAATGATCGACTTGTTGGAATTGTTTCCTGGGGATACGGTTGTGGTTTACCTAACTACCCAGGAGTCTATACTGATATTTCAGCCTATAGATTTTGGGTTTATCAAAAACTGCAGGAAAACTCTAAATAATAATAATAATAATCATTTATTTTTTTCAATATGTACTATTCAAACGCAATTTTGTCATACCATTACTTTAAAGTAAATATTATATAAATGGAAAAATAAATAATAATTTCTTATTCGTTATTTGCACTTCAAATTAGTCTTATATCTATTTTTTATTTCAACATACGCTGATCGGCAATATACATTTACGATAACAATATATTTTAAGTATAGATATAATTCATTGTTAGGTGTGAAAAAGTCAAGAGTTGCACTGAACAGAAAAATTAAAGAGGAATAATTAATACGTAAAACGTAGATAGATAAATTAAATGGTAATATGGTATGTGTATTAGTTTATTAATACGGTGTTTTTGACCCTTGTTATAAAAGATGATAAGGAATCCTCTAAATAGTTAATATCTAAAGAACTTGAATTATTTGTACTTTTATTCTTCTGAAAGTTGATTGATTTTTTTTTAGTTTGAATTATTAAAACCACAGATAATTCGGGTTTCTATGAGTATAGTAATTTTCTCGATTGCTCTTGTCATTGATGACAGAGGAATAAGATTCACAGAATAATTCAAGTAGACATGACAACTTGCTTTATCTTATTTACATAATTAAAATTTGTTATTTATTCATTTAATTTTTTGGAATCAATATCAAGGATAAATTTAACACAAGATTCATTGGAAAGATATCAATAACTTTGTTATAAATTAAAAAAGTTATTTGATCCAAGAATCTCTGTTGCAGGTTGAATTGAATAAAAAGTTCAAGAAGTCAATCACAGTATAGTCAATATTATGAAAAAGAAACTCAAGTTACAAGTAAGGTTTTTTAAACTTCTTAAAATTTACGATAACTAAATAAAAATTATAAGCTTTAGTTAAAAAAAATTAAAACGCATTTTTATTCACAATATTATACAAATAAATAATTATCTTATCTACCTATTTTAATTTTCTTCACTATTTTTTTTCCAATTTTTGGCCGTGCTGAGAAGTCTAATCGTTGTTTGCTTGGCTTCATCTTCCGGAAATTCAAAATTATAAATTTCTTGCCAGCCTTCCATCCCATCTTCACCCATGACCTTAACAGTTTTCTTGATTCTTTTTGGCATTTTATCCATAATTTTCTTTTTACTGTCTTCATCTCCTTTATCCATTTCAAAATCTTTCCAAGCGTCCAATAATATAGCTTTGCTTTCTCGATCTTCATTGATTTTCAATGCAGTATTAGCACGTTCAAATACTCGTCTAGCAACGCTAACTGGATCCACATCTTCGTACTCATTACATAATTCAAACTTGGCATATGCTATCCAAATTTTCACGTGAATTGATCGTTCAAGCAGCCGCTCAAATAGCTGTCGTGCATTCTGTGGTTCTCCTTGTAAAATTTCAAAATCGATATACGATTTCCACAACAATTCCGGCATATCTAGTCGTGGCTGTTTCAATCCATGCTCATAAATTGCACGTGCACGATCTAGATCAGCTAGCTGAGTTTCCAACTCAGTATACTTCATCAAAGTAGTACAATTTTCCGGTTCGTACTGGAACTATTTTTCGTAAAGTATTCTGCTGCGACCAAACTCACGTAGTCCCATTTCCAATTCAATGTATTTTGAATTAGTGAAAGGAGCTTTATTTATATTTGTTGGAGAACTTCTACCGTGAAGCGTTCCACATTTTTTAACAAATATAAATAATGCTGTGAAGCGGGAAAGAATAGGAGTTACGGATAATTATTACGTGAAGCGTTCCAAGATATTTTAAAATAAGTAATTACTTCGAAGAGAAGATAATAATTATTGAAATTTGCATACTTTAATTATTTCAAATATTGCCGATTACTATGACTAAAAATAGTATATTCAATATGGGATGTGAAGAACCGTGTTTTTATTTAATGAAAAGGTAGTTTGATCATCAGCCCAAGTACCCGATCAGAGATTTAAAATCAGAAAGTACTGCACGTGGTTATATCGTAAAAATTATTAAATTTCAATTACATAAATCAATTAACATAATTATGAAACAATGTTTATAATAAAAATTAGCTTTCACTGTAGTTCACCTGAGGATGACATGAGATCACATGTCGAAACGTTGTAGTAATAAATTAATAAATTTGATTTTTGTCTAAAATTTGGATCTGGTACTTGGGCTGATAATCAAACTACCTGTTTATACTTTTTATTTAATAAAAATAATAACAGAAAAAATATTAGAATTAAAGAGGTCATTCACTATCTTTAGAAAAATTCAAATGGCTATTATTTCTAAACTTAGTGACCGACTTAGCTTATCTTTGAACTTATTTGAGGTAATCGTCTAAGAAACATGTGTACTCAATTTCATTAGGATCCGTAAATTACTACAAGCACAATCCCGGCAACATGCCTTAGACTGTCGCAATTATCAAGTTAGGATTAAAAATGCGATTTTAATACCCTAAATTGATTAATTTTCCGAAAATTTTTAGTTGAATGTCAACAATCCAAAAAAAGTTTCACTTGCATCGTGGTTTCATAAAACCACACAATATTTTTACATTATACACGAAATAAAGTAAGCTTATTTTATTGTAAACCTTCATTGACTAAAATATGGGTATATATCAAAAAAATTTCAGAAATAATTTTGTTTCATGTTTCATTTTATTAAAATTAGCAAAAAATATATATCCATTTCATTCTTATAAAAAATACATTTTCATCAATAATGAATATTATTAGTAGGTTGAAAAAAAATGTTTCAATAACTTTGATGGTAGGTACACTTGATTCATTGATTTTTAAACTAAAAAATATTGGATTGTATCAAGAAGTATGTTTAATGATAAATTTTCAAAGAAATAATTTTCAGTATAGCCACAATTTTACTTACTATGAATTTTTTTTTTTTTATCAAACTTGCAGTTCACTAGTAAGAAACTAAGAAAATACCCAGTTTCGAAATTTTTACATTCTGTATTTTAAGAATATTATGAAAATGAAAGGAAACTCATGGATTTTCTTTTTGTGAAAATCAATAATATATTTTTATTTTGATCATAAAAACAAAATTTATTAGAGTATTTATGTAAAGATTAGGGAAGCATTAATAATGGAAAGTCTACTGCAACTTTTCTTGGATCCAAGATACGTACGGAGCGATTTTTGTATATACCTGATAATTTCTTGTTTTTTCGCATCCTTTTTCCCAGGCTAAAATTCCAAGAACGCGTCCGTTGACAGTCAAAGGACTGCCTAAGAATTTGAAACAAGAATCTTGTTCCCTAGTCTCTGGTGGACTTGTACAAAATTGGTCGTCCTGAATTCCACCAGCGCCAGAATAGCTCTCGTTACATTTTTCTTCAGATAAAATTGGCACGGAAATTTTTTTCAAAGCATGAGGAGAATCATCATCTTCAAACATACCCCACCCGGTCAAGTAACCTACATCATACGCAGAGATGTCCTCATCAGGCTCCGGGAGAAGTATCGGCTGACGAGTTTCATTAAATACAAAGGGTTCATTTACTCTTAGCAACATAATGTTATAAACTGGAACCTGATCAGTAGAATCGTCCCATACAAATTTTTCGTGGAAAATAATCTCAATGATTGTGTGAAGAGTTCCGTTTTTATTATCAAAAGTACTTCCAGATCGAATTTTTCGACCAACAGCTGCACTGCAAGTTGCAGCGGTAAGTATCATTTTTTCGGAAACAATTACTCCAGAACAGTAGCTCTCTCCAAAACGCTGGATACCTACTTGGTAGGGAAATTCCTCAATTGTAGCATTTTGAGTTAAATGAATTTGGTTTTTTAATGGATCATCGGCTGAAATTAATTAAAAAAATTATTTTTGAGGTTTAATATTTTAATTAGTAAATAAATATTTGATTTACTAATAACAATTAGTAAATAGTCTCAATAAAAAAGAATAGAACTTATATAACATATCAGAAAAATAGTCACCTGTGATGACCGCAGCAGAAATAAATAAGATGATAACTTTCAGCATCTTATTTTTAAAATGTAACTACTAATGATATTATTGTTGAAAATTGTCGTTTATATTTGACCGATACGAACCGTTATCTTATTTTAATTTCAATCAATCAAGAGTTAATCTAATTTTTAGACTTTTTTAAAAATAAAATCAAAGTTTTAATCATGTGATATTGTTTTGCCAAATGATTGCATATCTTCCTAATCTAATTAATATGAAGCAAAAAATCTATGAAATTTTATTGACGAATATTGTTTTTGCTATTGATTACTTATTTTAACAAATATTTATCTGTATCTGTAAATCAATCAATATTATTTTTATTAAACTATTTTATTTAATCTAATTCCGTTAAGGTTGATAATAACTTTAAGAAGATATGCAATCATTTGGCAAAAACAACATCACATGATTAAAACTTTGATTTTATATTTAAAAAAGTCTAAAAATTTAATTAACTCTTGATTGATTGAAATTAAATTATCGGTCAAATAAAAACGATAATTTTCAACAATAATATCATTAGTAGTTAAATTTTAAAAACAAGATACTGAAAGTTATCATCTTATTTATTTCTGCTGCTGTCATTACAGGTGACTATTCTTCTTGATTTCTTGATAATTATTTTCTAGATCTTAATTTTTTTATGGTAGAATGATAATAAATGTGATAATTTTTTAATAAAAAAAGTAGAGTTTAATTACCGAACATTTTTTATTTTAACCTATAACTCTTAATTATTATATGAACAAAATTATTTTTACAGATGAACAATTTTTATACAGAATAATATCGACGTCAACAAAAACTTGACTAGTTGGTATCTTCAACATACAATTATACAATTATAGCTACATCCAATGAATTAATCACACAAATTCACTGTTACACGTTTACTTAAATTTATTTTACATTATGTTCAATTAATCAAGAGATAATATTGATTCAATAGATGTTCTGCTCTTAGATTGTAATTTAGGTCCACCTAAATAACTCAGTGGGTTCTCAAAAGTTCGCATATCTTCTCCTAAGAATATCGGAGTTGTGTTGAGCATTTTAAATTTTCCATCTACAAGAATATCGAAATCATTAATGTGCACTTTTCAATCTGTGACAAAAATTAGTAAAACAAAATATATATTTAAATAAATACCTGGACTCGTTGCTTGAGATTTTGATGGTTGTCTAACTCCAAATATGCGTACGATCTAAAAAATTTGAAACGTTACTTTTATTCTTATTTCACAAAAGTTTTACAAATTTTTTTTCTTTCCATATATAAAGTAATAAACAGAGCAATAGAGCGAGAATAAGGATATTTTATCAGTTGATTGTTATCTAGAGTGAAAATAAAGATAAAAAATAAAACATAATAATGATTATTTAATAGTTATGTTAAATTTTGGGTTAGTATCAATAAAAGCTCACTTACTTCGGTAAATTAAAGATCGCACATTAACGCACAAAATTAATATAGTTATAATTATTTATAAATAAACGAGATGGCATGTTTGTTTTAATGGCACTGTGTCACATTTTGATAAATAATTATTAATAAAAAAAACATAAAGCATAAACTGCAACGTGACTGGTGCTTCAGCATTTCTTCAGCCCAAAAGCTCAAACATGCGATGATATGATACGATACTAATTATACTTAAATAAATAAACAGTGATGGTCGATGGTATGAATGATTACGAATAATTTATTGTAATAAGCTTTTTTTGATTCATTTTTATATATTTATCTATATAAGCTCCAATTTAACATGCTATAAAATATTTATTTATTTATTAATATTTCATTCACAAAATATAGTACCTTAAATTTCTATAAAGTTATTGTATAATTAATTTATCAAACTTTAGACTTATTCATACTGTTTGTTAAAAGATTTATCGATTAATATGTAAATTTGTTCAGTCAATTTGTAAATGTTACTAAAAATACTCAGTGATACCTTTTTACAATAATTGAAACGTTTCTTGTGTTTCATCCGTTTTGGTAATGGAGTTTAATGGTATCACATTATCTTCATTATTCGTATCCGTCTTAGACCAAGTTATTATCTGAAAAATTTTTATATCCCGATATGAAATAATACTTTCAGTTTATCAATTATTTCCCTTACTTTAAATTCAATTTTTTTTTAATATTGATCAAAAACATGATCTCTTAATTTTTACTTTTATCTGAAAATGATTGTGATGTTGTGTTTAATTGTAAAATGTTTTTTCCGCTAAGCATATACACATAAATCAATATAAATTTTATAAAATTAAAACCAATAAGCGCATAAATTAATAATAACAATGCGTATTTGATTAATTTTGAATTTTTTATGTGGACTGACGATTGGCACTAATTGATAATGAAGCAAATTATGATGAATAAACATAAAATATAATTGTGTATTAGTGCTTCCGGTGGGTAAGTCCAAAAAAAAATTTATAAAACAAAATTAATGAACAAAATTCTGAAAATAAAAAATCATTAACTCAGCCTTATTTTCGCTTTATCAGTTGAATTCTATGAAGTTGATTAATATTTAAATAATAAATTAATTACTAAAATTAAACTACTAAATTTAACATAATAACTGTAAATATATATATATATATA